CTGCCCCAGAACTGGTCCCAATGATCCATAAACCTGAAGCCCCCTTTTCTGGACCATTTCTCCAGCCAAGCATTCATATGCTTGATCCTGCCATTATGGTACTTATTTGCCCGAGGCACAGAGAGTAATCCACAGATCACCACCTTGGATGTTCTATTCTTTAGTTTGTTCCCCAGCTTTTGATATTCTCCCTGTAGCGTCTCAGCCCTTTTTTTTAACCAATATCATGGATCCCCACCTGGTCCACCATTTCTGGATGTTCTCCTTCCCCCTGAAGAATTTTATCCACCCGTTCCGTGATGTCTAAGACTGTTGCACCAGGCAGGCAACATACCATCCTTGACTCCCGTCTTTGGTTGCAGAAACGCCTGTCTATACCTCTCACTGTTGTATCCCCTATGACAACAGCATTGCTCCTGTTACCTGTGTCCCTCTGTTCAACCAATCGGTTTATACTTTCCCCTTGGAGGTACCAACACTCTCAATGTTCAGTACAGAGTATCAGTTTGAGAGTGCTACACTATTGGGGGCATTCTGCCCTGCCCGTCACCTCTTCCTACCATGCCGGACAGTCACCCAGTCATTTTCCATCTGAACCCTCGGTGGCTGTGGGGTGACCACCTCCTGAAGTGTCTGGTCCATCAAATCCTCACATCCACTGTACAAGTTTGAAGCCCAAAGCTCCATCACCACTCTCTTAGGGGTCCCATTATCTGCAGGATTGATAAAGCTATCCTGTCCCTGACCATTAACCAGATGCAAGCATCTCCCGAGCCTCAGGGGAGTGATGGTTTCCTCCATTATACTGTCCAGGAACCTCTCACTGTCCCAGATGGAGCGCAGTGTCTGCACCTTGGCTTCCACCTCAGCTACCCTCAGCTGGAGCTTCCTGAATTGCACTTGCTGCAGACGGAGTTGCCCGGGCTCAGGGCGTCCTCCATTAATTCCCACATGTCACAGTCCTCACATTTCATTTGTCACATAGTAATAATAATAATCCTTGCATTTGATATAGCATTTTTCACATCTTCTAGACGTCCCAAATTCTTCACAAAATATACTGTAAAGTGAATTGACTGTATATTTGTGAGCGAACGCGGCAGCCAATTGCGCACAGCAATGTCCTACACACAGTCATGGATTAAAAATGACCAATTTAGTATTGTTTTTGTTTTTTTAGAGGGATTATTATTAGGCGTGTGAAGTAAGGAAACTTGCCCAAGGTTTCTCCCTGCCTGGAATTGAACTCGGGTCTCTCACTTGCAAAGCGAGTGCTCTAACCACTGAGCTACAGGACTCCACATCATCTCACACAGTGTTTTCAATATATATTTTTTTTACTTTTTGTTTTTATTTGTCGTTAGTGTTGTAGTTTCTGACAGTTCCTTGTTTGTCGATGTCTCCCTGGTTCTGCTGTTGAAAATGATGTCACACCAACGTCACTTTTTCTTTTCTTCGTCTATCCGACAGTAGCTTACCTCAGCCACTCCTTTTATGCTGCTTGCTCTGCCCAGGCTCCGCCTCCACTCTGTCCTGACTCCTTTCCCCGAATGACAATAGATTAGAAAGGGAAAAACTGTTTCCACTGGTGGACTCGAGGTCACAGATTTAAAACAGTATCTAAAAGAAGCAGAGGGGAGGTGAGAAGAATTTTTTTCACGCAGCGAGTTGTTCGAATCTGGAACGCATTGCCTGAAAGTGGAGGCCGATTCGATAACAACTTTTAAAAACGCAGTGGACGGGTATTTGAGGAGGACGGGTTTGCAGGGTTATGGGGAAAGAGCTGGGGAGTGGGATTGACATTACATTGCTCTTTTCAAAGAGCCGGCACAGACTCAATGGGCCGAATGGCCTGTTTTTGTGCTGTACGATTCTATGACTCTATGAAAGCTTGGCAATCCATTGTCCTTAAAATGAAGCTTCAATCATAAATGGAGTTTAAAAAGTCACCAGAAAACGTTGAGATGCATATCACGTCAACAAATAACTGAAGAACAACGGGTTAACATTTTGGAAAGAAGCCTTTACCGGAAACGGACTTGTTGGGCCGGAGCAAACATTTGAGAATTGAAAAGTAAAGTAGGGCAAGACGAAGAAACAAACATATTAAGGAAACAGTTGAAAATTCACGTCTACAATAATAACTAATCCCAAAGGGAGGCAGTTAATGGAACATCAACAGATATTTTAAAATGCTGGAAAGAAAATGTTAAAGAGGCCGTACATGCTACAAAGGTAAACTCAAGGGATGGCTTTTAAAGCATAAGTACTGCCCTGCCCAATAATGTTCCAGATAAATTGGTAATTCACTTTATGACTGCTTGTTGGACTTTATGCATAAATTGACTACGTTTGTTAACAATTACGCACTCGTTATACTTGACAGCGATTACACGTGAAGTGCTTTGACATTTTGAAAATACAAGCACCTTTTTGAAATTATTATTAATTCATTGCTAGGATATTTACCTAGCGCTGCAAGAATCTGATAGTACAGTGTAATGTGGTGGTGGGGGGGTGGGGGATTGCATTGTGAGACGTTAAAAAACCAAGATCACGAATGAATGTGGACTTGAAGGATCCTATGACACTATCGGAAAAGAGAATTACATTTTTTCCAGTGTCCTGGCCAACAATTTACCCAGATAAAATTGCTCACTCACTTAATGGCTGTTTGTGGGCTGCTGCTGTACCTAATTTGGCTGCCGTGTTCACCTGCAAACAGTACTAGACTTTGCAGTAAATCCTGTGAAGCGTTTTGAGATGGTTCAACGACATGATAAGGTGGCTAGCAAACACAAGGAATTTTATTATTATAATAATTGCACAGAGCTAAGGAGCAAATATTGCTGAATGTAGAAATGTTTCTCCTTAATCACAGGGTTGTTTCAGTTCTAGAATGCCCACAAGCAGTGCACCATGGCAAATTGTTTCCCTTGCAGTGCTGGGCAATTCAAATCACTTCCAATAGTAGCACAATTTGGAGCCGAACACGGCATTTCTATTCCCTGTTCTAAAATTGCTTTTTACTAAAATTGCTCTCAACGTAGTTTAACAGGCAGTCTCCAGCGCAATACACTTCAAGTTTGTAACCCCCAATTTTGATTTATATACAGTATATATAGCAAAACCTGCTGAAAGGAATGACCTCCTTGGGGACAATTCTAAGGGAAAGTATTATTGATCTCAACAAGGATTGCAATCATCTTAAGAAGCATCTTAAAATAATTGCTAACATCTTAAAGGTTGGGTTAAGAAACCAACCAGAATTGTTTCTGCCAGTTAAAGAACTAAGTATGAGCTTATTAAAACTGCTGCAACAACGTCAGATATCTAAGGCAGAACAATGAGAATTTATATTTATACAGTGACTTTTTAAATCAAGAGGATGTCACAAAGTGCTTCACACAACTGACTGGGAGCCCGAATGGGGGAAGATAGGCAGAGCGGGGAGAGAAAAGGAGGCTGAAAGCAGAGTAGAATTAATGTCACTGCTTCCTTTAAGTGAACACTGGAATTGACTATTCAAAAGGCATTCTTTAGGCTCCTATACATTTAAATTATCATTCCTTATTAAATGGCACCTCTTCACAAGTCCCTATGAATGCAGACTATGTTTAATGCCGGCATCAATAAATCACATGTCCGGAACAAAAAATCAATCTAGGTAATTTTAAAACGAACAATCCTACAACTTATGAAAAAGCTAAACCAATAACAGACAGAGTACTTGCAATGCATAACATAGAAGGAGAAGCTGCACTATATTCATTCAGATTCAGTTTCATGCATTATGCAGGAAGGGAAGCCTTTCTAGGCAGTTCACACACAATGGCAACAGTAATCTTGAGAAAGCATATCGACGCTATAAAGATTTGCAATTTTGCCTGTTTCAGTAATTTTGCAGTACAGTATTCTAAACTGCAGCTTCATGGTTTGATGCAAATGGTACAGTCAGCAAATACAACCAATCATTATATTGGCTCTAATTAGAAAACAAATTGTATTCTTCCCATGTAATTGGTTTATCAACATAGTGTTGTTAGGTTTCTCCACTTGATGTGATAGTTGACAAGTCAGACATCAATAATATAAATATAATCAATAATAATCCTTACATTTAATGTAGCGCCTCATCACCTTGTTGAGGTACCACAAAGTGTTTCACAAGATTTTCTGTAAAGTGGAGTGACTTTTTTTTGCAGGTGAACCCAGCAGCCAACCTACACACAGCAACAACATTCCACAAATAGCTATGAAGCAAAAGACCCATTTTGTCTGGGAGATTGTTGGTCAGAATACTACAAATATGTAGGAAATTAACTATTCCCACTGTTCAGAAGAATGTAAACTGTATCTAACTCAACAGTCAATCAATCCCCTCTGCCTAACCCTCCACCACAGACATTGATCACAACATAGACATTGCCCTAACACTGCATTGGGGACAGATTTAATATTTGTGTTCAGTTGCTCAGCAGCAGCTTGCTTCCAATTGCCCTAAAGTTTTTAACAAGGTATTTGGGTTCAGGACAAACCAGTCCACCAATTGTCCCAGACATGAGCCTGTTTCCTATCAGAGGAATAAAAGAACACATCAGTCAGTTGGGAGATGTTTGTCTGCTCCCCTTCGGTACTGTTTTTAAAAAAAAGTTAATATACTTTACAGTAATTGATTTGCAGTTTAGACTTCTGCTTTTGGCAGAATCAGTGATATGTTTCCTTTGCAATTGGCCACACTGCTGCTATTGGCATTATGGAAGCCATCTACCCAACTAAATCCCCATCAGCCAGGAAGGTACTGGCTTTGATTACTGTCAGTCAATGGTACCTGAGGAAGCTGCAGGGATGGTGCAATTGGCTTTTAAATCCATTGTTGCTGCTATAGCCTGCACTTGTAGTTTTATACTAGTCTTTTGTGCCTTGCAAAATCTCTTGCAAAAGCCCTTGAAGACCAGATATATGGGGATATCTTTCAGTGCATACCTCTTTGAAACACGATGCTGATCTGCAGGCAATACATCACTGATTTGCAGCCACAGCAGCTCTTGTGGGCAAAGTAAAATAATCGTTGCATTTGATAACAGTTCAGTATCACGGTGACTCTTCAACATAATGCATGCTTTGTGCTGCTCCAGTTATGTTTGGTAGTCTCTGATCCTCTTTATTGTGTGATTATCAGATTTTTCACCCAAAGAGGCGCACTGTTTTTTAGATGGCCTTTAAGTTACCAATTTTCTGATGGGCTTAAAAACTATCTAAGCAAATTCTAATTTGGGCTGAGAGCAGATCTTTCTTCTTAGTATTCTTAGTATTGTTTTGAAATACAGAAGTGCTGTAAAGCAACTCTATGGACCACCAGCTTCAGAATGGAAATGTGATGGAGAGGAAGACTGTAGTGATGGAAGTGATGAACATTTCTTTGGTAGGTGACTTGAGGGTTAAAGGTGTTCAGACTGACTGGCTGCTTGTATGTTTGAACTCTACATCCATTAACCAGCTACCAGCTACAACTACTTTTAAATTAGATTGGATTTTCTGCTAATTCAATACAATTTATCAATCAATCTGGGCTAAAAAGTTGCAGCGAAACGTATTTGTATAACCAACTCTTTTAATATGATCTGCAGCACAACAGAAGATGCTTGTAAATAAAGCTTATTCTTTGTGGAGGCGGGTGGGCATCTCGTGGAGCTGGTTTGAAATTGTGGAATTAAGACAACTCTTGTTGATGGAACTGGAAAGGGTAAGGTTCTTCCCACTTGCTCTTGTGAACCAACCCTGCAAGCCAAAGTACTAGCAGCTGCAAGTTTGCCAGCCAGCACTCTCAATGATGAGTTTGCTGTTTTAGATGACTAAGCTCCAGCAGTACTTCAACCACACTCTGGGGTCCCCAAGTCTTGGCTCTCACCAAACTGTATCTAATGCACTGGAGAATTGATTAAGTGACGTGTACCTCCAGAGAGTGCATTACTGGTTCCAGATGGAAATTTCCATTTGTAGGTGGCATGCATACGACATTCTGTCTGATTTGGTTACTAGTAATGCATTTCTAATTGTGCCAGACACCCAGCTGACCAAAAAAAGGATACTTACAAAACTAATAGAGAAGGCTTTCATAACACAAAGCGAATTAACAGGAAGTGTGGAAACGTGGATGTGAGAAGAGAGTTTTGCTCCCAGGGACTAGGATTGGTTGGGATGAAGTGATGTTCCTGTGTGTTTGCACCATAAACACATGATTGAACACGATGAGTGTTGGGGTGACATTTATGAAACAGTAGTAAAAATGTAGGCTTTAGAATAGGGGTGGAGGGATGACAGAGTTGGTATTGTTTAACTGGTCATTGTAAGAAGGGCAAAGAATTGTTTTGGAAGCACAACGTACCAAGATGTTGAATCTGTTAGAACAGAAATAGGCCATGCAGACAATTAGATTGGCAGTAGAGATGCTATGAATGTCTTTACTTCAGTTTGCGCATTAAATTAGACCTTTCCAGAAAACTTAAACTTTATCTTTATTAATGCGGAAAATAAGTAAATTTTGCAGCTTCAATTTAACTTTTAAAAATTTTAAAAATCGTAATGTGGAACCTCTTTAAAACTAGAATTAGTGTGTGGGGGAAGAAGGGAGAAGGAGAGCGGCGAATTAGAGGAAAGAAAAGGACTGAGTCTTGGGTGTTTCCAATTGAGACAAGTTGTCAAACGAGCGGAGCCAACAGATCTCAACGTTAAATGGTGATTTTGTCTTTTCCAGCCCAGTCCACTTGCAGTTCTCTAGAACTCACATGCTCCAGTGGCCGATGTGTTTCTCAGACTTTTGTGTGCAATGGGGAAGATGACTGTGGTGATGGAAGTGATGAACAAGGGTGTCGTACATCTATCTGGAGTCCTGTAGCTCAGTGGTTAGAGCACTCGCTTTGCAAGCGAGAGACCTGAGTTCAATTCCAGGCAGGTCAGGGCGAAACCTTGGGCAAGTTTCCTTACTCCACACAGAGCCTAATAATAATCCCTCCAAAATAAAAAACAATAATAAATTGGTCATTTTTCAATCTACGACTGTTTGTGGGACATTGCTGTGCGCAATTGGCTGCCGCGTTCGCCCACAAATATACAGTCAATTCACTTTACAGTCTATTCTGTGAAGCGCTTTGGGACGTCCTCCCGACGTGAAAAGCACTACATCAAATGCAAGGATTATTATTATTATTATTATCTGTGGGCCACATGAGTTTCAGTGCAAGAACTCTGAGTGTATCCCACTGACCTGGGTGTGTGACAACAATGCTGACTGCACTGATCGATCTGATGAATCTCGAGACAGCTGTGGCCATACCCTTCCTCCTCCTGTGACCTGTTCTCTGAGTGAAATGCCATGTGATTCAGGAGAATGTATCCACCACCTATGGTACTGCGATGGTGGGATTGACTGCAAAGATGGAAGTGATGAAGCTAATTGTTGTAAGTCGAAAATTCTATAAGCTTTAGGTATGTACATGTGGGAAGGGGCACATGAGGACAGATTTGTGGGTCTCCTAATTATCACAAGCCAGTTCTTTCTGCTCTGAATTCCATGCTGTTTGATGGGGTTGTTGTGCCAACAATCTGGTGAAAATCTTTCTGAGGAACTATTTGAAGGCTCTAGAACCTCATTTCATATCTTAGATCTTCATGGGAGTGAGTGGCTTTTACTCAGTAAAATACTGTAANTTTTTTCTGACTTTAGGACAATCGCTATAGCATAAGATGTTTTCTGCAAGCGAGGTAACTTCTGGGGATTGCATTATACATTGGGGATTTTGAGCCTTTCTTTGTTGAAACATGGAGGGAATGGTTGTCGTTCAAAAAGAATGGGGCAAATTGTGAACATTGCTAACCTATCGGAGCTCTTGTGGCTAGTTTTATAATAGTCAAGTCTTTACATTCAAATCGTTTGCATGCTAAATATTAATGTGAGAAGATTTCCTGCAACATTTCACTTCCATTTTTGTATCTGCTGCTCAAACGTGTAGACCAGGTCAGTTCAGATGTGGTAACAGCAGCTGCATCCCTGAAAGCTGGGAATGTAACAAAATGATGAACTGCATTGATGGCAGCGATGAGGTCAACTGCACGAAAGGTAGGTGTCCGATCTGAATTATAGGCTTCAAATGTTCAATAAATGTTCTCTCCTTAAACGTTTATCATTCTTTCCTCCACAAGTCAGACATCAATAATATAAATATAATCAATAATAATCCTTGCATTTAATGTAGCGCCTCATCACATTGTTGAGGTACCACAAAGTGTTTCACAAGATTTTCTGTAAAGTGTAGTGACTTTTTTTTGCAGGTGAACCCAGCAGCCAACCTACACACAGCAACAACATTCCACAAATAGCTATGAAGCAAAAGACCCATTTTGTCTGGGAGATTGTTGGTCAGAATACTACAAATATGTAGGAAATTAACTATTCCCACTTTCCTCACTGTTCAGAAGAACGTAAACTGTATCTAACTCAACAGTCAATCCCCTCTGCCTAACCCTCCACCACAGACGTTGGTTCCAACATAAACATTGCCTTAACACTGCATTGGGGACAGATTTAACGTTTGTGTTCAGTTGCTCAGCAGCAGCTTGCTTCCAATTGCCCTAAAGTTATTTAACAAGGTAATTGGGTTCAGGACAAACCAGTCCACCAATTGTCCCAGACATGAGCCTGTTTCCTATCAGAGGAATAAAAGAACACATCAGTCAGTTGGGAGATGTTTGTCTGCTCCCCTTCGGTACTGTTTTTAAAAAAGGAGAAGTTAATATACTTTACAGTAATTGATTTGCAATTTAGACTTCTGCTTTTGGCAGAATCGATGATATGATTCCTTTGCGATTGGCCACACTGCTGCTATTGGCAGTATGTTTATCCAAGTCAATAGATGGTGAGTAAGTGTTGGGTTTAAGATCTGATGTCTAGCTCAGCTGTGAGGGCTGTGCTGGAAACTCCTTTCCTACAGAAAGTAACCCTTGAACGTCTAAATATTTTGTTGCTCACAGGCTCCTGTCTGCTCTCATTCTTGAGAGTAAAACTAGTCCTGATCACTTGACCTGTTCAAGTCTCCACCTTCCTGCTGTGTTGTGGCTTCTTTCCCACCCATTTTAAAATGGTGAGATATTTACATGATTCTTGGGTTCAGTGGTTGTCGAGCACACGTCCCCATTGTTGTCCATCGCCACCTCGCCTGGGGGGGTGACAAACAACCAGCTGATCCGAAGTACGTTTAAAAATAGTTTTGTATCTCCAGCAGTGGCTCAATTGTAAGCCCCCTCCCCAGCTGAATCTCCATCAGCCAGGAAGGTACTGGCTTTGATTCCTGTCAGTCAATGGTACCTGAGGAAGCTGCAGGGATTGTGCAATTGGCTTTTAAATCCATTGTTGCTGCTATAGCCTGCACTTGTAGTTTTATACTAGTCTTTTGTGCCTTGCAATGCAAAATCTATTGCAAAAGCCTTTGAAGACCAGATGTGCAGGGATATCTTTCAGTGCATACCTCTTTGAAACACTATGCTGATTTGCAGGCAATACACCACTGATTTGCAGCCACAGCAGCTCTTGTGGACCCAATAAAATAGTAGTTTTTGCATTTGATAACAGTTCAGTATCATGATGACTCTTCAACATAATGTATGCTTTGTGCTGCTCCAGTTATGTTTGGTAGTCTCTGATCCTCTTTATTGTGTGATTATCATATTTTTCACCCAGAGAGGTGCATTTTTTTTAGATGGCCTTTAAGTTACCAATTTTCTGATGGGCTTAAAAAACATCTAAGCAAATTCTAATTTTGGCTGAGAGCAGATCTTTCTTCTTAGTATTCTTAGTATTGTTTTGAAATACAGTAATAATAATAATATTATTAATAATAATAGTGCTGTAAAGCGACTCTATGGACCACTGGCTTTTGTGACAATGAGCCTGATTGGAGTTCTGATTCTGTTAGGATCCTAGAACATAATCAAGTATGCATTTTTTTTTTAAAAATCTTTTTTTATCCCGAGGTTTACAAATTACGTGTGAGGAATATCAGTTTCAGTGCAAAAACAGACTCTGCATCCCTTCAGAGTGGAAATGTGATGGAGAAGAAGACTGTACTGATGGAAGTGATGAACATTTCTGTGGTAGGTGACTTTAGGGTTAAAGGTGTTCAGACTGACTGGCTGCTTGTATGTTTGAACTCTACATCCATTAACAGTGCTACCAACTACAAACTACTTTTAAATTAGATTGGATATTCTTCTAATTCAATACAATTTATCAAGCAATCTGGGCTAAAAAGTTGCAATGAACCGTATTTCTATAACCACAACAGAAGATGCTTGTAAATCAAGCTTATTCTTTGGGGAGGTGCGTGGGCATCTCGTGGAGCTCGACCACTGTTTTTTGCGACAATGAGGTTTGGATTTGTGGAATTAAGACAACTCTTATTGACAGAGCTTGAAAGGGCAAGGTTTCTTCCCACTTGCTCTTGTGAACCAACCCTGCAAGCCAAAGTACTAGCAGCTGCAAGTTTGCCAGCCAGCACTCTCAATGATGAGTTTGCTGTTTTAGACTATTGAGCTCCAGCAGTACCTCAACCACAATTTTAGGAACCCAAGTCTTGGCTCTCACCAAACTGTATCTAATGCACTGGAGAACTGATTAAGTGACGTGTACCTCCAGAGAGTGCATTACTGGTTCCAGATGGAAATTTCCATTTGTAGGTGGCATGCATACGACATTCTGTCTGATTTGGTTACTAGTAATGCATTTCTAATTGTGCCAGACACCCAGCTGACCAAAAAAAGGATACTTGCAAAACTAATGAGAAGGCTTTCATAACACAAAGCGAATTGACAGAAAGTGTGGAAATGTGGATGACAGAAGAGAGTTTCGCTCCCAGGGACTAGGATTGGTTGGGATGAAGTGATGTCCCTGAGTGTTTGCACCATAAACACATGATTGAACACAATGAGTGTTGGGATTACATTTATGAAACAGTAGTAAAAATCTGTGCTTTAGAATGGGGGTGGAGGGAGGAAAGAGGAGAGAGTTGGTATTGTTTAAAAGGTCATTGTAAGAAGGGCAAAGAATTGTTTTGGAAGCACAAAGTATCAAGATGTTGAATCTGTTAGAACAGAAATAGGCCATGCAGACAATTAGATTGGCAGTGGAGATGCTATCAATATCTTTATTTCATTATTAAATTAGACCTTTTCAAAAAAATGAAACTATCTTTATTAATGTGGAAAATAAGTAAATTTTACAGTTTCAATTTTAACTTTTAAAATCGTAATGTGGAACCTCTTTAAAACTAGGATTAGTTGGGGGGGGAAGAGGGGAGAAGCAGAGGGGCGAATTAGAGGAAAGAAAACAGCTGAGACTAGTTGTCAAACGAGCGGAAGCAACAGATCTCAACCTTACATGGTGAATTTGTCTTTTCCAGCCCAGTCCACTTGCAGTTCTCTAGAATTCACATGCTCCAGTGGCCGATGTGTTTCTCAGACTTTTGTGTGCAATGGGGAAGATGACTGTGGTGATGGAAGTGATGAACAAGGGTGTCGTACACCTATCTGTGGGCCACATGAGTTTCAGTGCAAGAACTCTGAGTGTATCCCACTGACCTGGGTGTGTGACAACAATGCTGACTGCACTGATCGATCTGATGAATCTCGAGACAGCTGTGGCCATACCCTTCCTCCTCCTGTGACCTGTTCTCCGAGTGAAATGCCATGTGATTCAGGAGAATGTATCCACCGCCTATGGTACTGCGATGGTGGGATTGACTGCAAAGATGGAAGTGATGAAGCTAATTGTTGTAAGTCGAAAGATCTATAAGCTTTAGGTCTCTACAGGTAAGAAGGGGCACATGACGACAGCTTTGCATAAGAACATAAGAAATAGGAGCAGGAGTAGGCAATTCGGTCCCTCGAGCCTGCCCCGCCATTTAATAAGATCATGGCTGATCTTCTAACCTAATTCCATTTACCCACCCTATCCCCATATCCCTTTAAGGGGTTGTTTGTGGGTCTCCTAATTATCACAAGCCAGTTCTTTCTGCTCTGATTCCATGCTGTTTGATGGGGTTGTTGTGCCAACAATCTGGTGAAAATCTTTCTGAGGAACTATTTGAAGGCTCTAGAACCTCATTTCATATCTTAGATCTTCATGGGAGTGAGTGGCTTTTACTCAGTAAAATACTGTAATTTGTTTCTGTCTTTAGGACAATCGCTATAGCATCAGATGTTTTCTGCAAGCGAGGTAACTTCTGGGGATTGCATTATACATTGGGGATTTTGAGCCTTTCTTTGTTGAAACATGGAGGGAATGGTTGTCGTTCAAAAAGAATGGGGCAAATTGTGAACATTGCTAACCTTTCGCAGCTCTTGTGACTCGTTCTATATAGTCAAGTCTTAACATTCAAATCGTTTGCATGCTAAATATTAATGTGAGAAGATTTCCTGCAACATTTCACTTCCATTTTTCTATCAGCTGCTCAAACGTGTAGACCAGATCAGTTCAGATGTGGTGATGGCAGCTGCATCCCTGAAAGCTGGGAATGTAACAAAATGATGAACTGCATTGATGGCAGCGATGAGGTCAACTGCACAAAAGGTAGGTGTCCAATCTGAATTATAGGCTTCAAAAGTTCAATAAATGTTCTCTCCTGAAACGTTTATCATTCTTTCCTCCAGAAGTTCCAACATGCACAGGGCCTACTGATTTCAAGTGCCAAAGCGGAGAATGCATACAAATACACCAAGTGTGTAACCGCTATCTGGACTGCAAGGACTGGAGTGATGAACCCTTCAAAAGTTGCCGTAAGTGTCTTGGGAGTGCTACGGATGTGCATCTAGTTTAAAATGTCAGCATCTGTTTTACAAGCATTTGTTTCTGACTAAGCCAATCAGTTTGATTATCAGTGCCTGAGATTCCATACAAAGGTGCTTTTCCTGAGTATCTATTGGGGTTTTGTGCACTGTTCCAATGTAACTCATGTAAAATGCCTGGATTGCCTTAACTGCTGATAATTACAGTCAGTGCAAGGTTCTCTTCCCAAGGGAACCTGTATTGAATGACCTTTGTGGGATTTGTCATAAACAGTGCAATGTGCATTTTAATCTTCCAAAACTGAAAACGATGTCTTGTGTTTCCTCTAAATTCCAGGAAGATTTGGAGTTTTTTTTGGGGGGGTGGGGGAAAGGGAAGAGAGGAATCCTTAAGGATTCCGATATGGTCTACTTCCAGAGCAGCCTTCTCATGGGTCCGTTTACCATGAGTTTCAGTGTGCATTAGACTCAAATACGTGCACTAGTCAGTGCACAGTTTCCACAAGCATTAACCTTTTGCTGTAATTCAATTCTAGAACTCGTTTGGGCTTTCATTCCCTTTCCTTGTGCCCCCCTTCACCGGGTGTAAAACCAGTTGTTTGAGTAAAGAGGGAGTATTAATTTGACCAAAGTGCTGCTTGGGTCATGTGGTAGGTATATGATGGGTCAAGCAGTGATCAGCTTTATTCTTCCTTGATCCTTTTAATCTGCAGATGTGAACGAATGCTTGGACAACAATGGTGGCTGCTCTCACCTGTGCAAGGATCTTCCCATTGGGTATGAATGTCATTGTCCTGATGGCTTTGAGTTGATTGACCAGAAAACATGTGGAGGCAAGTCAACTAACCCTTTGTTGTTGTTGTTAACTAATGGTACAAACTTACTTCTTTTCATGACGATAATGTTATAAACTTGCTCCTTTCATGAACCTCTTCCATTATAGATGTCGATGAGTGTCAGAAGCCTGGAACTTGCGGTCAAATTTGCATCAATCTGAAAGGAAGCTATAAATGTGAATGTCATACAGGCTATCACATTGATCCAACCACTGGAGTTTGCAAGGGAATAGGCAAGTAGAAAGTTAAGGAAAGTCCAAGTTCTCCCTGCCAGGATATTAGTGGGTAATCTGTTGTTTTTAAGGTAAGGAATGGAAACCTCTCTAGCCTTCTCCTCTTCCCCAAAGAAAATGTACTTCTGTGCCTGAAAACCGTGCAGTAATTAATCTTAGCATTCTTCTCTTCTCTCCCCCGAAATACTCTTCACTGTCTGCCCCATACCCAATGGTTCTCCCACTGATGGTGGGGGCGTGAAACAGTCTGCAGTCTTGTTCCCACCCCAGCTGTAGTTTCTATTTAAATCCTCAACTCCAAATGCTACAAAATATTCAAACCATACCCTTTCTGTATCTCCAATCCTTTAATACCATGGTACTTGCAGCTTTTGTCTTTTGATCTTCAATCCTTCTACCATGTAGATTTCCTTCTACCACATAAGATTTCAACACTGTCATCCTCTTTCTTGTCCAACTCCCTCATAGAATTGTATTTGACATGTAGTGTCCCAAACAAATATGTAGGACGGTGGAAGATGAACTGAATGGATCTTGATCTTTTGCCTAGCAAATTCTTATGTTATGTATTTCTCCATTCAAAGTTTGACTTCCTGTTGTATTACTCTACTAGGAACAGAGCCTTATCTATTCTTTACTGATCACCACGATATCAGGAAACTAGGACTTCACAGCAAGGAGTACACAAAGGTAGCTCTGGAACTGAGAAATGTGATATCGCTAGACACTGATATTGCTGCACAAAGAATCTTCTGGGGTGATTTGGGACAGAAGACAATTTTCAGGTAATGCAAACACTGTGGATTTAAGAATTACTATAAACTGTAACGCAGAGATAATTTATAAACCTGTTAACCTTCTCAGGTGCAGTAGTTGATACAGGTAGATACTGGCCAACACTCACCAGTTAGTTCTTGTATTACCCTAACCTAATTATCTGCCTATCTGCTGTTGGACCGACTTATCTTAATTTTTGGATGCACTGTCAACTGCTTCCCTGACCTGTTTTTCAAATATTGGCAAATCTAATTTGGAACCTGTCTTGTGACAGACGTCAAGATCCCTCATAAAATTTGTTAGCTATTTTCTTTCTAGAGAATAGTTAATGGAAGGTTAACTGAATGGACCCGAGCTCCTGTGGATCCAGTAGAAAGGCTTCCTCCAGCTCATGTGCAAAGTCCAGGATCAAGCAGTGAGGTGGATTTGTGGCAAACACGGGAATCATTTGCAAGGAGGAAGGGTGGGCTCTGTTCTATACAGACCCTGGAGGCTGTTGACTTTCCAGTGGGCACAACTGCTTGCCAAGGCTCCTCACAGTATTGCAGGTGCCTGGCTCATCAGCAAGACCTGGAAGGGCAGACCAGTCACTGGTGACAGGGACTCTTCCCACTCAGCTCCAATTAACCCCTGCAAGCCAAAGCCCTAAGACGAAGGGTGGTTCTAGCTAGCAAGAAGCAGACAAGCTTGCAGTGCTATCAATGGCATACTATGGGGTTTTAGCTGATTGTACCCAATGCACACTTTGAGGTCTCCAAATCTTGGCTCTTGCCAGAATGTGCCTAATGCTTTCTGGAATTAGGTAAGTTGAATTAGGTAAGGAGGGAGAGAGAGCGTATTCCCTTCCAAAAGTCTATCTCTGGAATTTCTATGTGGAGGTGGGATGCTTGGAGCTCCATTTAGTTTGGATATTCATAAGCACGGTGATTGGTTTCCACATGACACCTGGCTGACCCCAAAACAATCTTTCTAGAGAAGATATGGCATAATTATGTGTCCTCATCTTAGAAAGAGGTTACTATCTGATAATGGCATGGTCATATGTAACTCATTTCAACAAACTGATCAAATACGGTTCTGTTGTAGCAAATGCACAAATAGCTTTGCCATTAACTTTGGTTGACTCCATCTTTTCATTGAAGTCTGAGACTCCTAATTTAATGTGAACATCTCAATCTTTAAGTATGTCCATAGATAAACAAGAAGACAATCCCAGTGTATTCCAAGTTCTTAAGGGTTCCCATATTCCTGTGGGCATTGCTGTGGATTGGATCTACAAGCACATCTACTGGACTGATGCCAGCAATAAAACCATATCCGTGGCTACCTTTGATGGAATCAAAATGAAGATTCTCTTTGACACTGACCTCAGGGAGCCATCTTCTGTGGCAGTTGATCCACTATCCGGGTACTGATGGTTTATATCAAATTATGTATCCACAACCTGTCTTTCAACATATATGATGGTCTCTATATTAGAGGCAATTAAGCACCTTGGGCAGCCAGGTGGCTAATTGAGAGCAAGTCTAGTATACAGTCACAAAAGCTTTTATACTAGTTCTCCTTTCTTGCCATATTTTGTTCATACTGTTTATCTCATCTTTTCTTCCACCACAAAAATACCAAAGTGGAGAGGAAAATGTGCCGCATTCATTACTTCATTATATAAGACAATGAATTGGTGGCTCTAGAAAGGCCCACACTTTTATATTGTTATAGTTCTATATTGGCTAGGTATACACTATAGGCTGTACATACACTGTACTGGTTGCTCTGCCTGTATATACACTGTGTGCACAAGGGAATAACTAGATAAAGATGTAATAAGTAAATGTGCAGTTGCTGAACAAATTTCCCAAAGTTTTATTGCTGCAAGTGATTGGTGCATTGTTCTCTTNAAAAAAAACTAAGTGGCTAGTTAAATTAATGGCTAATCTCATGTGGAATGGTCCATTCCACCTAAATCTAGGGCTCTTTTTGATGTAAGCTCATCTGTGTATACCACTGAACTGTAGTCCAGGCAGTCATTGGCTTCCTCTATATATAATGGAAGGTGCTTAAGCATCCTTTATTCGTCTTGCTACTAGTTGTGGGGAATTTGGGTTTATTTTAATGTATACATCAATGTATCCTAAAATTAAGTCTGTGTGCCCCATGATGTTTGTCAGTTTAGATGTGGGGAAGGAAAACACCTGGAGTTTGTGCTAATTCACTGATATACTTTTATGTCGAAGGTTCATTTACTGGTCAGACTGGGGTGAACCAGCAGTAATAGAAAAAGCAGGGATGAACGGTGTTGATCGTCAGCTCCTGGTTACCCAAGATATTCAGTGGCCAAATGGCATTGCACTAGGTGAGCAGAGTGCTAAAGGTCCATTTTTTTCCCAACATTTGGATTGTCAAGTTGTTTCTTTAAGTGATTGCTCCCTTGTCTACAGACCTTGTGAATAGCCACCTTTATTGGGTTGATTCAAAGGTACACAGCCTGTCATGTGTAAGCTTAAATGGCCAGGATAGAAGAACCGTGCTACAGTCTCAGGAATTCCTTGCTCATCCTTTCAATCTCGCAATATTTGAGGTAAGGTTCATGTCCTTCAGGTGTGAATGTATGTAACTTTGAATTGAAGTAATATTCCTGGTGAGTGTTGGATGAGCAGAATACTTATTCCTTTGCACTGGTCTCTGGTCAACTTTAAAAGATAGTGGACCATTTATGTTCATTACAGAAATTTGTCCATCAATACTTCAATATATTGAGTAGATCACAGCATGCTAGAAAGCCACCCGATGCTCCTTCAAGCCTCTGGTTGTCTATGTGTCCAAGTTGTTAATGTTTAAAGTATATTGGTTGTATGGTGAAGGAAAACCCAAATCACTCCCTGTATAATGAAGGAAGTGGTCTGATATCTTAATAGCCATGAGAAGAGTAGAACTGTGTGGATCTGAAGCATGAGACACCATTACCCATACTTTACAGATGAATTTGGAACTAAACATGTAGATATAAAAGCAGCAACGTGAAACGCGACTACAAATGTAATCTTGTTTTTTGTTGTTGTTGTCATAGAGGGGTTTAATGGACCATAATATACACTACTTCAAATGCAATACTTCCTGGCAGTCTATAGAGCTGATATACCACTTCAATCAAAGAAGGAATGTTAGTGGGTGTTAGGTCTTGAAATGAAATTGATTTTGTTCGCAGGATCATGTCTTTTGGATTGATGGAGGGAATGAAGCTCTCTTTCGAGCCAGTAAACTAACAGGAGAGAATGTGGTGACTTTAGCTTCCAACCTGAAAGAACCTCGAGACATCATTGTGTACCATGAACTAATTCAGCCACCTGGTAAGAGCTCGAGCTGAAACATTTAATGGAATCAAACTTGATTAAAAACATCTCAATTTGTAAATCCTTGACATTTCCTCATTGTAGCACATTGTGTGGCTCTTCCTGAAGATAACCTGTTGAAATGCTATTATCTCAACTGTGCCTGGCTTCAGATCACACTTGCAAGACATTCCTCTTTGACTGTGCCTGCAGTCACCTGTTCCCTCCTCTTCTGGGCTCATCTTAAACTCTGCCATTGTTGTACACTCTGGCACTGACCCGTGTGATGAATGCTATCCAACTGGAAGCTGTATCAATACTGTAAATCAACTTAACTCAAACTCTTAATAACTAAGGTATGAGGGCACCTTGCTCCAGATGTACTTGAAACCCATACAGTATTTCTTGTATTTATTGATCATCATAGCACTTCTTTCCCTTTTTCTTAGCCCCCCCCCCCCCCCACACACACACACACAATTCACCCTTTGTCCACATTAATAGGACAGTTGTTCTCTCCAACCACTTTAACCAGTGTTTCATGTCTTCACTATGGGAACATCCATCGAGTAGGTTATAGCAGATCAGTTCTTGTTTCTGCAATCTATTTTTGTTCGGGCACAAATTTAGTTTACATTATTGAGCAGTTTGATTAGAACGGTGCTCCAGACAATCTATTGATTTTTGTCCACAGGCATAAATTGGTGCAATGACGGTGTTACGAATGGAGGCTGTGAATACCTGTGTCTCCCTGCTCCTCAGATCAACACTCAGTCCCTAAAATACTCCTGTGTGTGTCCCTCGGGGATGCAGTTGAAGGCAGGTGGACAAGTGTGTACAAATGGTAGGTTCTGCACTTCTCAACAATTCAAAGAAGATAATCTAATAACCTAGATAAATTCAACTGCTGGGTGATATACAGTAGGCCACATCTATGGAGCAGATATTGATATTGCAGTAACATTACTTAATATTTCTCCTCAGAGTCGTCTATTGCACTCATCAAGGTGTAATTTGTGGTAACTTGTGTTCCATCTCGAAAGAAATGGAAGTAAGTTTTGCTGACTTGCAGGAGTGCTGCAGTGTTGGAGCAGAGTTCCCGTGAGACTTGTAACTTGTTACCAAAAGGAGTCCCTGCTCGGTTTTCTTAAATCCCACTCAATCACAGCACAGACTTCATTGTCGTAAGGCGTCTAACACTTACATATTTCAAACCAATAACAGACAGAGTACTTGCAATGCTTTACATAGAAAGAGAAGCTGCATTATATTCATTCAGATTCAGTTTAATGCATTATGCAGGAAGGGAAGCCTTTCTAAACAGTTCACACACAATGACAAGAGTAATCTTGAGAAAGCCTATCGAAGTTATAAAGATTTGCAATTTTGCCTGTTTCAGTAATTTTACAGTAGAGTATTCTAAACTGCAGCTTCATGGTTTGTGTAAATGGTACAGTCAGCAAATAACACCGATCATTATTGGCTCTAATTAGAAAATGAATTGTATTTCTCCCATGTAACTGGTTTGTCAACGTTGTGTTGATCGGTTTCTCCACATGATGTGATAGTTGACAAGCATATAATAATATAATCAATAATAATCCTTGCATTTAATGTAACGCCTCATCACATTGTTGCGATCTCGCAAAGTGTTTCTGTAAAGCGTAGTGACTTCTTTGCAGGTGAATGCAGCAGCCAATCTACACACAGCAACAATATTCCACAAATAGCTATGAAGCAAAAGACCCATTTTGTCTGGGAGATTGTTGGTCAGAATACTACAAATATGTAGGAAATTAACTATTCCCACTTTCCTCACTGTTCAAAAGTGAGTTTACTGAATCTAATTCAAAAGTCGACCCGTCTGCCTCACCCTCCCCACAGACGTTGGTTGCAAAATAGACATTGCCCTAACACTGCATTCGGGACAGATTTAACATTTGTGTTCAGCTTCTCAGTTGCTCAGCAGCAACTTGCCACCAATTGCCCTATGCTATTTAACAAGGTAATTGGGTTCAGGCACAAACCAGTCCACCAATTGTCCCAGACATGAGCCTGCTTCCTATTAGAGGAATAAAAGAACACAGCAGTCAGTTGGGAGATGTTTGTCTGCTCCCCTTCAGTACTGTTTTAAAACAAACGGGAAAAAGTTGATATACTTTATAGTAATTGATTTGCATTTAGATTTCTGCTTTTGGCATAATCGATGATATGATTCCTTTGCGATGCATTTGATAACAGTTCAGTATCATGGTGACTCTTCAACATAATGCATGCATTGTGCTGCTCCAGTTATGTTTGGTAGTCTCTGATCCTCTTTATTGTGTGATTATCAGATTTTTCACCCAGGGAGGTGCATTTTTTTTAGATGGCCTTTAAGTTACCAATTTTCTGATGGGCTTAAAAACATCTAAGCAAATTCTAATTTGGGCTGAGAGCAGATCTTTCTTCTTAGTATTCTTAGTATCGTTTTGAAATACAGTAATAATAATAATAATAGTGCTGTAAAGCGACTCTATGGACCACTGGCTTTTGTGACAATGAGCCTGATTGGAGTTCTGATTCTGTTAGGATCCTAGAACATAATCAAGTATGCATTTTTTTTAAAAAATTCTTTTTTTATCCCAAGATTTACAAATTACGTGTGAGGAATATCAGTTTCAGTGCAAAAACAGACTTTGCATCCCTTCAGAGTGGAAATGTGATGGAGAAGAAGACTGTACTGATGGAAGTGATGAACATTTCTGTGGTAGGTGACTTTAGGGTTAAAGGTGTTCAGACTGACTGGCTGCTTGTATGTTTGAACTCTACATCCATTAACAATGCTACCAACTACAAACTACTTTTAAATTAGATTGGATATTCTTCTAATTCAATACAATTTATCAAGCAATCTGGGCTAAAAAGTTGCAATGAACCATATTTGTATAACCAACTTTTTTAATATGATCTGCAGCACAACAGAAGATGCTTGTAAATAAAGCTTATTCTTTGTGGAGGTGGGTGGGCATCTCGTGGAGCTGGTTTGGAATTGTGGAATTAAGAAAACTCTTGTTGATAGAACTGGAAAGGGCAAGGTTCTTCCCACTTGCTCTTGTGAACCAACCCTGCAAGCCAAAGTACTAGCAGCTGCAAGTTTGCCAGCCAGCACTCTCAATGATGAGTTTGCTGTTTTAGATGACTAAGCTCCAGCAGTACTTCAACCACACTCTGGGGTCCCCAAGTCTTGGCTCTCACCAAACTGTATCTAATGCACTGGAGAATTGATTAAGTGACGTGTACCTCCAGAGAGTGCATTACTGTGTTCCAGATGGAAATTTCCATTTGTAGGTGGCATGCATACGACATTCTGTCTGATTTGGTTACTAGTAATGCATTTCTAATTGTGCCAGACACCCAGCTGACCAAAAAAAGGATACTTACAAAACTAATAGAGAAGGCTTTCATAACACAAAGCGAATTAACAGGAAGTGTGGAAACGTGGATGTGAGAAGAGAGTTTTGCTCCCAGGGACTAGGATTGGTTGGGATGAAGTGATCTTCCTGTGTGTTTGCACCATAAACACATGATTGAACACGATGAGTGTTGGGGTGACATTTATGAAACAGTAGTAAAAATGTAGGCTTTAGAATAGGGGTGGAGGGATGACAGAGTTGGTATTGTTTAACTGGTCATTGTAAGAAGGGCAAATAATTGTTTTAGAAGCATAAAGTACCAAGCTGTTGAATCTGTTAGAACAGAAGTAGGCCATCTAGACAACTAGATTGGCAGTGGAGATGTTATGAATATCTTTACAACAACAACAACAAAATTACATTTATAGAGCGCCTTTCACATCAGGAGGACGTCCCAAAGCGCTGAACAGTCAGATGTCAGGACCCGAGCATGGGGGAGGGGTGGTGTAGGAGTGAGGAAAGGCAGAGAGTTGGGAGAGAGACCAAAGGCACGGTCGAAGAGAAGCGTCTTGAGACTGACATTGAAGGAGGCAAGGGAGGAAGTGAGGCGAAGGGACCGTGGGATGGAGTTCCAGAGTGTGGGGGCAGAGAGGCTGAAAGCCCGGCCACCAATTGTAGGGCGAGTCGAGTTTTGGATGATCTGCAGCTTGTGAAGGGAAGAGTTGGGAAGACCAATGAGGAGGGAGTTCCCGTAGTCGAGCCTTGATGTGACGAGTGCGTTCGTGAGGGTTTTGGCAGCCTGCGGGGTGAGGCAGTGGCGGAGTTTGGCAATGTTGCGGAGGTGGTGGTAGGCAGTGTCGGTCATGGCACGGATGTGGGGGAGAAAGGACAGTTCAGTGTCAAACAAGACACCCAGGTTCCTGACTGGCTTAGTGAGGTTGAGTGTGCAGCCGTGGAGGCTGATGCTGCCAGCGCCCGAGATGCGAACCAATCAGGAGGGCCTTGGTCTTGCTGATGTTGAGTTGGAGAAAGTTGGCCCTCGTCCAGGACTTGATGTCGGACTTTACTTCAGTTTGTGCATTAAATGAGACGTTTTCAGAAAATCTAAACTTTATATTTATTAACGTGGAACATAAGTAAATTTTGCAGCTTCATTTTAACTTTAAATTTCTAATATTAAACCTCTTTAAAACTAGAATTAGTGGGTGGGGGAAGAGGGGAGAAGGAGAGGGGCGAATTAGAGGAAAGAAAACAGCTGAGACTAGTTGTCAAACGAGCGGAGGCAACAGATCTCAACTTTAAATGGTGAATTTGTCTTTTCCAGCCCAGTCCACTTGCAGTTCTCTAGAATTCACATGCTCCAGTGGCCGATGTGTTTCTCAGACTTTTGTGTGCAATGGGGAAGATGACTGTGGTGATGGAAGTGATGAACAAGGGTGTCGTACACCTATCTGTGGGCCACATGAGTTTCAGTGCAAGAACTCTGAGTGTATCCCACTGACCTGGGTGTGTGACAACAATGCTGACTGCACTGATCGATCTGATGAATCTCGAGACAGCTGTGGCCATACCCTTCCTCCTCCTGTGACCTGTTCTCCGAGTGAAATGCCATGTGATTCAGGAGAATGTATCCACCGCCTATGGTACTGCGATGGTGGGATTGACTGCAAAGATGGAAGTGATGAAGCTAATTGTTGTAAGTCGAAAGATCTATAAGCTTTAGGTCTCTACAGGTGAGAAGGGGCACATGACGACAGCTTTACATAAGAACATAAGAAATAGGAGCAGGAGTAGGCAATTCGGTCCCTCGAGCCTGCCCCGCCATTTAATAAGATCATGGCTGATCTTCTAACCTAATTCCATTTACCCACCCTATCCCCATATCCCTTTAAGGGGTTGTTTGTGGGTCTCCTAATTATCACAAGCCAGTTCTTTCTGCTCTGAATTCCATGCTGTTTGATGGGGTTGTTGTGCCAACAATCTGGTGAAAATCTTTCTGAGGAACTATTTGAAGGCTCTAGAACCTCATTTCATATCTTAGATCTTCATGGGAGTGAGTGGCTTTTACTCAGTAAAATACTGTAATTTTTTTCTGTCTTTAGGACAATCGCTATAGCATAAGATGTTTTCTGCAAGCGAGGTAACTTCTGGGGATTGCATTATACATTGGGGATTTTGAGCCTTTCTTTGTTGAAACATGGAGGGAATGGTTGTCGTTCAAAAAGAATGGGGCAAATTGTGAACATTGCTAACCTTTCGCAGCTCTTGTGACTCGTTCTATATAGTCAAGTCTTAACATTCAAATCGTTTGCATGCTAAATATTAATGTGAGAAGATTTCCTGCAACATTTCACTTCCATTTTTCTATCAGCTGTTCAAACGTGTAGACCAGATCAGTTCAGATGTGGTGATGGCAGCTGCATCCCTGAAAGCTGGGAATGTAACAAAATGATGAACTGCATTGATGGCAGCGATGAGGTCAACTGCACAAAAGGTAGGTGTCCAATCTGAATTATAGGCTTCAAAAGTTCAATAAATGTTCTCTCCTGAAACGTTTATCATTCTTTCCTCCAGAAGTTCCAACATGCACAGGGCCTACTGATTTCAAGTGCCAAAGCGGAGAATGCATACAAATAAACCAAGTGTGTAACCGCTATCTGGACTGCAAGGACTGGAGTGATGAACCCTTCAAAAGTTGCCGTAAGTGTCTTGGGAGTGCTACGGATGTGCATCTAGTTTAAAATGTCAGCATCTGTTTTACAAGCATTTGTTTCTGACTAAGCCAATCAGTTTGATTATCAGTGCCTGAGATTCCATACAAAGGTGCTTTTCCTGAGTATCTATTGGGAACCCTGAGGGGTTTTGTGCACTGTTCCAATGTAACTCATGTAAAATGCCAGGATTGCCTTAACTGCTGATAATTACAGTCAGTGCAAGGTTCTCTTCCCAAGGGAACCTGTATTGAATGACCTTTGTGGGATTTGTCATAAACAGTGCAATGTGCATTTTAATCTTCCAAAACTGAAAACCATGTCTTGTGTTTCCTCTAAATTCCAGGAAGATTTGGAGTTTTTTTTGGGGGGTGGGGAAAGGGAAGAGAGGAATCCTTAAGGATTCCGATATGGTCTACTTCCAGAGCAGCCTTCTCATGGGTCCGTTTACCATGAGTTTCAGTGTGCATTAGACTCAAATACGTGCACTAGTCAGTTTTCCACAAGCATTAACCTTTTGCTGTAATTCAATTCTAGAACTCGTTTGGGCTTTCATTCCCTTTCCCTTGTGCCCCCCTTCACCGGGTGTAAAACCAGTTGTTTGAGTAAAGAGGGAGTATTAATTTGACCAAAGTGCTGCTTGGGTCATGTGGTAGGTATATGATGGGTCAAGCAGTGATCGGCTTTATTCTTCCTACATTTGTATCCGGAGTAGCTGAGAATAGATTTCCAGTCCACTGTCAATTGACAGTCCACTCTCGATTCTAAGTTGCCGAGTAGTTTGTATTAGATTTTTCTGGAAGATTTGCCTTTTGTTTTCTTTCAGTTAATAATAATAATCCTTGCATTTAATACAACACCTTTTCAGATCTTCCAGACGTCTCAAAGTGCTTCACAGAATATACTGCAAATTTGAATTGACTGTTTGTTTTGTGGGCGAAACGCGGCAGCCATTTGCACACAGCAATGTCCCACAAACAGTCGTGGATTGAATGACAAAATTTTGATTTATTTTATTTAAAGTGATTATTACTCCTGGGAAAAGTGATCCCCCAATCGAAAAACAACCGGGTTCCTACTTACTACTGGGTAAACAGCAGCATGTGGCATAAGGAAACTTGCCCAATGTTTCACCCTGCCCGGCAATCGAACACAGATCCTCTCGCTTGCGAGGCGAGTGCTCTAACCAATGAGCTACAGGACTCCACTGTAGTCTTTGAACTGCTGAAACAACTTGATCCTTTTAATCTGCAGATGTGAACGAATGCTTGGACAACAGTGGTGGCTGCTCTCACCTGTGCAAGGATCGTCCCATTGGGTATGAATGTCATTGTCCTGATGGCTTTGAGTTGATTGACCAGAAAACATGTGGAGGCAAGTCAACTAACCCTTTGTTGTTGTTGTTAACTAATGGTACAAACTTACTTCTTTACATGACGATAATGTTATAAACTTGCTCCTTTCATGAAACTCTTCCATTATAGATGTCGATGAGTGTCAGAAGCCTGGAACTTGCGGTCAAATTTGCATCAATCTGAAAGGAAGCTATAAATGTGAATGTCATACAGGCTATCACATTGATCCAACCACTGGAGTTTGCAAGGGAATAGGCAAGTAGAAAGTTAAGGAAAGTCCAAGTTCTCCCTGCCAGGATATTAGTGGGTAATCTGTTGTTTTTAAGGTAAGGAATGGAAACCTCTCTAGCCTTCTCCTCTTCCCCAAAGAAAATGTACTTCTGTGCCTGAAAACCGTGCAGTAATTAATCTTAGCATTCTTCTCTTCTCTCCCCCGAAATACTCTTCACTGTCTGCCCCATACCCAATGGTTCTCCCACTGATGGTGGGGGCGTGAAACAGTCTGCAGTCTTGTTCCCACCCCAGCTGTAGTTTCTATTTAAATCCTCAACTCCAAATGCTACAAAATATTCAAACCATACCCTTTCTGTATCTCCAATCCTTTAATACCATGGTACTTGCAGCTTTTGTCTTTTGATCTTCAATCCTTCTACCATGTAGATTTCCTTCTACCACATAAGATTTCAACACTGTCATCCTCTTTCTTGTCCAACCCCTCATAGAATTGTATTTGACATGTAGTGTCCCAAACAAATATGTAGGACGGTGGAAGATGAACTGAATGTATCTTGATCTTTTGCCTAGCAAATTCTTATGTTATGTATTTCTCCATTCAAAGTTTGACTTCCTGCTGTATTACTCTACTAGGAACAGAGCCTTATCTATTCTTTACTGATCACCACGATATCAGGAAACTAGGACTTCACAGCAAGGAGTACACAAAGGTAGCTCTGGAACTGAGAAATGTGATATCGCTAGACACTGATATTGCTGCACAAAGAATTTTCTGGGGTGATTTGGGACAGAAGACAATTTTCAGGTAATGCAAACACTGTGAATTTAAGAATTACTATAAACTGTAACGCAGAGAATTTATAAACCTGTTAACACTTCTCAGGTGCAGTAGTTGATACAGGTATAAGGTTTTGTTTTTTATCTGCATATAATCTATTCAAACCTATTAGATACTGGCCAACACTCACCAGTTAGTTCTTGTATTACCCTAACCTAATTATCTGCCTATCTGCTGTTGGACCTACTTATCTTAATTTTTGGATGCACTGTCAACTGCTTCCCTGACCTGTTTTTCAAATATTGGCAAATCTAATTTGGAAACTGTCTTGTGACAGACTTGAAGATCCCTCATAAAAATTGTTAGCTATTTCATTTCTAGAGAATATTTAATGGAAGGTTAACTGAATGGATCCGAGCTCCTGTGGATCCAGTAGAAAGGCTTCCTCCAGCCCATGTGCAACGTCCAGGATCAAGCAGTGTGGTGGATTTGTGGCAAACGCGGGAAGCATTTGCAAGGAGGGAGGGGGGGCTCTGTCCTCTACTGACCCTGGAGACTGTTGACTTCACAGTGGACACCACTATTTGCCAAGGCTCCTCACCTGGAATGAGTAGCTGACACTGAGTAACCTGTTATGCAGCGTTGGACTTGAACCTTGAAGGTTGGCACAGTACAAGCTGTCCTGTAAAGGTCTGGCCACCATGCTGAAGGCAGATGTCTGCCAGTTAGCTGATGAGGAAATTCTAAAACTTGGGGCAACAGCTGCTGGAACATTCTGAAGTCTGAGTTTGCAAATACATGTTTGTACATACAGCGCCTGGGATCCACATTGATTGGTTTACAGAGAGGTCAGCAGCTGCTGGTTAAGTTCGCACTTCCAATTGGTGGACCATCACTCAATGGGATGGGACACATTTCTGAGTTGTGGGAAGGAAGATGGTGGTAATACTCTCACACGTGTCATGCTGAGCTGCGCTGCATACCAGGAAGCTTGCAGGGAGTTCCTTGTACCTACCATGCACCTAGTGAGGGTTCAAACCTGTGCTTGTTGGATGTCAAATAACCAACTAGTGACGTTCCTCCAGTGGATGTGAGGGAGGTAAGCAGGGTCTCTTTGGAGCTGAACTGGCTCCAAGGCGACGCGTTTGGCAACAATATGTCGTAATCAAGCCCACCCTCTGTGGCGGTCTCAGTTTTCCGGTTCCTGAGGCTGGCAGATTTGCAGTATTCCAGGGTACTGCAAAGCCAGCCTGGCTCATCAGCAGGACCTGGAAGGCCAGACCAGTCACTGGGGGCAGGGACTCTTCCCACTCAGCTCCAATTAAGCCCTGCAAGCCAAAGCCCAAAGACGAAGAGAGGTCCTAGCTGGCAAGCTTGCCAGACAGTGCTATCGATGGCAAACTATGGGGTTTTAGCTGATTGTACTTGAGCAGTACCCCAATGCACATGATGAGATCTCCAAATCTTGGCTCTTGCCAGAATGTGCCTAATGCTTTCTGGAATTAGGTAAGTTGAATTAGGTAAGGAGGGAGAGAGAGCGTATTCCCTTCCAAAAGCCTATCTTTGGAATTTCTATGTGGAGGTGGGATGCTTGGAGCTCCATTTAGTTTGGATATTCATAAGCACAGTGATTGGTTGCCACATGACACCTGGCTGACCCCAAAACAATCTTTCTAGAGAAGATATGGCATAATTATGTGTCCTCATCTTAGAAAGAGGTTACTATCTGATAATGGCATGGTCATATGTAACTCATTTCAACAAACTGATCAAATACGGTTCTGTTGTAGCAAATGCACAAATAGCTTTGCCATTAACTTTGGTTGACTCCATCTTTTCATGAAGTCTGAGACTCCTAATTTAATGTGAACATCTCAATCTTTAAGTATGTCCATAGATAAACAAGAAGACAACCCAGTGTATTCCAAGTTCTTAAGGGTTCCCATATTCCTGTGGGCATTGCTGTGGATTGGATCTACAAGCACATCTACTGGACTGATGCCAGCAATAAAACCATATCCGTGGCTACCTTTGATGGAATCAAAATGAAGATTCTCTTTGACACTGACCTCAGGGAGCCATCTTCTGTGGCAGTTGATCCACTATCCGGGTACTGATGGTTTATATCAAATTATGTATCCACAACCTGTCTTTCAACATATATGATGGTCTCTATATTAGAGGCAATTAAGCACCTTGGGCAGCCAGGTGGCTAATTGAGAGCAAGTCTAGTATACAGTCACAAAAGCTTTTATACTAGTTCTCCTTTCTTGCCATATTTTGTTCATACTGTTTATCTCATCTTTTCTTCCACCACAAAAATACCAAAGTGGAGAGGAAAATGTGCCGCATTCATTACTTCATTATATAAGACAATGAATTGGTGGCTCTAGAAAGGCCCACACTTTTATATTGTTATAGTTCTATATTGGCTAGGTATACACTATAGGCTGTACATACACTGTACTGGTTGCTCTGCCTGTATATACACTGTGTGCACAAGGGAATAACTAGATAAAGATGTAATAAGTAAATGTGCAGTTGCTGAACAAATTTCCCAAAGTTTTATTGCTGCAAGTGATTGGTGCATTGTTCTCTTAAAAAAACTAAGTGGCTAGTTAAATTAATGGCTAATCTCATGTGGAATGGTCCATTCCACCTAAATCTAGGGCTCTTTTTGATGTAAGCTCATCTGTGTATACCACTGAACTGTAGTCCAGGCAGTCATTGGCTTCCTCTATATATAATGGAAGGTGCTTAAGCATCCTTTATTCGTCTTGCTACTAGTTGTGGGGAATTTGGGTTTATTTTAATGTATACATCAATGTATCCTAAAATTAAGTCTGTGTGCCCCATGATGTTTCTCAGTTTAGACGTGGGAAAGGAAAACACCTGAAGTTTGTGCTAATTCACTGATATACTTTTATGTCGAAGGTTCATTTACTGGTCAGACTGGGGTGAACCAGCAGTAATAGAAAAAGCAGGGATGAACGGTGTTGATCGTCAGCTCCTGGTTACCCAAGATATTCAGTGGCCAAATGGCATTGCACTAGGTGAGCAGAGTGCTAAAGGTCCATTTTTTTCCCAACGTTTGGATTGTCAAGTCGTTTCTTTAAGTGATTGCTCCCTTGTCTACAGACCTTGTGAATAGCCACCTTTATTGGGTTGATTCAAAAGTACACAGCCTGTCATGTGTAAGCTTAAATGGCCAGGATAGAAGAACCGTGCTACAGTCTCAGGAATTCCTTGCTCATCCTTTCAGTCTCGCAATATTTGAGGTAAGGTTCATGTCCTTCAGGTGTGAATGTATGTAACTTTGAATTGAAGTAATATTCCTGGTGAGTGTTGGATGAGCAGAATACTTATTCCTTTGCACTGGTCTCTGGTCAACTTTAAAAGATAGTGGACCATTTATGTTCATTACAGAAATTTGTCCATCAATACTTCAATATATTGAGTAGATCACAGCATGCTAGAAAGCCACCCGATGCTCCTTCAAGCCTCTGGTTGTCTATGTGTCCAAGTTGTTAATGTTTAAAGTATATTGGTTGTATGGTGAAGGAAAACCCAAATCACTCCCTGTATAATGAAGGAAGTGGTCTGATATCTTAATAGCCTTCAGAAGAGTAGAACTGGTTTAACAAAACATTGTGTGGATCTGAAGCATGAGACTCCATTACCCATATTTTATAGATGAATTTGGAACTAAACATCTAGATATAAAAGCAGTGATAAACTACATTCTTATCAAATGTAGCAATTATTTTGGTTATTTCTCTATTTGTTGCTCGAGCCTCAGTTTGACTGAGCACATGGAATAGTGTAAGCATTGACTGTCATTGGCGAGAGAGCCTTCAGCCACTCTGCCCTCAACCTCTGGAACTCCATCCCCCAGTCACTCCACCTCACCACCTCCTTAGCCTCCTTCAAGTCCCGCCTCAAGACCCTCCTCTTCAACCATGACTTCGGCCACCATCTTCCTCTCCCCTTTTCCCCCCCTGACCCCAGCTCAGGTCTGAAATGCTGTACATTGTCCAGCACCTTGGGATATCCTCCCAACGTGAAAGGCGCTGTACAAATGTAATCTTGTTTTTTGTTGTTATCATAGAGGGATTTAATGGACCATAATATACACTTAAGAATTGCAATACTTCCTGGCAGTCTATAGAGCTGATATACCACTTCAATCAAAGAAGGAATGTTAGTGGGTGTTAGGTCTTGAAATGAAATTGATTTTGTTCGCAGGATCATGTCTTCTGGATTGATGGAGGGAATGAAGCTCTCTTTCGAGCCAGTAAGCTAACAGGAGAGAATGTGGTGACTTTAGCTTCCAACCTGAAAGAACCTCGAGACATCATTGTGTACCATGAACTAATTCAGCCACCTGGTAAGAGCTCGAGCTGAAACATTTAATGGAATCAAACTTGATTAAAAACTTCTCAATTTGTAAATCCTTGACATTTCCTCATTGTAGCATGTTGTAGCATTTTTGTTCGGGCACAAACTTGGTTTACATTATTGAGCAGTTTGATTAGAACGGTGCTCCAGACAATCTATTGATTTTTGTCCACAGGCATAAATTGGTGCAATGACGGTGTTACGAATGGAGGCTGTGAATACCTGTGTCTCCCTGCTCCTCAGATCAACACTCAGTCCCTAAAATACTCCTGTGTGTGTCCCTCTGGGATGCAGTTGAAGGCAGATGGACAAGTGTGTACAAATGGTAGGTTCTGCACTTCTCAACAATTCAAAGAAGATAATCTAATAACCTGGATAATTCAACTGCTTCATTGTCATAAGTCTTCTAACACTTGCATATTTCAAACTGGAGATTTATGTATTATAAAAACAGTGGCTTAGTGAATTCTAATTGAATACGTCAATGCAATATTTAAAATTGGCTCATAGTCCCCTCCCTGAACTAACTTCTTTTAGACGATTAAGACATTTAAAAACAGATTATTGCATATTTCAAGACAACTCTAATATCCAGAAGGTAGGTAGGCCAATGTATAGGCAGACATTGACTTGCCTGCTCTGAGCCTCCTCAGTGAAGTGTTGAAATCTGGTTTCAAGTTTGGCTTCAACCTGTACTCTCATGTCCATGATATTTAAACATCTTGTCCTCTTCCTCTCTGGGTTTGAAAGCTATAAATAGCTTTCCAGACCTGGAGCTGTCCTGGTTAAGATTAACTTCCTGTGACTTATTTGAATGAAATGTTTTAAGTACTGCCATGGAAACAGTGACGAGAACTGGGTATTGAGATTGAAGCTCTACTGGCATCATGCTTAAGTTGATGTTGTCTTTCGGCTGCCTTCTGTGCAGGTAGTACTTCAAAATCACTCTGTATTCTAAATCCTCCTCTAGCTGATCTAAAATGCATTGGGGTTGCCTCTACCTGCATTGGAGTACAACCTTCCCTCATTTGACTCTTAAAATGCTTGTGAACCAGTCTTCCCATTTGCCTTGCCTGGCTTAATTATCCTGTTCATTTTCTCTTGTCTGTAGTTTTCTTGTTATTCCATGCTGTAGGCAACACTTGGCTTGTTGCCTTCCTGAACAGTTGTCTATTCTATGAATGGCCACATTGACAGCCTTAGTTATGGACATGAATTTTGAAAATATTTGCAATTGAAACCAGTCTTCAATCTACCCATTACTAGAGTCTCCCTGTGCAGATCTGTTCCTATGCATTTCGCCTATGTAAGCTGACAGCTTGGTAATAAAATCCAGAAGACAACTTAACATTCAAGTGTAAACTGAATTGAGCTGGAAACATTTAGATGCTTAACATCTAAAATAAGGCATTAAATCCAGGTTCTTGATTCTTTCTCAGCAAGTCATGAAAAAACACACATTCTCAATGGCCGTGAGTAGTAGATTTGAGTTGGCCCTATTTGGATGGATGAGCTTTACTGGGTCATGATATGCAGCACAATAGAAAATATAGGACAGACACCCTGAGGTGAGTTAGTTGTGTCCAAATCAGAAGTGGCAATTAATGATGCTGAGAACTGTCAGCCTATTGCTCCATCTGGTCTACAATTGACTTCTCATAATGGAGTAGCTGGAAACCAAGGATGATTGATGAAGTGACATGGCTACTGCTCTCTTCCTCCATACAGTTCTTGCAATGTTTACTTCCGTGCAATCCGTAAAAGAATGGCAAATAACAGTGCTTTGCTGGCAACAAATGTTCAAAACTTTTGATTTGCAGAAGGTTGAGATAGCTTTAAGAAACCTTTTTTCAAGCCAATGAGTAGACTTCTCTCATATTAGACAACCACAGGTACACTTCCTTGTCCCATTGAATTATGCTAACTAGAGGAAAGACAATAGATGTAGATTTTTGTCATAATTGCCATCTCCAAAATATGGGGTGAATTACATGTTTGACTCTTCACTTTCCCCCCCTCCCCATCCGCTCCAAATGTCCCATAGCTTTTTTTGGGGGGTGGGGTGGCATACAGCTCATGCATTTTATTTTAACTTCCATAGTTACTCAGTCAGAAGAAATGTTTTAATATTGTGATGTTTCAGATACCAGTAGATGCCATGTCAATGAATTCAGCTGTGGTGCTGGATCTCTTCGTTGTATTCCTGTCTCCTGGAAATGTAATGGAGGAAAGGACTGTGATGACAGCAGTGACGAGGATAATTGTGGTAGGTTCTTTATAAACATTTAGCTAAAGAGAGAGCAACTTCATCTAAAACACAGCTGTCAGAAAAGCTTTCAAGTTGCCAATAAAGATGAAAATAAGCAAGTGACCACTTGAATTCAGTGATGTGATTGTAAACTCTTACTGGATCAGCATCAACAATGGACCAATTTTTAAATCCTTGCCCAGTCTTAAACAACATTAATTATTTTTTGAGGGGGGGAATAAACCTCTGGATCCAGCCTATTGAATGGAACATGTGGGACATTAAGTAAATAAAAAGTAATTCAACTATTCTTTGGAATGAGATCGACAAACTCATCAAAGACAACTTGGGTCTATTTGAATAGGACCTACCTATTCAGATTAAGCTTCACCATTCTGCTTTGCATCAAAGGAAATCTTATATTTGATATATATTTCCCATTGTTCAAAAGTATCCAAAGAATTTGGAGAAGAGCACACGCAAACTAGAATTTACTTAGTGATGAAGAAAACCTCATGGCTAATGGTCTCATTTAATTTTATCTTTCAGCCCAGCCTTCTTGCAATCCATTAGAATTCACATGCTCCAGTGGGCGTTGTGTTTCCAAGACCTTTGTTTGCAATGGGGAGGATGACTGTGATGATGGAAGTGACGAACAAGGGTGTCGTACACCTACCTGTGGGCCACATGAGTTTCAGTGTAATAATTTGGAGTGTATCCCACTGACCTGGGTGTGTGATACCAAAAATGACTGTTCAGATGACTCTGATGAATCTGCAAGCTTCTGTATGCGCACCCTTTCTCCTGTAACCTGTTCTCCTAGTGACTTCCAGTGTAGTTCAGGTGAATGCGTTCACCACCTCTGGCACTGTGACGGAGACCTTGACTGTAAAGATGGAAGTGATGAAGTGAGCTGCCGTAAGTAGCTTTATTTTCTGTCCGGAATCACCTTTTTTGTATTTGTAAAGTACAGGCTGCCATTAAATATTTCCCTATACACTCAGTTTAAACGAGTTGTATTGAGTTAGTGCAGCGACTATAATCCAATAGACTTTTCTGATTTTTAAATCATGTGCTGAAGATGTTCCATCCTTGTAAATTCTTAGTATAAGCCAATTTCAAGAGTGCATTTGCCTTCTCTAAATGTAGCACTCTTGATACTTCAAAATAAGACATTTCGACCTTTCAATTCTTGCAATGTGAAACTATTTCTGTTCTTTAAATGAAATTTGCATCTCGCTTCCACAAAACTGAGTCACCTATTTCAAGTTGATGTTCCATAATGCAGACTTTTACTGAAGCAATATGTCAAAGAGGCTGCTGGTGTGACAGTAGTTCTGCCTGGGGAAACCAAGCACACTCACCACTGCCTGGCTGAATGTACTTGCTCAGATCAGGCTGGTACTCTAGTGCTTTGCTGGGGGAGTGTCGAATTGTCTGAAGTACCATCCTTTGGAATGAGATGTTAAATCTCTCATCTGCCTGAACTTTTATCCTGATTTTTCAGCAACTCAAACATGTAGACCAGATTACTTTAGATGTGATGACGGCAACTGTATTCATGGAAGAAGGAAATGTGATGAGTTTAAGGACTGCAATGATGGCAGTGACGAGGTCAACTGCAAGAATGGTGAGCACCCAATTAAATGAAGCAACGTTAGGCTTTCATTTCCAAGCCAAAAGTTTGATCTTTGTTTTTTCTGCAGTTTCAGAGTGCAAGGGACCAAATGACTTCAAGTGTCAAAGTGGAGAATGTATAGACATCGCCAAAGTATGTAACCGTATTCAGGACTGTAGGGACTGGAGTGATGAGCCCTTTAATGGATGTAGTAAGTGCTTAAGGCTTGTAGTTATTGCTATTTTCTGTTCAATCATAAAGCAAAGTCTCAAGTATGTTGTATATCATTGAAGTTGATCTTTGATCTGGCAATTTTCTAAGCATCTAAACATCTTCTCATCACTCAGCAGTTTAATTCTGTGCCTGGTGTGGTACTAAATGGAGGGAAATAATTGCTTTGCTAGAGGACTTGCTCGGTGGCAACTCTTTCAGCCACTGTGCCCCGAAATTCTGGAACACTCTTGGTCTATCCCTTCATCTTGACCCTTTCCCATCTTCAGGTCATGCTAGAAGACCTTCCTCTTTGACCGGGCCTACGGTCACCTCTGGCTCGGCGTCGTGCTCTGCCACTGTTGAGCGCACTAGGATGCTACCCTGCATGAAGGGCATTTTATGTTGACTCTTATAAACAGATTTTTTTCACATCCACTACTCGTTTCATTCATCCACAAGATTCCGTTTGAGCCTCAAACAAGGAGACGTAAATGTAAGATGGACAAATTTTGGAGGAACTTCCTATAGAGGGTAGGAGAGAATATGGAACTTGCTGCTGGAAGCTGCGGTTGAAATAGAAAGAATTCTTTAAGAGGAAATTTGATGCTACATAAGGAAATGGAGGGATTGGGTAGAGGCTCAGAGTATAAGTATTAACATGGGCTGGTTGAGCCAAAATGGCCTATTTCTGTGCTGTATGTGCAATGTTAGTGCATTGCTACGTTTCCCTTCATTTGTCATCCATATTTATATGGTACATTTCACATCAGGAGAATGTCTCAAAGCACTTTACACAGCTGATTGGGCAGCCAAGAGGGGTGGGGAAATGACTGAAGGGCAGCCCCAGTGAGATTTATCTACATAATGAATATAATGATTAAACGCTCTGAGATGCTACCTTGCTATAATTTCAGAACTAGTTTTCATCCCTTATAGACTTGATTGCTTGTGTCTTTTCAATAAGTGTTTGGAATGTTTATGGCATGCTTCAAAACCAGATAGATTTGGGGTTTGTGGAGAAGGAAGGGGAGTGAAACCTGACTCGTAACCTGTCAGTATTTGTTCTCTAGCCTACTACTGCTGTCTTCAACTGACTGGAGCTTATTAAACTTCAAATACTTTTTTCCCCATTCTGCAAGAAGTTTGCAAACTTTAAATTGTTGGCTGTAGTTGGCTCAAATTGATTTTTTTGGCAAAATGTCTCTTGTGCATTTGGAATCTGTCCATCTCTTCAGTTGGTTCACGTCAGGAAAGCACCAATGTGCTCTTTGGTTTAGTTTCATAAACCCATGTTCTTAAAGCGCACATGTTTGTGTGTGTTCCTTCTTTAGAGAAAGACTGCACTACAAAGCTACTGCAGCAATAATAATTAATTTTCTGCTGTTTAAAACCTGGGATTTAATCAGTTGACTTGGCTATCAAAAATCCTTGTGTGTGATTATCGAGTCTGGTGGTCAAATGACCAGAAGACTTCATTGTTTCATCAAAAAGGTCAATAAGTTTTCTTCCATAAGCAATATGTCAAAATTATTTATATTAAAACAAAAGTAAGTTCCAAGCAGCATATGTCAGAAGTAGCATCTAGTTTGTCAAATTGGCATCAAATGCTGATCTTGGCTTCAGAAACTATCGTTGCAACCAACTAATTTTTGCAAGGGTTAAGGTTGCCAAAAGCTGTGTTGCCATAGCATATGTTAATTAATGTGGCATCTGTTCTTTTCTGCTCCCAAAAGCCATTTGAAACTATTGTACTGAAATGTGAGGTTTCTCTCTGTAGAGTTGAATGAGTGCCTGGTGAACAATGGTGGCTGCTCTGACATCTGCAAGAATCTGGTCCTTGGTTACGAATGTGATTGCCCATCTGGTTTGGAGTTGGTTGATGGAAAGAACTGTGGTGGTAAGTTGGCTGATTCATAACCAGATTCAAGAGATTTGACCTCATTTTATGTAACTATTCCATTGCCACCAGGCTCCATGACCCCACCCCTTGCCCGACTCCACTGGCTCCCCATGCCCCAGAGGATTGAGTTCAAGATCCTCGTCCTCACCTTTAAGGCCATCCATGGCCTTGCCCCCTCCTACCTCTCTGATCTGCTGACTCCCTACCAACCTGCCCGCTCCCTCTGTTCATCGGGCTCCGGTCTGCTCCATGTCTACCGCCCTACCATTGGTGGCCGGGCTTTCAGCCTTTCTGCCCCCACACTCTGGAACTCCATCCCATGGTCCCTTTGCCTCACTTCCTCCCTTGCCTCCTTCGAGGCCGGTCTCAAGACCCTTCTCTTCGACCGTGCCTTTGGTCTCCCTCCCAACTCTCTGCCTTCTCTCACCCCTACACCACCCCTCCCCCATGCTCGGGCCCTGACATCTGACTGTTCAGCGCTTTGGGACGTCCTCCCGATGTGAAAGGCGCTCTATAAATGTAATGTTATTGTTGCTAATTTTTTGCAGATATTGATGAGTGCCAAAACCCTGGAACCTGCAGTCAACTTTGCATCAATTTAAAAGGAAGTTATAAATGTGAATGTCGTGCAGGATACCGCATGGATCCAGCTTCCGGATTTTGCAAGGCAGTAGGTGGGTATGTTTTCAACAAGCAGTGACTTTCAGCTAAACACTATTGCCAATTGCTAGGGGTACAAATCTATGGGTGCTGGGGAAAGCCCACTTGTGCTTGATAGATTATTAGAACTATTGCCATTCCTTATCTAAGTCTCCAATTCTGTGCAGCTTTCTCCTGTCTTGGATCTGATGCAATTCCAGTCAATCTTTCCAGTGTTTGTCTATTATGATAATTGCCGCTTCTTCTCTCCTATTAGCCAAGTATTGGTCCCATTTTAATATTGGTTTATCATAGAATTATACAGCACAGGAGGAGGACAATTTGATGTGTGAAAAAAATTCTCCACCTCCTATTTTTTTAAGAACTATTTTAAATCGGTGTCCTCGGGTTACCGACCCACCCGCCAGTGGAAATAGTTTCCTCTTGTTCACCCTATTGAATCCCCTCATAATTTTGAATTCTTATTAATTCTCCTCTTAACCTTCTCTGCTCCAAGGAGAATAATCCTGGCTTCTCTAGCCTCTCCTGATAACTGAAGTCCCTCATTCCTGGTACCATCCTTGGCACTGCCTCCAATACTTGACATCCTTCCTAAAGTGTGGTGCCCAGAACTGAACACAATACTCTAGCTGAAGCCTAACTAATGTTTTATAATTGTGTTTTACAGCACGATTCCTTAAACATGTTCCAAAGCATGGATACAACCTACCTAAATGTGGACTGAGTGTTCTAAATTATTGATCCAATTGAATTTAAATTATACTTCAGGAATAATAGACAATTCAATGTGTTGCACATTTCTGTACAGTACATACTTGAAAGTGTTGTGAATGCAAACATGTTGAATATCAATGAAGGATCTTGATTAAAATAAAGTACTAATATGATTTTAATTGTGCTCTTCACAAATCACTGCTAAGAGTATTCCAGAATTCACCATAGGAATTGATAACCTTTGCACTAAATCTTTGACCTTTCTGATAGGAAAGGAACCCTACCTGATCTTCACTAATCGCCATGACATTAGGAAACTGGGACTCCACCACAAAGAGTACACCCAGATAGCTGTGCAGCTGCGAAATGCAGTGGCGTTAGATGCTGACATTGCTGCACAGAGGATTTTCTGGCCTGACTTGGGAGAGCAGGCGATTTTCAGGTAGGTAAATATTTGAATACAGCAATTGTATTCCTGAAACTACTTTGCAATACTGAAATGCCCGTCCACAATACTTAAACTCCTATCATAGCTTTTTTTTTTAGCTGTGGTAGTTAATGCACAACACGTGGCCATGTGGTGGATTATTTGAACATGTCACCAGGCTTAACTTTAAATGATTAAGTATGATTCTTCATCCAAGCCTGAACATAGCTGAATTTGTTACATCTAATTGAGCTGCTGGGTTATATTCAGGCCAAAGAACTGTGAACTTGCATCTGTGCACCATGAGACATTATTGCTATGGGCTTAATATTGGTACATTTGACAATGATCCAAGAGATTAGTTCAAAAGAATTCCACGATAACCCCATCACTTTTCTTTCTACATGTATGACAATTTTGTCTTTCCAAAATATTTTTCGGGAGTTTCATTAAAGTTGAGCAAAGTTAAATTGCTCTTATGAGCAATTTCCAATGTAGTGTACAGAATTAGATCTTCATGCTATGTCCTTTCTTTTGCAGCATGTCCATGGATAAGTGGGAAGGCACAGCTGGTATACCCAGACTGGTCAAGGGTGCCCAAATGCCTGTGGGAATTGCTGTGGACTGGATCTACAAACACATCTACTGGACTGATCGTGGGACTAAAACCATATCTGTGGCTACCTTTGATGGAACCAAATCTAAGATTCTTTTTGACACTGACTTGAGGGAACTAGCTTCTGTAGCAGTTGATCCGCTAACAGGGTATTGAACTTTACTAACGTTGGGTGTTCCTTGGTGTAAATACAACATGAGGTTTGTTTAAAAAAAAGTCCTGCCTAAATACATATCTTATTGTGGTATTATTTACTATAAAGTATTGTAAGTAAATATCTCGGGTTTCAAAATTCTAATATTAAAGTATTAGGCTGGGTCAGCAAAAAAAAAGCTAAGGGGGAAGAAATTACTAGGATGGGTAAAAGCGGCCTAGATGTGTTTGGAATTCTGGGGCCGAAGGAGTTGATAGCATTGCTTTACTTCCCTCAACCAGGTCACGTTTTTACATTACAGAAGGTGGCAAGTCACCAAAAGTTGCTAATAAGACTGATTGGGATGTTTTGCTTAACTGCATTGCCGTACCAAACTTTAATCCCAAAGTACTTTCTAAATATGTACATCAAAACCTTTACTTGCAAAATTATCTATTATGTTGCAGATTCATTTACTGGTCTGACCTGGGAGAACAAGCTGCCATTGAAAAAGCAGGAATGAATGGTGGTCATCGCCAACTCCTGGTTAACACCAACATTCAATGGCCAAATGGCATTGCCCTTGGTAAGTTACGTTAAACCAGTAGAGGGAGCACTTTTCCAATGTTTCACATAAATAAAGCCTGGTTTATCCACTGCTATTTTCTCCACAGATTTTGTGAAAAGCCGCCTCTATTGGGTTGACTCCAAACTGCATATGGTATCGAGTGTGGACCTAAATGGTCAAAATAGAATTGACCTCTTCTCCCAGTTCCTCGTTCATCCTTATGCTGTAGCGTTCTATGAGGTGAGATGTGTTTGGCTGGAAAAAGGTGGAATCAAAGTAGGATGTGAACCGTTGCCCTTTGATGTATGATGAGAGCTGAATTTTTGGGGCTCACTTTTCAGACATAAAATATAACATTTTAGCTTCTAAGAAATCACAGATCTTCACTAACTTTACCATTGACTTAAGAAAAAGCATCCTCTCTGCTCAAATTTTAAGATTAAACTTTATTAAGTACTAACGATTAGACTAACTTCAACAGATATCCTGTCCTATGTGTGTTTAATATTATTAACTAAGTTTTCTGACAAGCCAGATAGACACAATATTATGTTCCTATTCAGAACAGATGGCCTCTGAATAGTATTCAGTCCAACTGAACATTCAATTCCAGTGATCAACAAATGATCATAATTTCAGCAGTGGTTAAATGATACTTGCCTTGGAACAAACTGTAATTTTTTGCTGTAGGATCGTATCTTCTGGACTGATGGGGAGAATAACACCATCTATGAAGCCAACAAATTCACAGGAGCGGATGTGGTGGTTTTAGCTTCTAGCCTTAAAGAACCTCGGGGCATCATTGTCTATCATGAGCTGATGCAACCATCTGGTAGGAATTCAAATCTGGGGTGTAATATTTGATTTTTTTTTTAAATGTAGGAAGATTATGCCTATCTTTCCTTAGGTTAAGTCATTTATACTCTAGTGCAATTCTGCCCCCCTCCCCCCACAGTCTGGTGCACTAGTTTAAACTGGTGGCTTGCACCAGAATGGCTTCAATGTCGTGAATCGGCTCGGCAAGATTCCACACGTCGTGATTTAATATTGCTGAATGCTGCCTTGACTTGATAGATGCTACCAGTTGTTTTTTTCATCCTTGCCTATTTCATTGAATATCTATTGATGTTTATTACCAAGCAGATTTTTTTAACTCCTGCTCCATTTGACGGATAGGTCTTCAGATGTATTTTTTTTAAAAAATTGATGCAGAATATTTAATATTGGAAGATCCCTTCAAAGTATTGGTCATTGTTAGGCCTGCTAGCTTTTGCAAAACAAGAAATTGTTAGGAATTGGAAGTGCAGGAAAATGAATGAATTCTGATTTTCTCTCCAAGGTTATCTCTGAAGCAGTTCTCGGGTTCATCCATGCATTTTGCACTGATTTGCCATAAAATGCAATGCAATAATGGGAGAGGCATCTGAGCACTAAATCTGCCATTTATTTATTAAATTTGTTAACCTGTGTAGTTTTATTTTCTATATAGTGGATCTACTGCAGAATGCAACTTGTGAAATTCTAAGCCAGAATCAGCTTAATGAACCACAAAATTTGCTAATATTTATAACACTGATTGTGACCTTCAGTTTGAATATCTTTAAAAGAGGTAGCTTATGCGATAGTGGAGGCCTTATGTCTGTTCTTCCAAAATTCCTTGGATTCTGGAACAGTCCCCATGGATTGGAAGATCGCAAATGTCACACCACTATTTAAAAAGGTGGAAAAGAAAAGATGGGGAACTCTAGGCCAGTTAGTCTCACATCAGTGATAGGAAAAATTTTAGAATCATTGATTAAGGATGTGATAGTGCGGTATTTAGGGGAGCACAATATAATTAGGCCAAGTCAACATGGCTTTACAAAAGGGAAGTCATGTTTGACAAATCTCATAGAGTTTTTTGAGGACATTTCAAGTAAACTAGATAAGGGTGGATCAGTGGATGTGGTCGATTTGGACTTCCAGAAGGCATTCGATAAGGTGCCGCATAAAAGGTTAGTCCAAAAAATAAGGGCCCATGGAATTGGGGGGAGCATATTAACGTGGATTGGGGAATGGTTAACGGGTAGGAAACAAAGAGTAGGGATAAACGGGTCCTTTTCGGATTGGTGGGATGTGACTAGTGGAGTGCCACAAGGATCAGTCCTTGGGCCTCAGCTATTTACCATCTACATCAACGATCTAGATCAGGACATCAAAGTTAATATCTAAATTCGCGGATGACACAAAACTAGGAAGAAGTGCCAACACAGAGGACGACATTAAAAAAATGCAGCAAGACATAGATAGGTTAGGTGATTGGGCAGGTAGGTGGCAGATGAAGTATAATTTAGGGAAGTGCGAAGTCATCCACCTGGGTAGCAAAAACAGTAGAGCGGGTTATTTTTTAGAAGGGGAGAGATTGGAATGTGTTAGCGTCCAGAGGGACTTGGGTGTCCTTGTACACCAATCACAGAAAGTTAGTCTGCAGGTGCAGCAGCAATTAGGAAGGCGAACGGTATGTTAGCATTCATTATGAAAGGATTAGAGTATAAGAGTAGGGAAGTCTTGCTGCAACTGTATAGGGCCCTGGTGAGACCACACCTGGAATACTGTGTCCAGTTTTGGTCTCCTCATTTAAGGAAGGACGTACTTGCCTTGGAGGGGGTGCAGCGTAGATTTACTAGGTTAGTGCCAGGGATGAAGGGGATGAGTTACGAGGATAGGCTGACCAATTTGGGCCTATATTCTCTAGAATATAGAAGAATTAGAGGGATCTTATAGAAACCTATAAGATCATCAAAGGGCATGATAGAGTAGATAGTGGGAGATTGTTTCCCCTGGTTGGAGAAACTAAAACCAGGGGTCACAAACTTAAAATCAGAGGCCAGCCCTTTCGCACTGAGTTGAGGAAGAACTTCTTCACTCAAAGGGTGGTAAATGTATGGTACTCACTACCCCAAAGGGCTGTTGACGCTCAGTCCTTGAACATATTCCTAAAGTTATTCTTTAGATTTATCTTCCTTCTTATACGCACTCTAGCTGGTAACCTTCAATTCAGTGGCAGTTATTGTAACAAACTCTTATTTACAGGCAGAAACTGGTGCAATGAGAGCTTGCAGAATGGAGGCTGTGAATTCCTGTGTCTCCCTGCTCCTCAGATCAACAGTCATTCCCCAAAATACACTTGTGTCTGTCCATCAGGAAAGAACCCAGATAAAGGGGAACCATGTAGAACTGGTAAATAGTTTCAGGTTTTTTTTCTCCATCTCGCCCGCACCCTCCACTCTCCTTCCGAATGTCCTACATGGTTCATTGATTGAATATATCAGATCTACTTACACTTCACTGTTGCCAAAACTGGTCATGGGTGTTATTGTATTTGAAAAGTGGATGAGCTAGTATCATCTGGGGGTAAATGATATTCAGAGAATTAACATTTACAAGCATGTGTATAGCTGGTGTCAAATTACAACTAAAGATTGAATGAGAAACTATTGTCTAGGTTTAATTCCTGATTTCCGCTAACTTTCTAATTGATGCCATGTTTCATAAACAAACTGGTGAATAGGCATTATCAATTTGCAGTTCCTAGTTGCAAAGTTTTACTAGTTCTGTACCGTATGACTTTTCTCCACCAGCCAAGGTTACTTGCAGAGAGTCTGACTTCAGGTGCCACAATGGAAGATGTGTAATTGGGAAATGGCGGTGTGATGGGAATCCTGACTGCGAGGATGGATCTGATGAATATCCAGAACTCTGTCGTAAGTATCCCTATAGGAACGCGTTTTTTTTGTGACTCATTTGTTCTCTGTAAATGCTCAAACATTCAAAGAGCCTACACTGCATTGGATGACACAAGCTCTCCTAAATGTCTGAACAATCTAGAATCCATAACTTGCCCCTGGTAAGTCTTTTCAGTGACTGCAACAGCAATTGCTGTCTTCGACACATGTAACGACTATTCCTTGCTGAACATCTTGTAAAAGCAGTAGTTATGAGTGGAAAATGTTCGTCTCGCCCCCAGTCGATTTATTCGTTCCATTTGTTCAAAGAGCTGGGAATGAATGGTACTTTCAACTCAAGGTTACCAGAGATGTTATGCATTGTCCCTTGAAGAAGGCAAGTATGCTTTGTTTGAACAGCTTTGGATACACTTTTCAGAATAGTGTAATGAAACTAGTGAAAAACAGAATTACTGGCATCTGTGCTAAAATTCTTTGAATGTATTTTTCCCCCCTCAGGGCTATGCCTTAGAAAGGTATATTCAATACTTGAACATAAATGCCAATATTAAGTATTCATTGGTATGTAACAGTTTCTGTATTCTAATCTACCTAATCTATCTCGTGGAGTCCTGTAGCTCAGTGGTTAGAGCACTCGCTTTGCAAGTGAGAGACCTGAGTTCAATTCCAGGCAGAGGGCGAAACCTTGGGCAAGTTTCCTTACTCCACACAGAGCCTAATAATAATCCCTCCAAAACTAAAAACAATAATTAAATTGGTCATTTTCAATCTACGACTGTTTGTGGGACATTGCTGTGCGCAATTGGCTGCCGCGTTCGCCCACAAATATACAGTCAATTCACTTTACAGTGTGTTCTGTGAAGCGCTTTGGGACGTCCTCCCGACGTGAAAAGCGCTATATCAAATGCAAGGATTATTATTATTATTATTATTATTAAAAGGCAGGGCAGGAAATCACTGAGCGAGCGATAACAAAATAGCTTAATCCTGACTTTTAGGAAAGGTTTACAAATATTATAAACCTTGCTGGTATATTAATTGTCTAATTATGTACCCTTCCAGTGTTGACTTGAACTGTGTAGCTACGCCCCTGTGCTGTGACAAGTGCTCTTTGCAGTTAACCGGAGTGCAATCTGCTTTTTCAGAGACTAGTTCATGCAATATCAATGAAATTGCCTGTGGCCCTGGATCTCTTCATTGTATTCCTGTCTCCTGGAAATGTGATGGAGAAAAGGACTGTGATGATGGCAGTGACGAGGAGAACTGCGGTAAGCAGATGAGACTTCTTTTGATTTTTTAAATGTTTCAAGACCTTTACTGTTCTTAAATGCTTGTGTTCAGAATAGTCAATTGAGTTTATTTAAGTTGCCATGATGTAGTTCTAAGTGGATCAGCACTAGATTTTGGCATCCTGAGGTTGTGCCTTGTGAAAGCACTTTAGGGTATCAAACTTTCGCCTTGCTCAGTACCTTTGTGGTCTAATTATATGGTCATGGTTTGGCTCACACATAGTCCAGGCTGACACTCCAGTGCAATCCTGGAGGAGTGCTGTGTTATCAGACATGCTATCCTTTAGATGAGATGTTAAAGTCCCTTCTACCTGATGGTAAAGATCATGTGACTCTTTGAAAAAGAGTTTCTGTGTCCTGGCTAATATAATGTATAATAATAATCCTTGCATTTAATATAGTGCCTTATCATACCATCTAGATGTCTCAAAGCGCTTCACAGGGCATATTGTAAAGTGAATTGACTGTATATTTTATGGCCAAAATGCAGCAGCCAATTGCGCACAGCAGTGTCCCAAATGGTCGTGGATTAAAGGACCATATTTTTTTTTAAGGGATTATTATGCCCTGGAAAAGCGATCCGCCAATAGGCTAACAACTAGTTAGTTAAACTGGTGGCTCCCCTAATTAAATTGGTCGCTCACTTCATAATTGTTTCTGGGATAGTGTGGCATGAAATTAGTTGTTGCCTGCATCACTTACAAGATAGTCAATAACATCAAAGTAAATTCTGTGAAGCTCAGATTTCCTCCTGACATGAAACGCTGTCAAATGATATAAGAGCTATATCTTGAATCATGTTAGAATATCTCTGATCAAGGAGATCCCATTGGCAGTCAGGAATTAAGCTAACCTATCTAGTCCACTTGACGTCAATGGTATCTCTGCAGTCTAGCTATGCAAAATTCATCAACTTCACGTCAAGCTGGAGTTTTTTCAAATTGTTCAAAAGTTTGCAAAGATAATTTTGCTGCCTTAAATTAGGGCTATTTGAATGGTTGGTAGTGGTTCTGACTGAAATTGAATTGGGTGATTTTTTTTGTTTCATTTTTCAGCCCCACTTACTTGCAGTCCATTGGAGTTCACATGCTCCAGTGGTCGATGTGTTTCAAAGACCTTTGTCTGCAATGGGGAGGACGACTGTGGTGATGGAAGTGATGAATACAACTGCGTTCTTCTGGCCTGTGGCCCTCACCAATTTCAGTGCAGCAGTTCTGACTGTATCCCACTGAACTGGGTGTGTGATGACAATGCTGACTGTACAGACAAGTCTGACGAGTCTCCAGCCTTCTGTGGGCACACACTTCCCCCTCTTGTCACCTGTTCTCTGAATGAGGTTCAGTGTGGTTCAGGGGAATGTCTCCACCGGCAATGGTATTGTGATGGCGACGCTGACTGCAAAGATGGAAGTGATGAAGTTGATTGTCGTAAGTGGCTCTCTCTTATAGTGCAGGATTTGCTGAGTGATCGTGCTTTACCAGAAGTAGTGTTTCACGCGTTGGCTCAAGGTCAACATGTAGATTGTTGTTGTAGGTTGATGCTTCCTGCGTACTATATGCAGGAAGTGCCACAAATGTTGCTTCCTGCATGTAGCATGCATAGCAAGTGTGTAAAGTGATGACCTGGAAGACGGTCTTTTTTGTGCTTTGTATCAATATGGGGTCTTGGTATTAGGAGATTGGCCTGTACTTAGCGTGAGGGAATACTTTGATTCAAAACATTTCTTCCATTTCCCATAATTCTTGCCTTTTGAAATAGCGAGAAAATCTCAAAGTTCTTTACAAAGAATCTGAGCTGGAACGAATTGGAGCAGGGATGGGAGGTGGCCATAGGTGCAGTCTGAGAGAGGTTTTTGAAACGGGTGGAGGGAGAGGTGGAAGGTTGTTGGAAGAATTCCAAAGGTGTGGGCAAAGTGTCTGAAAGCTTCACCATTGGTGGGACATTGTGGAAAGGATATGAAATAGCCATCAATCAATTCTGGGCCATATGTTCACCAGGCTGGTTCTAGCACAGAGCTTAGATTTGACTACAAAGGTACCACGGTGTATTAGTATGATTCAGCCAGCTATGGTAGTCAACAGAGGCGAGATTTAAGCCTTGTGCTCTCTGATGCACTGGCAGAGGTGACTGCTGAGAGGGTAGAAGTGATTGGTGTACCAGGGACATTGGCAGAGATACAAAGCAGTTCAGGATTTGATGGTTGAGGCAGGGTATTGAGTAAGTTGACTAGCACAATAAAAGCAGTGTGCTCCTGATGAGCAAGGTAGGATTTACAATAAATCGGTTTTCATGTCCTCCCCCGATATGAAAGGCGTTTTACAAATGTAATTTTGTTGTTGTTGTATTTTAGTGTAAGCTATATTTATAACTTTTTTCCAATTTTGGAAGCTTAAAAACTAATTCAAGGTCAAGGAATGGATGTGGGGGAGGAAGGATAACTGGGGATTGAACCTGACGCCTAAGTTGCACCCAAGTTCAGAGAGTTTTAAGGACAGGTCGGGTAGGTTGAGGAGATCGGAACCATGGGACAGAAGACGTTGACGGGAGTCAAAGCGTATGTCTTCTGTCTTGTTAATGTTTAACTGCAGAAAATTCGCATTCATCCAGCTCTTGATGTCTGACAGACAAGCTGACAAACATCAGGGGACTGGGGGTCACAGCTGGAGGTGGAAAAGAGGAGTTGAGTGTCATCCGCATACATGTGGAAATTAATCCAGTATCTGCGGATGACATCACCGAGAGGGAGCATATAGATGAGGAAGAGAAGGGGCCCAAGGATGGATCCTTGGGGTACCCCGCAGGTTACCAGGTAGAAGCAAGAAGAAAAGCCATTTGCAGAAATGTGGTGCTGGCAGTTTGTAAGGTAGGACTCAAACAAAGCAAGTGCGGTCCCACTGAGGTGGATGTTGGAGGACAGGCGATGGGGAAGGATGGCATGATTGACTGTGTCGAACGCAGCGGAGAGGTCCAGTGACTTTCACGAGCGCTGTCTCTGTATTGTGGGCAGGGCGGAAACCAGACTGGAGGGGTTCGAGTAGGGTGCAGAGGGAGAGGTGTGCAAGAAGTTGGTTGCAACAATGCATTCCAGAGCTTTGGCAAGGAAGGACAGGTTTGAGATAGGGGAGTAGTGGCTGAGGTTGGAGGAATCGAGGGTAGGTTTTTTAAGGAGGGGGTTGATGACTGCAGTTTTGAGGGGAAGTGGGACTGATCCAGAGGAGAGAGACTGATTAATAGTGTCTGCCAGCAGTGGGCAGAGGAGGGGGAGCTGAGTGATCAGCTGCAGGCTGGGGAAAGGGTTGAGGCAGCAGGTGGTGAGAGAGATGGAATGGAGGTGGTGATAGGTGACACAAGGCAGAAGGAAGGAGCTGCCAGGCGGATGTTGTCAATTTTAGAGGTAAGGAAGTACATGACCTCTTCGCACTTGCCATTAGATGTGATTATTGAGGGGGCCATGGAGGAGGTGGTGGGAAGTGGAGAATAGGATTTGGGAGTTATTGTTGTCCTCCAGTATAATGGTTGAGTCTTGCGCCGTTTTTGCTTGCGGTAGTTGTGAAGATGTTCAAGCCACAGCTGGTGATGACCCATGAGGCTTGTTTTCTGCCACCCGCATTCGAGCAGCCGGGTCTTGGATTTTAGGGAGCGGAGATGGCTGTTGTACTGGGGGAACGGGTGGCTTTGGAGACGGTCCTGGATTTCAGGGGGACAAGGGAGGTGGAGGATGGGTGATCATGGAGCAGCTTGACGGCTGCTTCAGGGTCGCTGTAGGTGGATAGGAGGTCTGAGGATGAGGGCCTTTGTGAGAGTCTGTGGGAGGAGGGAAGCCTTTTCCATGGGTGGAAAAGTATGGTTGACGGCTTGATGAAGGAAAGGGGGATGAGAGAGGAGATGAGGAAGTGGTCTGAGATGGCTTTGTCCGTGATGCACAGGTCAGAAATGTCGAGGCCATGTGTGATGACGAGGTCGAGGAGGTGGCCACAGTTGTGGGTCGACGAGCTGATGTGGAGGGTAAGGTTTAGGGAGGAGAGGAAGGCAGTGAAGCCTGAGGATGTTGTACAAGGGGAGTTTAGGTGGAGGTTGAAGTCACCCTAATATGAGCAGGCATTCTGAACAGAGGAACAGGGAGGAGAGGAGAGCGGAAATATCAGCAAGAAAGGAGCCAGAGGTTTTGGGGGGCGATAAACCAGAAGAATTTTGAGTGAGAAAGGAGGGATGGTAGAGGATGAGATGCTCAAATGAAGAGAAGCAGCCAGAGGAATAAGGGGATAGACTGAGGGAAGCTTGGTAGATGAGGACCACCCCACTGCCACGTTGGTTAGGTGGGGGATGTGGTGAAAAATGTGGCCAGGAGGGGAAGCTTCAACTAGGTCACTGGGGGAGAGACAGGTTTCTGTAAGCCCAAGAATATCCATGTGCTCATCCAGGATGAGGTCATCGATAGTGAGGGCTTTATTGGAGAGGGAGCAGACATTTTGCAGGGAAATGCAGATTGGTTTGCTGGTGCAGGGTGATGGAGGAGGGAGTGGCATGGAAAGGATTTGGGGTCATGGGGGAGAAATGACTGGAGTTTGAGGAGCAGGGAGAGTTGGAGACAGTATGGATGAGGGAGGGGGAAGGGGTGTTTGTCTTTCAGAGACAATTGGCGCGGAGTGAGTAAGCGATGGGACAGTTGGGGTGGCTGCTCTGAGGCAACCAACGCTGGGAGCCATGATGGGCCTGGCGGAGGATGCCCAGGCAGGAGCAGAGGGAGGTAATGGTGGGATCCAGGAGAGAGAAAAGACGGGGAGGGCGGTGGGAGAAAAGGACAGAGTGGGAGTAGCGGATAGAGGGAAGTAGAAGGAGGAGTATTACTAAACTAAGTTTAAATACCTATTAATTCCAAATCCTTTCTCTGAATTTCAGCTCCAAAAACGTGTCGCCCAGATCACTTCCGATGTAGTGATGGCAGCTGTTTCCCTCAAAACAAAAAATGCAACGGATTTCAAGATTGTGTTGATGGCAGTGATGAAGTTGATTGTGAAAATGGCAAGTATATAAATCCACAAGTTAACCTTGACTTATGAACTGTTAATTTTGAAGCTCTTAACTAGCTTGTTCTTTCTGCAGCTGTAGAGTGTACAGGGCCAACACTATTTGAGTGTGGGAGTGGCGAATGTATAGACTTTAACCTAGTATGTAACCGTCGCCAGGATTGCAGGGACTGGAGTGATGAACCCCTCAAAACATGTAGTAAGTGGGGTTGGTCTTTCAAGCCCTTATTTGAAAATATTCAAGAACAGAGACGAGAGCAGCAATAATGGAACACAATTTTACTTTACTTCTGCAGATGTGAATGAATGTTTTGTGAGCAATGGTGGCTGCTCCCACGTCTGCAGAGACCTGGTCATTGGTTATGAATGCGGGTGCCCTATTGGTTTTGAGTTGGTTGATGAAAGAAACTGTGACGGTAAGAGGACTTGATCTTGATGAGGTTGGAATTAGCTTATTTTACAATGCTGAAGTTGTTTTTATTGATTGTTGCAGATATTGATGAATGTCTCAACCCTGGAACCTGTAGTCAAATTTGCATCAACTCAAAAGGAAGCTATAAATGTGAATGCCAAGCAGGATTTCGCATGGATTCAGCTAATGAGACATGCAAGGCAGTAGGTAAGTGCATTTTGGAAGCAACGCTTAACTGTACACTTATCAGTGAATATTGCATTACTATTAAGATTGACCCTGATTCTCCCTCCACCCTAGCTCGGGTGTCCACAGTTGGCTGTGTAAAGAGTTTTGAAACATCTTTCTGATGTGAAGGGTGCTAAATGTAAATTGTATTGGAATAAGGATGTCTGTCCCTTCTATTTAACAACTGCAAATGATATGTATAATACTTCTGTATTTTTTGCATTGTATGCAAACAGAATTTTATATTTGAGATTCATGATTAATCTTTGCCATTCACACCCTGAGACTGTATAAACATTGGAATGAACTTGTAGTTTACATTCAGTATGTAAATTGTTCCTTTAAAGGAAAAGAGCCCACCTTGATCTTCACTAATCATCATGACATCAGGAAACTAGGTCTGCATCACAAAGAGTACACTCAGGTCGCTGTACACATGAGAAATGTTGTGGCGCTGGATGCTGATGTTGCAGCCCAAATGATCTTCTGGGCTGACCTAGGAGAGTGTGCAATTTTCAGGTATGAATCTGTTCAAGCTCAACATTACACTTAATGTGGAATTGGTCCTAATGTCTTCGGTAAGACCTTGTAACTACACAAACGATAAGTCCTTCCTTGATTCCCGATGATTGCTTCATCCATTTAATGGAGAAATAATTATTTGAAGNAAAAAACCTTGAATTTGAAGTCCCAGGCCCATTACCCATGTATAACAAGTTTGGCTTGAATGAAGTTGTGCTTTTGATTCACTTACACTGAATATACCTACACATCTGAGTTACAACCATTGTCTTCTGTTGTACAGATTGTCCATGGCTAAATGGGAAGGAGTTTCCAAAATAATTGATGCCCAAATGCCTGTGGGAATTGCTGTGGACTGGATCTACAAGCACATCTACTGGACTGATCGTAGCGCTAAAACAATATCTGTGGCTACCTTTGATGGAACCAAGATGACGATTCTTTTTGACACTGACCTAACGGAACCAGCTTCTGTAGCAGTTGATCCTCTATCGGGGTATTTTACCTTTGTGTAACTTAGTAAGAGAGGGCTGCTCTTGTAGCGTGCTGCATTCTGCTCTGCAATTCAAAAACTACAATGTCTGGTGCTTAGTTCCAAGGCTGGAGGCAAGAGGATTCTTCCATCCTCCTAACTGATTCTTCGGAGCTGATGCTGTATTACAATGGATTCTAATTTTTTTTAAATATAGGAGAATTAGAATCTGGTAGTCATCTAAAGGCTCATTTTTTTCTAATTCATTGTATTAAATGTAATACATCAAGCTGCTTTGTAATGTTGGGGAATGTTAATGCATTCTCTTCACCTAAATTCTTCCAATTCAAGACTTCTTTTGTGCTTCTTGGCTTTAAAGGTTCATTTACTGGTCAGACTGCGGTGAACCAGCAAAGATTGAAAAATCGGGCATGAACGGTGTTGATCGTCAGCTTCTAGTTGCCAAAGAGATTCAGTGTCCAACTGGCATTGCATTAGGTAAGTAGGATAAAATACCACCTTCTAGCCTTCTAGGTTACTAAATCCTGGCTGGTAAATTCTACTTTGTCCACAGATCTTGTGAAAAGCCGCCTCTATTGGGTAGATTCAAAGCTGCATACTTTGTCAAGTGTGGACCTCAATGGACATGTTAGAAGAACCGTGATCCAGTCTAAAGATTCCCTTATTCATCCATATGCTGTTTCTGTGTTTGAGGTAAGATCAATCTTGTTTCTTCTGTACAATACTTTCTGTATTTTTAAATGCAACAGTTTAATAGAATCTAATGTTAATGTGAAATGGAAACTCACTGGCAAGGGAAACTGATTGATACACTGTAACTTGCATTTAACTTTTAGGGTTTTTTAAACCTTTTTCTGGCTGAAATAAAGTTTGTAATCTGACTGGTCCTTATTGGGCCACAGGAAATTAGTGCTGGATGTCAGCCAAATTTAGAACTTTGCCTGTTGCATTTAGTTCTGTTTAGTTGAACCATAGCCGAATTCAATAGTGTGGATACAATATTTGCTTGCAGTACAGAAAAGGGACATTTCACCTTTACCGTCTCAAATGCCATGTAGACCTTAGAGATTGAAATAGGATGTGTTCAAGTGATGTGATGTATTGAGGGGCCAACGTGTATCTCCTGCAACTGGGAACAGGTTTGATAGACTTGCTGTTGCAGTGAGCTTTGTTCTGCCTTTGCACAAGGAGAGGAAATTCATAAAAAATACCCATGTTACCCATGCACAAGTTTACAGCAGCCTAGACTGGTTTAAGGCCTTGAACAGTCTGGAGCTGTACATATTGTAGGCGATTTAGAGAGCGCATCAGTGCTCAAAGGTTTCAGATGTAGTTGTTTAGATGCTTAACTCTCAATTCTCATTGGCAGTTTTCATACTACAGCATCCAGTGAAATCCATCTCAATCCATTCTTGTTTGCCAACTGCTGTGTCAAATATAATGTGTAATCTGGACATTAATGGTTCAACTCTTATGTTTTCTATCAAAATATTTCTGTAACCCAACTATTTAGGACTAATTATTGTATAGACTGAAAAGAATTGACCAAAAAGCTTAACAAAAACAACGCAGTATAATTTTTTAGCTTAGTTTTGTGTACAAGATGGTCTCTTTTTGGTAACATTTTAAATATCTTCCGTTAATTACTGTAATCTAATTTTAATTTTATTTAAAAATTAATAGTAAGTATTTAAAGTCATGTCTTGAATCTGCATTTGTTCCAGGATCAAGTCTTTTGGACAGATGGGGAGAATGGAACCATATATGGAGCCAACAAATATACAGGAGAAGATCTGGTGGCTTTAGCCTCTAACCTTAAGGAACCTCAGGATCTTATTGTTTATCATGAGCTAATACAACCAATTGGTAGGATCATTTTCTTTTGTTCCAAAAAGAAAAGACAATTTGTTATAATAAATAATAATGCTTGCATTTCATATAGCTCCTTATTACGTTGTTGAGATGTCTCAAAGTGTTTCACAGAATATATTGTAAAGTGAATTGACTATGTTGTGGGCGAAAGATTATGATTCAGGATTTCTTGGCCAGTATGGAAAATAGCCCAATAGATCTTCAATCTTCAAGATGTGTGCAGAAATTGGTCCCCTTTTGCACTGTTAATGCCATGTTAATGTCTAATTCATCAAGCATGTCGCAATGACTTGTTTTGAAACTTCAGGTATCAGCATAGACTCATAGAATCGTACAGCACAAAAAGAGGCCATTCGGCCCATCGAGTCTGTGCCGGCTCTTTGAAAAGAGCAATGCAATTGAGAAGCTTGTTTTGTGTCAAGCAATTCCAGATAGATACCTGCTTGAAAGAGCCCAGTGATTAAAGGGCCTGTCTCTTTGGGGATTACAGATAGTCTGAGGTGAATTTTTTTGTGGGGTGGAAGGGGAGAAAATATGTCCTGGAAAGAGTTGTGATAGTCCTGTGAGGATTAAGGGAAAATTTCAAAGAGCAAGGATGAAAGCCTGCTTGCCCATCAATTGTCTGAGGTGACCTTACAGACAATAAAGCAAGCCTCTGTCTGCAGAACATTGGGGTAGATGGAGAGAGCCGGACTGCAGGAGATCAGAAATAGGTCAAGGGCATATGTTGAGGAAGGGATAGAGCTGATGAGCATTGTATTCCACACGTCTGAATGTTGAGAATTTTCATGTTCACAGGCATAAACTGGTGCAATGAAAGTTTGAAGAATGGAGACTGTGAATATCTCTGTCTCCCTGCTCCTCAGATCAATGGTCACTCTCCAAAATATGCTTGTGCATGTCCATCTGGCATGCATCTGGAGGATGGACAGAGGTGTGGATTGGGTATGTTTCAACAAGGTGATTTAGGCTGGGATACGACTGCAAAGATAACTAACATTATTCATTCTGGTCTGGGGCCATTTGCTTATGTGGAGATCATCATGCCTGATGCTGACCTTGCAACATAGAAGTCATTGATATCCCCATTATTGCTATAGATGAGAGTAATTAACAACTAAGACAGTTATCTAAGAAGGGTGGTTGAAGCCAGGGCACTAGACTTGTTTTTTTTAAAAAAAAAGTTCGATGCTGTAATGGGAAAATGGTAGGTGGGTCAACTGGAAGATGAGATGAAATGAGCCTGAGGGCCTTTTTCATCAGAATAAATTGTGATCCATGAACTCAGTACAAACTAGGGATCAATCACATGTTGCATTTACTCAAGGCTAGGGGTGCCCTGAGCTGTTTGGTATAAGGAATTGTGTAGTAGAATGCTATTCAGAACGTGTGTTAAGGCAATGTAGCAAGTCAATCATCCAATAGCAATAACTGAATTTCTAATATAAATTCAATCACGTTTTCACAAGAATTTAATGTGAGGGAGTACTTAAATCAGTCTTCCTTTCAGACATAAGAGCTTGTCCTATCAATAAGCTGAGCTGTGACCCTGAATCTGTACACTGCATTCCTGTTGCCTGGAAATGTGATGGAGAAAAGGACTGTGAAAATGGAAGTGATGAGGAAAACTGTGGTATGTTTCGTTTTTGTTCATTCACAATGAATAGATCTTTCCCATCCAACTTAAACTTGAAAAAACTCAAACAATTAACTGTGAGTAGGAATGGACAAAATTAGTGGGTGGGGGTTAAGTTAGGATGTGTTTTTAGTGAAAGCTACCGTAAGATTGTGTTTTGGCTACTGAAATGTTTTGCAAATGCCTTTTAGCTACAAAATAAAATGTCACCATAAGGTATAAAATTTCAAAATGTATTATTGTAGTGATTATTAAAGTGTTATAAAATTCTTCCATTTGACATGGCATCTTTCACATTAGGACTCAAACACTACATAGGATTTACTGTAATGTGGTGACTTTGTACCATTGAACCATAAACTTTAAAGCACAGAAGGTTATTTGGCCCATCAAGTCTGTGCTGGCTCTTAAGATCAATTCTTTCCCCACATCCCTGTAGCTTACTACATATATAAAGTCTTGTATATAATCATCCTTTGTTTATTTTTTAGCCCAGCCAACTTGCAGTCCACTAGAATTCATGTGCTTCAGTGGTCGATGTGTTTCTAAGACCTTTGTGTGCAATGGGGAAGATGACTGTGGTGATGGAAGTGATGAACAAGAATGTCGTACACCTATTTGTGGGTCACATGAGTTTCAGTGCAAGAATTCTGAGTGTATCCCACTGACCTGGGTGTGTGATGACAATGCTGACTGCACTGACCAGTCTGATGAATCTCTAGATAACTGTGGACATACCCTTCCTCCTGTCATGTGTTCCTTTAGTGAGACCCAGTGTGGTTCTGGTGAATGTGTCCACCACAAGTGGTACTGTGATGGAGATGCTGACTGTAAAGATGGGAGTGACGAAGTGAATTGTCGTAAGTTTAGCACATTGATTCCCTTAATTGCACATGCAATGTACATTTTCCTAGCCAGACCAAGAGAAGCAATGCTGTATATAGCTAGAGAGGATAGGGAATTTATGCTAAAGAGAAGTAACTGGCTATTTTTGAAACTTGCACAAGTTATGATTTTCTAAAACTGCCCTGAACAAACTCTAAACTAAAAAGTGATGTGTTAATCTTAATCATACGAATGATACATTTTTTAAATAAGTACTGACAATATGACTACCTTTATTCCAGCTCCTCGCACATGTAGACCCGATCAGTTCACATGTAGTGATGGCACTTGTATCCGTGAGGACTGGAGGTGCAATGAAATGTGGGATTGTGTTGATGGCAGTGATGAAGTTAACTGTACAAATGGTAAGTGTATGTATGGATGGCACTGTATTGGGTTTGACAGATATAAACTGCAATGAGATTATTGACGGCAGAGGAGGTCAACTGTGCTGAGCATGTCCATTGTCTTATCTTAATTTCAACTTGTCTTCTGTAGCTGCTGAGTGTCTTGGCCCATTTGACTTCAAGTGTCAAAATGGAGAATGCATAGCTGTTACCCAAGTGTGCAACCAACAGCTTGACTGTCAGGATTGGAGTGATGAACCTTTGTATTGTAGTAAGTGGCAAATCATGGACATGCAAGTTGAATGTTAGTTGTTTACTTGCTCTGGTAAAGGATAAAATGTGTTACCTCAGTTTCAAAACGTGGCCTGATGGCTTTACAAGCTTCATATTACAAAGCACAGAATTACTAGATTGAAAAGCAATGCTGGTCTCAAAATATAGCTGCCGATCCTATTGATATGGCTAGCTACACTTTATCGGATCCTTATTCTCGAGTGCATTGTGGTCTACAATCTTCCATTTGCCTCTTCTGATGTAACCTCACAATATCCGAGTACTCTGGAACATAGTATAGCAAATGCTTCAGGTTTTACAAATTCACATTTTGCTACAGTAAATGTATTCCTGAGCAATTCCAATCTTGCTTATGCAATAGAAGGGTATAAGAATTTGCATATATAGTTAAACTGAATGAATACAAAAGTTGCTTGGAAGTTTTTGTATTCAGGTATATGAAGCAATGAGGATACTTAACTTAAATTATGTCCTGGGAAATAGATATTGAAATTCCTCTCTCTGCTCTACAGATCTGAATGAATGCTTGGTAGACAATGGTGGCTGCTCCCATGTATGTAGAGATCTCCCTATTGGCTCAGAATGTGATTGCCCATCTGGTTTCAAGCTGGTTGATGGGAAAACATGTGGAGGTGAGAAGGATGGCCTAATCTATAAAAATCATGACAATTCGATACTATTTTACAGAATGTGGCTTTTTCTTTCAGATGTTGATGAATGCCTGAGCCCTGGGACCTGCAGTCAAATTTGCATCAATTTAAAAGGAAGTTATAAATGTGATTGTCATGCAGGATATCTTCTGGATCCAGCTACTGGGCTTTGTAAAGCAGCAGGTAGGCCAGTCTTTGTTTGGACACGAGGGGTCATCGTCGTGAATGCTGGGTTGATCCCGTCTCAAATGTTCCACCTTCAAACCATTCCACCCTACCTGCTTCCTTTGAGCAGTGGTCACCAGCCTGCTTCATGTCCCCTGCCCCACTATTGGCAGTCGGACTGTGCCTCTGCTCAAATCCATCCTGGAGTCCCTCCATCTCCACCCTACCTCACCTTTTAAGGTCCATCTCAAGACCTCCTTCTTCTGGTGCCTTTGGTCCTCTTTCCACTCCTCAGCTCCCACCTCCAGATTGTATACTAATTTAGGACTGTCGAGCACCTTGGGCATCTTCCCGATACGAAAGGTACTGTATAAATTTGTATCTGTATTCTACGCAAAGTCCAGTTAGTGGAAGAGCCTACAACACTACTGTTATATGAAAGGCGCTATACAAATGTAATATGTTGTTGTGTCGCAAAATGTTTTGTAACTCTTGTAATTTTTTTGTATTCTTATCCTGTGCTGCCAAAATAATTCAGCATTTCAACATCTGCTTATGTGCATGTCAGGTCTTGGCAACTATGACTTTGCTTCTGAACCTTCAGATTATTAAAAATGTTGCGATACAACAACGAATTACATTTGTATAGCGCCTTTCATATAAGAGTAGTAACCTACATTGTGAAAAGATAAACAATAATATTGTAAAGTAGGCCTACGCATTCAATAGAGATAGTCAATTAAATCGTAACTCTCTGGGTATCATAGTGTCAGTGAACAATCTTAGTTTTTTAAGTTATGGGTCATCTTGAACGCAAGGTATCGTTGTAAAGCTCGGAAGAACATACAGTTCATCACTGCCTAAACAAGGGTTGACAGTTGTGACAAAGTAAATAGTGATCATAAATTGAGATGTATCACGTGTAGTAGAATTGAGGCTGTACGTGGCAGTAATAGACCCAATAAATGACAAAATGAATAATCCCAAAATGCTGAAAACAATCACAGGACAGTTTGATTTAGCACAATGTGCGAAAATTAACTGCACAAAGCAGAATAGAATACCAGCTAGAAATATTTGGCATAAAACCTTATTGTACATAATATGAGCATGAACATTGTCGAAACAACCAAGAATCATTAAGCAGGAATTATATGATTGATGAAGTAAAATGACCCAAATTATGGCTTGATGCATATTCAACCGTACCAACGAAAAAAAACTGATCAAGCAGAGACCCCACAAAAAAAATAAGAAAAAAACAAGGTACAATGTGAAACAAGTTTCCAATGATTGCCCGTGTCATTCATGGTGAATGCAACGAGATGATCTGAAAAACACCTAATGAAGATAATAATGATGGTTAAAAACGTTTGTGATAGAAGGAATTATAATAATAATTCTTGCATTTGATATATTGCCTTATAACGTCTTTGAGACGTTTCAAAGCGGTTCACAAGATAAACTGTAAAGTGAATTGACTATATATTGTGGACAAAATTAAGAAGGAAGGAAAGTGAACCCTGACCAGGTTGACTCACAGAATGACCTTCACTGGTGTTGGGGGTGGCAGTGAGAGAGAGGGTAAGAATTGTTTAATTGTAAATACAGGAGCAACAAAAAGACAAATAAGAGCAGAAAAGGCATTGCTTTAATATGTTTTGTGTGAAACCCTGGAAATTCTATGATTTACCAGAAAGCAGACAGAATGGAAGACCAATTGTTTTTTCTCCCTGGTCATCATTTGATGGATAATATCGCGAGGTCATTTCTAAAAAGTTTTTGTATTCCGTAGAGTTCTGTATCACATGCCCTGATGCTGTGGTATGACTGAGTGCTGAGACGTAGCTCCCAGTGTGGATTGCTTGGTTCGTTGTATCCTGGTACAATAATAACAATGATAATCCTTGCATTTGATATAACGCTTTTCACGTCTTCTCGACATCTCAAAGCGCTTCACAGAATAGACTGTAAAGTGAATTAACCGTATATTTGTGGGCGAAACGCGGCAGCCAATTGCGCACAGCAGTGTCCCACAAACAGTCGTGGCTTGAAAATGACCAATTTATTATTGTTTTGTTTTTGGAGGGATTATTATTAGGCGTGTGGAGTAAGGAAACTTGCCCAAGGTTTTGCCCTGCCTGGAAATGGACCCTGGTGTCTCGCTTGCCAGGCGAGTGCTCTAACCACTGAGCTACAGGACTCCACGATAGAATAATGGTCCAGTGTTCATGCATAAAGTTGGAAAGATGGTTATTATTCTTCCATATGTCTGTTTTGTCAAGCCCCTTTGTATAATCAAATCTGCTTGATTATCCCAATAGAAGTAACATATTTGTTCCGTGTCAGTAAGTTCTCATTCTCTTTACCATTTGCCTTTTTCACAGGAAAAGAGCCTTATTTAATCTTCACTAATCGCCATGACATCAGGAAACTAGGAGTCCACCACAAAGAGTACACCCAGATAGCTGTCCAGCTGAGAAATGCAGTGGCGTTAGATGCTGACATTATTGAACAGAGGATCTTCTGGGCTGACTTGGCAGAGCGGGCAATTTTCAGGCAAGTCTAATTTGGCTGCAGTAGTGCAAGATGTGGCATTTTTAGTTGTAGTAATCTCTACATTTGATCATCTACCAACATGTTATCCATCTGAACTGAATAATTTAGCCTCCTTAAGTATCTATAAATATTTTCATCTGGCAGGAGCATATACCAATGTGCATGTTGATTGCCTTCCTAGGCGTCCTTCAAATCAGCTTAAATTGATCATAACTAAATGAAAATTACACTTTGAATCATGAGTAAAGCAGTGAGATCACTTCATGGGAGAAGTCATCTCCAATTGTTTACAAGTAAAACTAATTTTAATATAATTCATTTTGCACCTGTGTAGTGTCAAGCCAATTGTTAGGCAGAACATTAAATTTTCACTCAATTCAGTAATGTAATCTTTTTTTAAAAAAAAAGTTTTCACTACTTTTCTGACTTTTTTTCCCTCCTGCAGCATGTCCATGGATAAGCAAAGTACCAATGGTGTTTTCAAAGTCATTAGTGGTGTACAAATCCATGTGGGTCTCGCTGTGGACTGGATCTATAAGCACATTTACTGGACCAGTTTGGATATTCAGGCAATATCTATGGCTACTTTTGATGGAAACAAAGTGAAGACTCTCTTTGACACTGACCTAAGGGAACCAGCTTCTATAGCAGTTGATCCAATATCAGGGTATTGAAGGCTACTGTTATCTCGTGTTGATTTCAGAAGGGTTTAATGAGTGAGGAGGCATCTTACAATTTGAAGGCTATCTTCCCAGGTAGCCCAGAATATTGGGACCAGGTTGTCCATTTGAATCCCAGCGAGTTAACTCTGCCTTGCAATCAAAGTTGAGTACAGTATTAAAGCAATGCATGTCTATAGGGCTGCTATGAACTCAAAGAATTATTGGTGCGTGATCACCTTATGTGGCTTACCCACAAGAGTTGGATGCACATTTGTCTTCTACCCTATGAGCTTAAACCACCCCATTGTTTACATAGCTGAACACATTTACCAATCACACTTGAACCAGATTGCTAACTGGCTCTAAATGCAATGTTGAGCCAACCATTGAATGTACTCTCCAATCTCACAACTTGAGATATTGCATAAAGTGCAAATTTCAATTGATGTGTGCTTTGGTTGAATTAATAAAGGCACTACCTCACTCTTTAAAGTACACCTTCAAATGCCAAAATTTAAACAAGTGTTACTATTCAAAATGCACCAAAGGACTTCAATGTTTAAGACTAAAGCTTTCATTTTGACTATTTGCATTTTTCAAGGTTCATTTACTGGTCAGACTGTGGTGAGCCAGCAACAATTGAGAAAGCAGGAATGAATGGTGCTGGTGGTCGCCAGCTCCTAGTTACCAAAGGGATTCAGTGGCCAAACGACATTACCCTTGGTAAGTAAAATGCTTGTAATTCTCTGGCTCTTAAGTTGCTAGACTAGGACTTAATTCAACACTTTCTTTAAACCAGATCTTGTGAAAAGCCGTCTCTACTGGGTTGACTCAAAGATGCACATATTGTCCAGTGTGGACTTAAATGGACAGGATAGAAGAACGGTGGTCCAATCAAAGGAATTCCTCACTCATCCTTTCGGTGTTGCAATATTTGAGGTAGGTTTTCTGGGCAAAATATTTCGCAAATGTATAGAGTAGTTTCTACAACCTAATTCATATTGGCTGCTCCAATATGAGTATATGCAAGAGTTTCAAACAGTGTGGGAGGGTGGTGTTGTTGGAACCAACCCCAGTAGAATGGAAATGGTTCTTTACTTCAGGAAAGTGAACCATCAGATCATAAATTGCTGAGAAAAATGAAATTATTTGATTGAATCCCAGGCACTATTGCCAAACCATTGGAAAGAGTAATATATTATAACCATAGAAATTTATAGCTCAGAAAGCCACTGAGCCCACTTTTCTGTGCTGGATTCAAAAGACAGATCATGAATTTAAGTGAATCTTTAAGGTAGCAGTTTAACACAGGCCCTAACAATCTTGTTTCAGGACCATGTTTTCTGGACAGATTGGGAGAAAAAATCTGTCTACGGAGCCAATAAGTTCACCGGTGAGGACATTGTGAATTTAGCCTCAAACCTTAAGGAACCTCAAGACATCATTATTTATCATGAGCTAACTCAGCCACCAGGTAGGATGTCATCTTAATGCAAAAACAATTGTGGTATTAGATGGCGAGAATAAGCATGAATCCGAAAAAGTCAAATTGCCACTTTATATAGCAGTTGTTTTCTGCCGACTGATGGCCTCTGCTGTCACAATGTATACTGGTGCCATTGCTAACTTTGGGATGTCCTCCTGACATGAAAGACGGTATACAAATTTTGTTTGTTAGCTTGATGACCTTCAACAGAACTTGCTCTAAAAGAAGCTGCATCTCTGCTTTTTTTTTGTACTCCATGGCATTTGTACTAAACTTTTTACACGTTTATCTACATTGAGGGAAACAATATCACAGGAGGTGAGTCTATATGGAGAGAAGTGAACTGACTGCTCGATTTCACCCCGCACATTTGATCTTTAAAGGACATTCAATTGGCTGCATACTGCTCTCCCGCACCTTTTTAATGATGGCATTTTGAAGATTTAGTGCTTGCTCTAGTTTCTACTGACTGAAAATTAAGGAATTTGCTTACCTTCACATCTCCTAAACTATCAATTAAGATGTGAGATTTATAAATTTGAGTGGGTTTCATGCATTTGTAGAATTTTATATAAATAAGTGTCCTGACTGAGGATCTTGAATTTGATGCAAGAAATTAAAGATCCTTGATTTTCCAGGTGTCGGTGGTGTTACCTCTTGTAAAGGACAGTCATTTCTACAAAGATTTCTTGCTCTTATCCTGTTTCTCCTCCTCACCAACGTGAAACCAGTGTTTATTTGACTTCAGTTGAGTTGCAATGTAGGCAATAGTTTAGCCCCAAACTGTTTTGTGGCACCTGAACAAATTAGAATTTGGATTAAAATAAGGTACCATTATAATGTAAAATCTGATGGGAACCAGTTTTAAAACTATGGGATTTTAATCACACAGTATCACATTTTCTCTCAGCTTTTTATTCTGGGAAACTCTTTCCCCTGATTACATTTTCTCCTTGTGCCTACCTCTCAAGATCAAAAGTAGAAAATACTTGCTTGCAATTCACTTTAAGACTAAAATGAGATTCCAACAGCAACTTCTTTCAAGTATGTTTTTGGAGCTCTCTAAGCATTTATGTGCCAGACATTTGTTTGAACGTTGGCCCGTATAAGTTGCATTTCCATAACCGGTGCATCCCACCCTCACAAACTCCAAATCCTTCAGACTTGCCACTGTAATAGCTGTTGTCAAAAGCTGGTTCCCTTTTTGTGTAAATCAAAACTCCTCATTACCCAAGAATATACTTTAGCATAAATGTCAGAGGATCCTGTTTTAGTATATTCTTTTTTAAACAGGTGAAAACTGGTGCAATAAGCACTTTATGAATGGAGGCTGTGAATACCTCTGTCTCCCTGCTCCTCAAGTACATGGTTATTCTCCAAAATACACCTGTGTGTGTCCACCTGGAATGGAACTAGAACACGATGAAAAACATTGTAAAGCAGGTAAATGTGAAGCAGTTGTTTCCACACTCACACTTGTATAGGTGGCCACTTCCATGTGCATAATTCACAAGATGTGCAACTGCAAAGCAGAGTCGTCAAGGGCAGGAAGCTGAGCAGCTGCTTGGGCTCTTGGTCAAGAAAGCAGTCATTCCAATGAAATACCATTGGTCCTCATCTGAAGCCAGCCTGTTAAAGTTTGAAATGTGCACTGTAATTGATCGAAAGGTTACAAGGCTTGTAATGCACACATTTAGGCTAGAGTATAGTAGATCAGGAATTACTTCATAATTTGTTTCTGTGTAACTTCCCAGTTAAGACTAAGTCATCTATCTGGTAAATCTTTGAAATAAACTATTCTGAGATTTGATTGAATTTGTCAGCATGTCCGGGGAAGGACCTTTAACAAGAGTTTTTTAATGGAACTTTCCAAGTGTCCACTTCAATACTTGATATTTAAATAATCCTTTTTAAAAAAAATTGGGTGACTCAATCCACGACTGTTTGTAGGCGATTGGCTGCCGCATTTCGCCCACAAATATACAGTCTTTACAGTATATCTGAAGTGCTTTGAAACTTCTTGAAGACATGATGAGGCACTATGTCAAATGCAAGGATTATTATTACTGTTCTCAAATCTGGGTGCACTATAACTCTGCATTAGGAACAGTCTGCTCTGTCCCAGTTGTGGCTGGTGTTGGAACATTGTAAACCCAGATTCTAGTTTTGAGGAAAGAAAACGGTAAGATCTCAGCTCAGGAGTTTATGTTTATGATGTTCTTATTGGGTTTCCTATTCCAGCAGCAGTGTATTTCATAAACACGGCCATTATTTTGTTGTGCAGTCAATTGTCTTAAGGCAATTTGGAATGTTCGTTTTACAGACTTGTGTCTTATTTCATTTAGTTAAATCTACCTGCACAATATCAGACTTCATGTGCCACAATGGCCAATGTGTGCCTGATAGGTGGCAGTGTGATGGGAATACTGACTGTGCTGATGGATCTGATGAAAGTCCAGAAATCTGCCGTAAGTTCTATTTTGAACTATTCCCGCCTTATGAGAACGATTTGAGAGAGAGAGAGAGAGATAAACTTCTTCGTTCTATTTAGTCGTCAACCTGTTTAGTGTTTTTACCAGAGGTTATGCACTGCTCTGCAGTGGTTGTCTAACCCTCTGCTTTGCACTTCAAGGCTTTACCCAGCGTGAAGAGTGCTATATAAATGTTTGTTATGACAATACTCTATGAAATGCAAACGTTACAGTACATTATAATACCTGCATTTGAACCTGCAAATAACAGTTGATGGAGATGCATCTTGTATTTTAGATAGGTCTAAGGCATCTTTGGTTTCAGCAAACCAACTTATCCAAACTTTTAATGATTAAGGTGTAAACTTATGACTTCTTCAAACTAAATTGGCTTAGTTTTTATCTTTTCAATCATTCCCAAAGCTATTAAACATGTAGCTAATGTTCTTGTGCCTGATCTTTGAATGCCCCTTATGACTTTTATTGTTGTGGTTTCAATTGCACACCTGCTATTAACTCAGTTAAGTACTGAATGGTAGCAGTAGTATATCTGGCATGTTGATGGATAGTGAGGGTAAATGTTTATCAACCCCAAACTCTAATAGATGAGATAATTCTAGCTGCCAAATATTGTGGTGATCTACGAATGTAGTTTTGGTTGGAGTTTCAGCTATTGCCTAGTGGTGCAGAATGTATATATCAGATACTCCTGAGAACCATAATTGGCTGATGTGAAGTGTTGTCTAATACCAAGGCTGTGAATAATTGAGATCTTGCATTTGCTGTGTGATTCAAGCTGTTTTGTGTTGATTTCATGCTTAGAATGGCATCCCAGTTTGAACAAATACTTATCTAAACTCCAAATGTGCATGTTTTAATGACTGTTAACAAGGCATAGCTTATATTTTTTTAAAAAGTTGGTTGTTCGCTATTTACAACAACTTTGCTGTTTCCTTCCTGAATTGATGCAGCACTAACTGGAACCTGGATATAATTCTCTTTCAGATATGAAGAAGTGTCCCATAAATGAGATCAGCTGTGGTCCTGGATCATTGCAGTGTATCCCAGTTGCTTGGAAATGTAATGGGGAGATAGACTGTGAAACAGGTAGTGACGAGAGAGACTGTGGTACGTTAAGAAACTATTTTCTCTGCCCCAGGATAAAGCCCTTCATTCTCCTCCTCTTTCCCTCTGCTCCCCCGCCCACTATGAGCGTGTGTAAATGTCAGCTTATCTAATTGTTTGGGAAAGAGGGAGAATTTTGCATTTCATTAAGAAACATTACAGACCAGGGATTTGCTAGTTCAAATCCCTGACGGCTCAGTCAGCTGGAGCTGTATGGGGGAACCTAAACCCCTATAGGTTTCCAGATGTGGCAGTCAAGCTCAACTGGGACACCTACAGTGAAGTGGCCTCCAATACTCGCTGCCCAGGTTCACAAATGAATGGGTATCTTGGTAGGGTACTGGAGGGGAACTATACCCCAGCATGAGGAGGCTGGAGCAAAATCAATCAAAGAGAAAATTGGACATCAAAATTTAGAACAATTACTTATGTTCAGCGTTACACAAAATTAGAGTAATGCACCAGAATAGCCTCCTCATGCAAAATATCAGTAGACATTTATAATTAAATTGTCTATAGTGCATCTGGTTCTCAAAAGCAGAAGCGCAGGTAGACATTGCTATTTAAAACCTTCCAGGTTTACATCCAGGGATAATAAGGAATAAACCAATATCTTGCAATTTTGGAATCCTTATTTTTTGGCTCTGTTGAACACTGCATGTAGTTTTGTAGGAAGTACACAAGTGTTCAGTGGAAAGAAGACACTGATGTGGGTTATAATTAAGATGAAACAGAAGGTTAAAGGGGGAGGATTCCAAATTACGGATTCTTTGGTAAATCAGTAGCAAGAGAACATACTCTTCTGTGGTGCATTTATTACAGCTGGGTGGCTTGCTTGATCAACCTCAAAGGGCAGAATGCAAGTGGCAAGGATGGCACATTTCCTTCCCTGAAGGGCATTAGAAAACCAATGGGGTTTGCAATCTGGCAGACTAGTATTTTTCTGTTGCTGACTCAAATTACCAACCTCCCAACAGCACAGCTGAGATCAAGAACTTGTGAATAGGGACTTTTCTTCATGTGTTTTGAATTGTATCCCAAAGCCTTTTGCAAGTGCAACTTATCTACACTTATATAGAGTTAACTATAATGAGTTCCTGTGAATCAGTTGGACTTGCTTCTGGTAAGGCGCATGACTAATTAACAAATCTTGTGATGTATTGCAAATTAATTTAAATCCTATTTGTTTAAAGGCACTGTCTTAATTTCCTTTTACAAAAAGTTCTTTTTTTCTTCACTTCCTGTTAGGTCGCTTTACTTGCAGTCCAGTAGAGTTCACGTGCTCCAGTGGTCGATGTGTTTCCAAGACCTTCGTCTGCAATGGGGAGGACGACTGTGGTGATGAAAGTGATGAACAAGGCTGTGCTGATTCTCAGTGTGGCCCGCATGAATTTCAGTGCAGCACTTCTGAGTGTATCCCTGTGAACTGGGTGTGTGACAACAATGTTGACTGTACTGATCAGTCTGACGAATCTCCAGGGCACTGTGGATACACACTCCCCCCTCCTGTGTTATGTTCTTCAAATCAAATGCAGTGTGATTCTGGTGAATGTATCCACCGCCAATGGTACTGTGATGGTGACACCGATTGCAAGGATGGAACTGACGAAATTGACTGCCGTAAGTAATTTGTTTTTTCAATCCTATGCTCCTAATATTTCCAGAAGTGCTCTGTTCACTCCCTGCTCTGATAGCTGTGGTTCACCGCTGCTCAAGTTCACCCAGATTCTTCTTGATGGGAAGCTTCTGTTCAATGAGCATGAAAATATTTTGTATAGAGCCTTGTATGTTGCAAAGTATCATGTGCTAACAGCTATGAGGTGAATTACTAATCTGAATTTTCATTAGGAGCAGAGATTCTTCTCATTCAACTACTCTTAATCCTGCAAATCAAATTCATGATGGTAGTGTAATCCTAGCAGCAGGAAACAGTGTTTGAGATGGCAAATTATTGCAGTTTTAACTCATTAAGCTACATCAGAACCCCAATGCACCCTCTGGGGTGTCTAAGCGTTGCCTTTTGCCAACTTGTGCTTAAAATACTCCAAACCTGAGCAAGCCGTAAGTGTCTCTGGGGAGAGTTCCCGTGCAACTTTACCTTTTCAATGACATGGATCAAGAAGGCACAATGTCAGTTTAACATCTCATCTAAAGGACTGCACCTCTGATTACTCAGCACTCTCCATCTACAGCATGCTACAACAAGGATAGTAAGCCTTTGACTGTCAGAATTCCAGAGTCTCTTAAGCTAGATGGTGCTTGATGCTTGTGATCTGCAGAGGCATTGTGGAGTCCTGTAGCTCAGTGGTTAGAGCACTCGCCTTGCAAGAGAGACACCTGGGTTCAATTCCAGGCCGGGCGAAACCTTGGGCAAGTTTCCTTACTCCACACGCCTAATAATAATCCTTCCAAAACAAAACAACAATAATAAAAAAAAATTGGTCATTTTCAATCCACGACTGTTTGTGGGACACTGCTGTATGCAATTGGCTGCTGCATTTTGCCCACAAATATTCGGTCAATTCACTTCACAGTCTATTCTGTAAAGCACTTTGAGACATCTAGAAGACGTGAAAAGCGCTATATCAAATGCAAGGATTATTATTATCTTCCCTTGTTTAGTACTTCTCTCACCAATGCTTAGTAACAGTCTAATGGACAAATGTACAAGTGGTAAATTTGGATCATACTTAAATGTGACCATTCCAATTGCAGAAATATTAACTCTGTATGCTGCAATACTTCTGTATGATAATGGTTTAATTGGCTGGCTGTTTATAGCAAAATTTCCAAGTACATATCTTAAATTGTTCTGTAATCTTCAATGCCTATGCTCTCATGATTTCAGCTCCTCGAACATGTAGACCTGATCAATTCAGGTGTAATGATGGCAGCTGTATTGTTGGAAGTGACCAATGCAATGGAATTGGGGATTGTACGGATGGGAGTGATGAAGTCGACTGTGTGAAAGGTAAGTTTGTAACTGCATTGCAAGTGACCAGCTCATGAATTGATTTATAATCTGACCCCATTTCTAACTGAATTTAATGTCTGATTTTAGCTCAAGTGTGCAGACCTGATCAATTCAGGTGTGGTGATGGTATTTGCATTGTTGGAAACATGCAATGCAATGGAATTGGGGATTGTACAGATGGGAGTGACGAAGTCAACTGTGGACAGAGTAAGTATACAATTGCATTGCTTTAGTGACTAATCTTGTGGTTGTTTCCATAGCATAAAGAAACTTTTTTTTCCTTTCAGTTGTTGCAAAGTGCACAGGACCTGCTAACTTCAAGTGTCTGAGTGGAGAATGTATAAATATGACACAAGTATGCAACCAACACCAGGACTGCAAGGATTGGAGTGATGAGCTACTCAAGAAATGTTGTAAGTGATTTGGAAGGTTCCAAAAGAACAAATGAACTTGATTTGTGTACAATCTTATTTCCTTCCCCTACTTTTTAAACTGAACATTTACTGATGTACAACAACAAATTACATTTGTATCGCACCTTTCATGTCGGGAGGACACCCCAAGGCGCTGGACAGTTAGGGATATGGACCCGAGCAGGGGTTTGCGATCAGGAGGGGTGGGAGGCAGGGAGGGCAGGAGTAGGAGGGTGACCAAAGACGCGGTCGAAGAAGAGTTTTGAGATGTGCCTTGAAAAGGGAGGGAGCGAGGCGAAGGGACTGTTGGATTCTTTGACCAATTCATTGATTCGCTTGCTTTATCCTTTCTGTAGACGTCAACGAGTGCTTGGACAACAATGGTGGCTGCTCTGACATCTGCAGGGACCTGGTCATTGGTTATGAATGTGAATGCCCTTCTGGCTTTGAATTGGTTGAAACCAAAATGTGTGAAGGCAAGTTAACTGATCCTGTTTCTTATACAGTAGTGTAAAGAAAACGGGTAATTTGTACACTGAAGAAATATTGTAACTTTTCTATGCAGATATTGATGAATGCCAAACCCCTGAAATTTGCAGTCAAATCTGCACCAACCGAAAAGGAAGCTATATATGTGAATGTCATGCAGGATATCACATGGATCAAGTTGATGGGGTTTGTAAGACAGTAGGTAAGTAAAGCTGATGGGTGTTGGACAACTATCTTGCATAGTTCACGACTGACTTTTCCATCATTTTTATGATTGGTTGATTTGAGGTTGGAATCTAGCATTAATCAATGCGACTTCTACACTCCCTTCAACTTCAGCTAAAAATTGGTCATCCAAGCTCCCTTAGTGACATCAGAAATATATATATACATCTTATAGTGCTTTGGGACATCCTAACATGAAAGGCGCTACACAAATACAACTTGTTGTTGTTATACAAATGTACAAAGCCAGCTAATAGAGCCTCCTATAACTTTAGTGGGACGCATCTGGTTTGACATGATGAACCCTCTGCCTCCATGCAATTTAATAAATCCTAAAAGGCCCACCCCTCCTATTCCCTTTTCTTTTAAATACATTGTTTTTTTTCTTCAACCATAGCTTTCACATTCTCATTCCTTTCAAATTTTCCTTCTAAACTACCTTTAAGACCTACTAGCCATATCAGATTTATGCATTTTATTCTGAATACTTGTCAATTTCAGGCACTTGTTAAATGACTTGTGTTTTCAAATTTTGAACTGCTAGAGGCAAAACATCAGATCTTTTAAAAGTAGATTCAGCTTTTATAGGTCAAACTAAAATGTACTGATTAAGTACAATAAATCAAGAATTTAACTATTAATTCTCAATTAGGGATATATATGTAAATTGCTAGTTGCATAATCCTTGCATTTGGTGTATTTTCATGTAATTGGAATGTCTGAAATTACTTTACAGGGTTTACTGTGCAGTGAGTAGTGACAACTTGCATCAATCTTTCATGTAGGATAACGACCTATACCTTTGTACACAACAGCCAATTTGTGCACAGCGATGTTCCACAAACAGCCATGAAGGGAGTCAATGTCCAGATTTTTGTATCTGGAGATTATTGGCCAGCACACCTGTCTATACATGCTTCTCCTCTGTATTATATTTTATATATTGTGTGTGTGTATATATATATATATATATATAGCAATCCTTAGTTGTTAGAGTACTCACCTCTCAAATGAGAAACCTGGGTTTGCCTGGCAGGCGAAATGTTGGGCAAGTTTTCTTACTCCACACGCCTCTGTTTACCTGGCAATAAGGAACCCGGTTATTAGTTGATTGGTGGATTGCTTTTCCGGTGGTAATAATTCCTTCAAAAAAATAATAATAAATTGGTCACTCATCAACAACTGTTTGTGAGACAATGCTGTGCATAACTGGCTGCCACGTTTCACCCACAAAATATACAGAAAATTCACTTTAAGATCTATTCTGTGAAGCACTTTGAGATGTCTTGAAGACATGAGGTGCTATATCAAATGCAGGGATTATTATCATCTTGCATTCTGCATGCTTTCAGCTTGCTTGATCATTTTACGAGATCAATTATCCTACCATCTTTGCACATCTGATTCCTTATTTGGAACCCAAAGGGGCAATATGGAAACTCGGATGGCGTGGCTGTAATTTGATTGCCTGACCATTTTGATAAATAATAATTGATAGTCAAGATCTTTTGAAAACACACCTTGAAATTAAATCATTCCATGACCGAAAAAAAATCTCTTCAATATGACTGCTTCTTAAATCAAGAGTGGTTTCTTAATCTGTAAATTGTATTGTATAGGAAAAGAGCCCTTTTTGATCTTCACGAATCGCCATGATATCAGGAAACTGGGACTCCACCACAAAGAGTACACCCAGGTAGCTGTGCAGCTGAGAAATGTAGTGGCATTAGATGCTGACATTGCTGACCAGAGGATCTTCTGGGCTGACTTGGGAGAGCAGGCAATTTTCAGGTAATTCAAGTTATGATTGCTGAGCTATAACTAGGTTTGCCTCAACTGTACAGTGTGCATTCAGCACAACACTAACAGAATTTCACAACAGTAATTGGAAACTTGCTATTCAGGTCAACTTTCTTTCCATCTCTTCTCTCCCAACCATCCCAGATATTTACTACTGCTGCTAATTTGCTTCCTGGCCAGCAGAGACTAATTTGATCACTCAATGAATGATGGGTGAATCCATTGCATTGGGTAGTTCTGTGAACAACCATCATTCACAGTCATGTCTGGCAGTTGCTGTCACTTCTGAAAATCCTCCAGTCTTTGGCTAGTTACAGAAATCACAACCTGATTCTGCCCTAATTACTTGATGCCTCACCAATTTACTGTTCACTACTTGCAATGCTATACTGCATTAATGCAAGGGAAATTGTGCATTTGTTTATAAACCTTTCTCAATGCATCATTGTCGATATATATTCATTTGGAACCTGTGACAAATGTTGCTAATGGGGAAACTTGCTAATGAGAGAGAGGCCGATGTGTTGACTTTCTGTCCTTAATGTTTTCATCATAGTAGTTCAACTAAACTATTTTGTTAATGGTCTTAAAGCTGCAATGCTATTATAAACTTCAATGCCAAGTGGTTTTCTTCCATTATAAATGTTACATTTTTATTTTTGTTCAAATTCCACTTTTCAAAAATCCTCCACGTAAATATTTATATAACCTTAAAGTATGGAAAATGGAATACCTAGTCTTACTAAAATCCACTGTTGATAGTCATTCCGTACACCTTGTGAAATTATCAGATTATTTGCAGGTGTCTGGCCCACATTAATTCTAGCTGTGGTCTGTTGAAGCTTTAAGTAGCTGGGTGAAAGATATGGAAAAGCTTGATGTTGACTGAACTATAAATAATTACTTTCTGATATAGTACCTTTCCTGTTGGGAGGACATATTGAAGTACTTCACAGGAGTTGCTGTAAAAAAATTCTATTTAATAGCCTAAATCAACAGCCTATTTGCACATAGCAAACTGCCATGAAGCAAGTGGTCCTGTGAAGGGAATGGTACCTAACCACTGAAACCACTTTACAGTGTGTCCATGGATAAACGGGAAGGTGAAGTCAGCATTTCCAGACTTGTCGACGTTGAAATGCCTGTCGGAATTGCCGTGGACTGGGTCTACAAACACATCTACTGGACTGATCGTGGCACCAAAACCATATCTCTGGCTACTTTCGATGGAACCAAAAAGATGATGCTCATTGGCACCGATCTAAGAGAACCAGCTTCAGTAGCAGTTGATCCAATAACCGGGTACTTATTAACTGTCATTTTGATGTAATTCCAAGAAATGACTTTTACAGTTGAACATTTTGTTAGAAAATCTATCCAATAAACGAATGCAAAGTTTTGGTTGTGGGATGACTGCAGTGAAGGTCTAAGGACTGATCCTCTGCTAATTGAACTGCTAATTATTCAGCCACTTGTGCTATTTGCAGCAAATCTAAGCAGTGTATTCGGCCTGTAGGGCAAGGCAAAGTGAGGGTCTGTTTCAAGGCATACAAAATGTCTCTTGTCAGGTTAAATGTGGCTGCATTAGCTTTGGTCTACTATATTCCAGCTGATAGTTGTATGAATGCAAGGAGATGATAGGGATACAATGGGAGGTCAACCAAGTTCAATGTGTCTAATTAATTTTGCAATAGAGATTTTCAGTCTGTTTGCAGTGGCTTACAAACCTCACCTTTGCCAGCTCTGTCAGCTTCCCTATCAATTAAAATGGTTGAAAGATCATGTCAAAGTTCTGAAATGGGTTAGTTTCTCCTGGGATTAGAGTTCCCTTTCTTCAGGAATTTGTTGGTTAAATTCAACGAAATCTTTAAGTGCTCCAGGGCTTTGTCCTATGAAGGGTGCTGTGAGGTTTGTATGGAATTTTTATTATACATTTACTAAGAAGTTTGTATGGAACTTTTACTTATGCATTGGTGCCTCCCACTGAATTGTTTGCATTTAAACTAAGTTGTGAAATTGAATAGTCTCTCTATATGCAGCAACAAAACTGTTAATCTACAAAGATGTTTTTGTAGTAATGCAATAGCTATTGTCACCATGTTTGATTTAGCACTTTTTATGACAAAGGGCCATCTCAAAGTGCTTTGTGTAATAACTAACTAATTAGTATTGTAGATTAAAGTGATGTATGCAATTGTAGGTGATAAAACAACGTTGTGTTCAAAGGTCATTTGTAATTTGAACNTTTTTTGTCTTAAAGGTTTATTTATTGGTCAGACTGGGGTGAGCCAGCAGCAATTGAAAAAGCAGGCTTGAATGGTGGTGATCGCCAGCTCTTAGTTAACAAAAAAATTCAATGGCCAAATGGCATCGCACTAGGTAAGTAGAGTAGATTTTTTTAAACAAGTTTGAATCTTCAATTACTGGTGTTTGGTTTTGAAATGATTCATACTTTGCCTCCAGATTATGTGAAAAGCCGCCTGTATTGGGTTGACTCAAAACTGCACACCTTGTCTAGTGTGGGCCTAGATGGTCAAGATAGAAGAACAGTGCTCCATTCTCCACAATTCCTTGCTCATCCTTCTGCTGTCTCGTTGTTTGAGGTAAGGCGTAACTTTCCAAAACATGTGACTGAAAGTATTTCTTATGAAGATGATGTTTAACTTGGTTATATCAGCATCCAATTTCAAGCTATAGTCCTGTAGCCATCAGATGTACCAATGTGACTGAAGAATTTATGAGGTGGTTGAGAAGCATTAATATGTTGGTAAATCAAGTCTCGTTAACTCTACATTCATATCTCGGCAGAGTTTGGAAGAATATGGCTTGCATCCATTATTTGTGCTGCTTTTAGCTTAACTGAACTTGAACTGGGGACACAATGTTTGTAGTTGCACAAGGGAATCTTTCTTGGAGAGCATTTGCTTATCAGCATTTTCCTGGAATAAACTTTAAAATGGTCTTCTCCTAGGATCGTGCCTTCTGGATTGATGAGGAGAGTAAAGCTATCTATGCAAGCAACAAGTTTACAGGAGACGATGTGTTGATTTTAGCCTCCAACCTGAACGAACCTCAGGACATCATTGTTTTTCATGAGCAGGTTCAACTATCTGGTAAGGAATTCAACAATGGGGAATTTTTGCTTCTCGTGAGAATCATCCTGATTGTTACATTGGATGGAATTTGTATGTGAGGTATGTCAATCCTCAATGTTTTATTCACAGGCAAAAACGGGTGCACCAATTTTAAGAATGGAAGCTGTGAATACTTCTGTCTCCCCGCTCCTTTGTCTAATGGTCTTTCAGCAAAATATGTCTGTGTGTGTCCGTCTGGAATGGAGTTGTACAATGGACTACAATGTAGAACTGGTAGGCAAAATTTTTAGCTAACTGTACAGAGAAATTACTTAATCTGAAGGTGTATTGAAGGGATATTTGTCGGTGAGTCTTTGCTTTGGCATATTGAACTAGAAATTCTATTTATCCCACGATGACATTTTTAGGACTGTTTAAGTATTGGAAGTTAAAATGCTACCAACGTAATAATAATAATCCTTGCATTTGATATAGCGCTTTTCACGTCGGGAGGACGTCCCAAAGCGCTTCACAGAACACACTGTAAAGTGAATTGACTGTATATTTGTGGGCAAACGCGGCAGCCAATTGTGCACGGCAATGTCCCACAAACAGTCGTGGATTGAAAATGACCAATTTATTATTGTTTTTGGTTTTGGAGGGATTATTATTACAACTGTACTGATGCCAAACTTTATAGAAAATGTTTTGCATATTACATTATGCTGAATAATTATCAAGCTAATAAAATGGGCCATTTGAAGATAACTGGATGCAGATGTTTCTCTACCTAGTCAGATGTGTGATGGTCCTGTAGATCTCTGGCATTGCAGAAGGACTCTGGGATGGAGTTCCAGAGAACAAGGGCTGAATGGCTGAAAGCTTGTCTTCTGATAGTGGGGAGATGAGGCAGGGGCATTGTACATTCCTGCTCTCAACCAGGTTTCTACGATTGGTCGTCCATAGGTTTGGCGCAGCAACTTGTATTTAATACTGAGCAACATCTTTTGACTATAGTTTCTGAATTTCTAGCATCAGTGATTTTAGGAAGCATTGTGCAGATTGTAGAGCTGAAGAGGTGTGGGCATACTAAAATGGAATAAAGCGAATTGTATAAGCAAATGCCCAGCATTTTGAAAATCTGAATGTTTAGTTCCATCAGAGCCAAAATGAATTGAATTATTATGCAGCTCTATAATGGTGACTAGACTGGTTGAACTTTTTTTTTAAAAAAAGCATTTTAGTTAAATTGTCTTCCTCTAAATGTTTACTCTAGTCAATCGACGGAAGGTGTTAAGTTATTTTTCTTTATTTTCAGTATCAAAAGCAATGACTTTGGCTCCTGCTGGTCTTACAAAGTTAACACAATCCAGAAGTATACAAAGCATATAAGTCTCAAATTATTTAACCTCAAGTCTTAGTCAAGTCTATTCATCCAGCAACTAAGTTACATTTCATTTTTTCAGCATCTATACACTATACTGCTGCATCGATAAACACTACTGGACAAACTACAGCAATTTCAATTTCTGAAGGGACTTCAACTGAACTCGCTTCCAATTTCCAAAGAACACTTCCGACCGTTTTGCCCAATTCCAGAGGTAATATAATAATCACTGATCAGCAGCAGTAATTAAGACAAAAAAACATTTACACTAACTTTTTCCACTCCATGACCACTTTCACCAAGAGACTTCTTCCAGACCATGCAAGTTTATCGTCTCCTTTTAAACAATTTAATTGCCATAGTTTTTTCATTGGAAAAATTCTTTCATAAATGAGGTGATGTAGCTTTATATTGTTTTCTTTTCCTTCAGAAAATACAACTCGAGATCTTTCTCCTTGCTTTCAAATACTCACCAACTCCCCTACCCTTTGTACCCTGGTTGCTCCCTGTGCTAAGCAGTTTCCTTTCCCACCTTAATACTTTACAACTGCTTTTATTTTCTCCCTTTCTTTTTCCTCCCCAACTCTCCACAAAGTTCAGGCTTCCTTTAGCTGTATGAAGCACTTTGAAATGTCATGACACTGAGAATCTATCAATAAATTGCAAAAAAATACATTTTATTTCCAGATTTGAATCCAGGTGCTTCAGTTCATAAATCAGGAAATTCTACTGTTGCTGGCTGGGTTGTCTTTATCATGAGTAAGTACAGTTCATAGAAAACTTTATTTTTCTGATGTCAACATAATTTTGTTTCATTGAAAGCATAACTGCTTTTGTTAAGGAACTCGAGCTTAAGTTAGTCAGTTATTCCTTGACAAATGCAAGGATTTACTAAGTCCTTCTGACCAGTCTTTCCCCTGTATTTCAGTGTTAGTGGCAATAGTTGGTGTAGCTGGCTATCTGAAATGGCGAAGCTGGCGAAGTAGGACACACCAGAGCATGAGCTTTGAGAATCCAGTCTTTCATCGTGATGATGTTGAAGAGAAATAAATAAAATAAAAATTCAGTTTTAAAGTATCTTGACTGTTTAATTGTTACTTTTTTTATATAGAATCAAATTGTGGTAGATGTACTGAAACTACTGCAAGATCAACATTGCCCTGAACTCTGTTCAGGTGGATATTAAAAGATCCTGTGGCATCCTTTGAAAAGCAAAGGGAGTTTCTCCGAGTGTCCTGACCAACAATCCTCCCAATAGTAATTTATCCATCGTTGTTCGTCAGATATTGCTGTGTGCAACTTGGTTGCTCTGTCACTTACAAATATTCACTCGAAAGTACTTTTGATATGTTTCAGTGTGATCATGTGCTGCACTAACAACAACAACTTGCATTTCTATAGCGCCCCTCACTCAGGGTAGTGTCCCAGAGAGCTTAAAACACTAAAAGCAAGAAACTCTTCCCACAAATACCTTCTCAGAATTGACGAAAGAGCACCAGACAAATTTGTCCTATTCTAGTTATGACCTGAAAATTGTCTGCAGCTTGGAGTTGCTGCTCTACAAAGCAATTCTTATTTGACACTAGTGCGTATTTCTGATTTCAGCCAAAAGGTGGGAAAATTGATTTAACTAACAAGAATTTATTTTCCACATTCATTTGTTTAGAATGTTTAACCACAGAGATCCAGGTTACTGCACAATGCACAGATGGTCTGGCATTGTAAAAATGCAAGTTCTTTCCACCTCTATTTACTTAAGCACAATAGCTGAGATTAACCCTGCATAATTAAACGTGTTCATTAAAATCTCACACTGAATATTGTATTGGATACCTTGAGTGAGGCAAACACACTAAGTTCCCAATAGTATTGTACACCATGTTATAGGAGCAAGGGCAGTGTGTATTATGATCATTCATCAAGGAACATTCAGCAGTGTTTCCAGGGGGAGGGGGAGCAATTAAAATTACCAAGAACTGCCCTCGGCACACAATGAAGTAGCAAATGAACAATAAGTAGTACCTGTTGGAACCTGATGATTTCTGGTATCTAGGATTCCCAATGTTCTTTACCTCCCTTTATGAACAGATTGAGAGTGAGTCAGCTTGGCTCAGCTGGTAAAACTCTCACCTCAATGAGTTCCAGACCCATGTCGGAGTTTGGAAGTCATTGCATTGGCTGATATTCCACTGCAATGCTGGGGTTTGCTGGGAGGTGCCATTCTTCGGATGAGACTTTAATTGATGCCCCGTTAATCTGTTCAGGTGGATGGTAAAGATCCAACGGCCCTACTCAAGAGAAGGGAGCTTCTCCCTGTATCGTGGCCAACAATCCCCCAGCTAAAATTAGTCATTCACTTCACTGGAGTTTGTGGGACAATTACTGTGGCAAATTGGCTGCTGCATTCACCCACACAAACTCCACTTTACAGTACAGTAAAATTTGTATACGTCAGGACCATAATATTTAATGTGACTTGCATAAAGTATGAGTTACAGACAAACTTGCATAAGTAGTATAAAATCTGATTTAATCAATCTACACTGCATGTGTACTTCAATGCAGTCAGTAAGTGCACATCCATCGACGGATCAGAACTTCATTTCCTGCGAATCAATGCAACCGGTAAGTGCGGTAGCAGGGTTAGTAGTTAGGAGATGATTTGAAAATACTAGCTGTTTCCATTGCTGCTTCGCTTGCAACCAAAGGATCCAATATGGAATGCAGACAGGCATTTCATCTTGATGCTCGTCTTGGAGTATAGATTTCTTTTGGGCGGACACTGCGTTTTAATAATGTAATTTTGTTGTGGTTACCGCGGCTTAGCTTCGTCTATGTTCTTTATTGTGATCCAACCGCTTGGCTACGTGTGTGCTCTGTGACGCAGGATGCCACAGCGCCACAGTCAGCTGGCGTGCCCACCAGGTATGACTGCAGTGTGTTGATAAGGTATGTACACAGTGATGCATGATGCAACAGCGTCACTTTGACTTGGTGGCCACTAGGTGTAACTGCAGCAAAAACACAAAACTGAAAATAATTCATGAATGATAGGAGATACCCAAAAGCAAATATGCCCATGTTACTCCCAGTATCAAGACCTTTCCGATGAGGTATAAATCAGTCTCTGTGTTAATCGGTTATTGAGATCCTATTTGAAGCGCAGATAGACATTGTCGTTTTATTAGTATAAGATAGAAGTAGAAAGATAATGACTAATGCAAATAAATTAAGTGGTGTTTGGTAGGATACAGAATGGGACTCAGATGCATGTACAATTTCATCAATTGTATGATTTATAAAGGTATTACCATTTATCCTGTGAAACACTTTAAGACTTCCTCCTGACATAAAAAGTGCTCCACCACTTGTAAGGATTATTATAAATTATACATATTTTTAAAAACAAAGCTTTGTATAAAAGCATTTTTTTTGCAGAGGGAAAAACATCCACTCTCTCCATTCAGTGGCTAAAGGCCATTTGGAGTAAATTATTACAAAATTATTTTTGGATATAAACTAATACTGCAAGCCAGTATTTTTCATGGGCCATGTCATTTTGTATATTATGCAGAAATTTTTATGCAGAATTAAATGGGCCGTGAAAAAATAAATTAAAAATGACCTTCAATGGGATTGACGAGTGCTACTATTGGGTGAAAATAGTGGGCCGCAAAGCAAGAGTTGGGGCCAAAAATAGGGCTCCAAATTAAATGGATTTACAGTATGGAAGTTGTAGAAAGGCCATTCAATTCTAGGATGCAACAATGAAAATGATTGAATATAATTATAATTCTTTCATTTGATATTGTGCCTTATCAAGTCATTGAGAAGTCTCAAAACACTTCACAAGATATACTGTAATATTAATAATCCTTGCATTTGACATTGTGCCTTATCACATCTTTGAGATGTTTCAAATCACTTCACAGCATATACTGTAAAGTGAATTGACTATATTGTGAATAATAAATGTAAATGTCTCCATTAACATTTATTTTGACGTCAACAAACAGCACTGGGCTGTCAAATCGCAACAGAGATAGTGAGATGGAAAGGTGGACTAAATGTTGACAAGCCGGAAGCCACACTCTGGCTCCCATCAATGTCTTCTGTCCTGCGACTCTGACCTCTTCAACCTCCCCGGTCTATCTCTCAGACTCACCAAAACTGTGCACAACCTAGGAGTCGGGTTTGTCCTTCCTTCCCCACATCCGGTCCCTGACTAGGATCACCCTCCTCTGCCACAGTGCCAGCCTCCGACCATACGTTACCCAAGATGCAGCAGAAACCTTCATCCATGCGTTCATCACATCCCAACTCAACTTTTCGAGTGGCATCTTCTCCGGTCTCCGTTCGACTTTTCTCCAACCTCCTGATTGTCCCTCATGGCCTCCATTCCACCATCGGTGGCCGAACTTGCAGCCACTAGGCCCTGAAATTCTGGAATAATTTTTCTCTATCCCTCTGCCTTTCCCCTTCCTTCTCCATCTTTAGATCATGCCTGAGGACCTTCCTCTTTGACTGTGCCTATGGTCAACTCCCTCCGGTTTGGCGTTGTGCTCTGCCACTGTCAAGCGCTCTGGGACACTATCTTGTGTGAGGGGCATTGTACAATTGCAAGTTGTTGTTTAGGATCAGTGTTGACAGAGGCTGGGCACTAGGTTGCCTGCCCACCTTCCCAGCCACAAGTAATGTTTAATCATTGGTAGAGCAGAAGGGGAAGGAATGTTATTTAAATGTACAGACTCTCAGTCTACAATGAAACCTGTCAGTCTAACTGTAAAATATTTTTAGATTTCATTTTAATTCTTTACTAATGAGAACACTTGCTTTCCCCACCCTCCCACCCCCTATTCCTAGCTTACAAAATGGACCATTCACTTTGATTACTTCTGCAGACAGTCCACCACACTCTAAATTAAGGACAGATGAACGTCAAAGACCCCATGGCACAATTCAGAAAGAGAAAGGAGTTTTTCCTCTTGTCCTGGCCAACAATATTCCAAATAAAATTGGATATTTACTCCATGGCTATTTTTGCAACATTGCTGTGTGCAAACTGGCTGCAGAATTTGCCTCCATGTTCACTACACTTTGCAGCACATCCTGGAAAACACTGAGGTGTTTTGATGATGTGAGTAGGGGCTATATCAAATGCAAATTTTAATGTGACCAAAAGCGTTTTCTTTCACCTACAAAATAGTCAATCCACTTTATAGTATATCCTGTGAAGCGCTTTGAGACATCTCAATGACATAAGCCAAGGATTATTATTAATNAAAAAAGTTAGATTATCTTTAAATGAGGCCTTGCAGGTCCATGAGGAATAGAAAACCAATGTAATAAAGGTAATATTGAGCCTGGGAAGAGGATCTTAATGAGCTGGGTGTGCAGTGTGTGAGTTGTAAAGGATCTGCAATGGAAAGAAATAACTGATAACTGAGAGATTAAAAAATATATTAAAAATATAACAACATTCATTCACTATATGAACAACTGGTTTCACAAAATATGTAAGTGTGGTGACAGTTCATAAATTAATGAGGGAAGATGATTTCTGAATTTCTGATTGAAGCTGAACAGTAGCTGCAAGAGGAACACTCTCTACATTATTAAAGAATAATTAATTGCCACTATACTTGTCAAATCTGGACTGTTCACCTTCTGAAAACAGTACTAAAATGGGTTGTGCGATACATCTGTCCACTTTCTGAATTTCAAATGCAGTTAAAAATTAACCACTGAGTAACTGACTTTCTGACAAATTGCAGCACTGTATCTGAGACAGCCCAACACACACTCTGGAGTCCCCAAGTCTTGGCTCTTGGTTACCTGTGCCTAATACTTTCTGGAATTAGATAAGCAGGATGCGTCCCTCCAGAGAGAGAGTGCGCATTCCATTCCAACAATCTTTCTCTGAGATTTCCATGTGTAGGTGGGATGCATGGAAATATCAACTTGGTTTGGATACTCTTAAGCATGGTGATGGGTTTCTGCTGACCAAAACAAAATCTGAGACATCTTTTAGCTATTTAAAACCCAAGGAGCATGGGGCAGACTGGAAAATAGCGCACAGGCTGGAGTGTGTTTGAATAGGAGGTTGAAGGTCCTGAAAATTATGTGTTGAAGGTTAGACAGCCGTTGGAGCTTTGTGAGTACAGAGAGTAAGGGTGGGGTATTTCAACAGCAGCCTTTCTATCTCCTGAGGGAGTTTCTCTTTCCTGGTGTCCTGGCCAACAATCCCCCATCATAATAATAATCCTTGCCTTATCACATCTTTGAGACGTCTCCAAGCTCTTCGCAGAATATACTATGAAGTGAATTGACAAAAGGTGCTGATCTGGCCAGTCTGCACGTGAAAGAGAGCGGTTATACTAGCAGAAGGGTAAATCTGCATTTGGGCAAAGCTGCTTTCAAAAGCACGTCTGTACAATACATGACACAATAAAATATTCATAAAACGCTGTAAATTCATCACACAGCAATCAATGACTCAGTTAGTGTTCAAGTGCTTCTTGGCTGCATTGCAACCAACCCACAGAGAAATGTGATGAACTGTTAACACTCATTTAATTAAAAGTAATTAATTTTAACATAATGGGTGAATATTACCAAAACTCATGAATATGATTCATATGTGACATGTGGCTGACTGTAGCTCTTTTGTGGCTAAATGTTCCTAAGGCTTATAATAATACAATAATAATCCTTGCATTTGATATAGCACTTTATCATGTCATTGAGACATCTGAAACGGGCTTCACAGAATATACAGTAAAGTGAATTGACTGTATTGACTTTGTGGGTGAAATATAACTCACTGTACTGTTGAGATAATAATGATATATCTAATTCTTTCTCAGATATAATGGTACAATATTTGAAGCTAATCTCCCTCACACACTTGTTTCAAATACAGAAATATCATGACCTGTATTATATTCGGTGGCAAAAAATAACTAACTTCTCAAAACAAATAAAAACACTGTTTGCATGCCACATATTTCTAAAGTGTAATTGAAAACAATTTTGAGAAGACTGAAATTTTTACACACAAACTTGCCTAATATACCTATCATCTTCTTAGCTGCAAGTGATAATAATATCATCATCATAATAATAACAGTTGATGTATGATGTTGAGTACATCTCAGAGCACCTTACATTTCTGAGGAATGTATTTTGTAGAAAAAGGCAGAGGCCAATTTGTGCACAGCAATGTCCTACAAACACCCACAAAGTGAATAACCAATTTTATCTGGGGGATTACCAGCCAGAACACCAGGAAAAATTCCCTTCTCTTTTTCAAGTAGCGCCACAAGATCTTTCACATCCACCTGAACAGATAGATGGGACTTTAGTTAATAAGTCATCTGAAGGACAGATCCTCTGACAATACACCCTGCACCACATTTGAGTGCCATCTTAGCCTGTGAGTTCAAAGACCAAATGCGGAGCTTGAATCTCTCAAGTGACACTTGGCTGTGGCAGAATAGAAGGGAACATGTTATGTGTTCGGCAACACTTCCCTTATTTACAGCACCTCCCCATATAGTTTGGTGTATGGTGATAAATTATAATGTGTGGATGAATTTGTTATGTCAATATCAAGAGTGGGAAATTGAACCAAGATTTATTTAAATTAACAGCAATATATGAGAAAGTATGACTTTCAGTCTGTTAGAGTATTAATAATAATAATCCTTGCATTTAATATAGCACTTTTCACGTCTAGACGTCTCAAAGTGCTTCATAAAATAGACTGTAAAGTGAATTGACTGTATATTTGTGGGCGAAACGCGGCAGCCAATTCCGCACAGCAGTGTCCCACAAACAGTCGTGGATTGAAATGACCAATTTTTTTTAATACTTTTGTATTGACATTGAATGTATCATATTTCTATATAAACAGGCACATCCTTACGTTCATATAGACCTGATTTTCATTTTGCTCAGGAAATGCTCTGTAAATGCATTTATAGAACAACCAGCTGATAATATTCAGGCGGATAAAGACTCAAAACTTTCATCAGTTCCACTTACTTTGCAATATCTTAAGTTCAACCAACATTGTAAATTGAAAAGAAATCACAAGAGATCACTTGTATGTAGAAAGTCCCTCCACTTATTTGATCTCATCTTTCCAAAATACCCATCTTGTTTTCCTCCCATCACAGCATCAAGTTGTACATCATTGGAGTCAGTCTCTTTCGGTGAACCTTCAACCATAAGCATTGTTAAAAAAAAAAATAAACACCCCATTGCAATCTGCAGTGAAAATGAACTGACCAACAATGAACACAGTAATCGTATCAGGTACTCAGCCTTCTGTGGACGGTCTGCAAGCAGTAATGTAGGTGACCTGACTGATAGGCGTTCACCATGCAGTTATTTAACAAGGTAATTGAGTTGGTATGTTCACACCGGCAGCTAGTTGTGCTATGATTGCTTACACTGGTATAAAATCGCGTTGCTGCTGCAGCTGGCTGTAACTCTCAGTTCAATGAAAAGGGATCTCGACAAGTAAGCAGATTTAGGACATCTGCTTCCATCAGAGCTGTGAAATGATACCTTTTCGAGTCCCTTTGCTATTCTTGTTGGCTGCATGTTTATATTTCAACAACTGCGTGTACGGTAAGTGACTTTCTTAATCCTGGGCTCGTGTGCAAACTGCTTCACTTGGATTCTCTTATGTTAATGTGAGGGTTTTTTTTGAGCAATAAAAATTGCTCAGCGAGAATGCACAATGATTTGCACCTTAAAGTGATGGATCTATTTGGAGCTGCCAATAAATATGCATTGGATTCCGCGAGCTCAACACGTATCAAACAATAGGTTTGTTTTGTGTAAGACTCTTAGGTACATGCGGTAAAGTGCATGGTCTAACTGCTAACATGACTTGCTGCAATTATCCATTCAATGAAAGATTTCAACACCGAGACCTAATGTGTTAAATATTGCATGAATCGCATAATCTGGGTCATTCAATTAGAGCAACCTAGCTCCAAGCCTGCATTGTGTCCACTTCAATAAATTGTTCTCATTGTACGTGGACAGTTTGTATTGCACGTTGTTCTGCATAATTCAAATAGAAAAAAAATAAATGCACGTATTGCAAGCTTTTTAAATGCGGTTCCAGTATCCTTCTGACACCATCTCTTGTTTCTTTCCTCCCTTTTCTTCCACCCCTATTCTTTAACAATATCAGTTGGATTTCGAAATAGATTTCCACTATAGCACTGAGTAGGAGCTGTACTCTTGTGAAGCTGGAGCTGATAGTTATATGATAGTTAGGAATGCAGAGCTATTGAATACTTTGTATTCAGCAAAATATTTCTTAAAAAAATGTAAGTGTGGAAAACTATGCTCCCAAGGATATCTTTAAGCTAAACAATAAATTGAAGTGTGTATTACTTATATCTGTCCCTCTTTACATCTAACTTTAACTAAAGTCTGCTTTTTGGTAGGGTGTAAACTGAAGCATCAAATGAAACTGTTGCTTTTCTGCTCTTAATCCTGCTAATGACTTCTTTTCATTCGCAGGGTCTTGTGACATAACTCAGTTTCAGTGCAGAAGTGGACACTGCATCGCTTTACAGTGGAGATGTGATGGAGATGATGACTGTACTGATGGGAGTGATGAAAGTTTATGTGGTGAGTTGTTGGATTCTTAATTCCTCACACTGCACCATCTCTATTCTTTGATTCCTGTTAGCTTTGGCCCTCTTTCTAGTGAAACATGTCATTTAAGTTCCGTTCTTAACTGCTGTTATCCCTTTGCCAATGAAATAGCCGCTTGCATACAATGTAGATTATAACAAGTGCAGTATTTCTCTGTTGTTGTGTTTCATTATATACAGAAGAATATTAACTATTTGAATCCTTAACAAATTCTAGTGTCGAGTAGTGAATGACTTCCTTTCCTAAAGGTAGTTAAGGCTATGGAGTTCAGTTATTCAACAGCAATGCTAAACTTGTCAGCCAGAAGTACACTGTAACCCTATTGCTTTTTGATTAAACTATGGCTCCTGTAACAATTTTGGAATATGTGTTCTCTATTCCTCTATTGACCTGTACCAGGGGTGTCAAACATGCAGTCGCTGACAGCCCGTGAGGTGATGTTTAGCAGCCCACACCATTAGTTTCTAAAATCGCATTGCATGAGTGACATTCTCATTAAGTCATTGCCAGTTCACAGTGTTAGTAAGAATAGCCAATTAGAGTGCTCATGTATACATAATAACTGCGCACACAACTGCATTGAGTAGAATTGTGAAGTCGTATTACAACTTTCTTTTACTTAAGTACAGTATTATGCAACAACAAAATTACATTTATAGAGCATCTTTCACGTTGGGAGGACATCCCAAAGCACTGAAAAGTCAGGTGTCGGGGCCCGAGTATGGGGGAGGGGTGGTGTAAGGGTGAGGGAAGGCAGAGAGGTGGGAGGGAGACCAAAGGCACGGTCAAAGAGAAGGGTCTTGAGACCGGCCTTGAAGGAGGCAAGGGAGGAAGCGAGGCGAAGGGACCGTGGAATGGAGTTCCAGAGTGTGGGGGCAGAGAGGCTGAAAGCCCGGCCACTGATGGTCGTGCGGGAGACATGGAGCAGGCCGGAGCCTGATGAGCGGAGGGAGCGGGCAGGTTGGTAGGGAGTCAGCAGGTCAGAGAGGTAGGAGGGGGCAAGGTATGGATGGCCTTAAAGATGAGGACGAGGTTCTTGAACTCAATCCTCTGGGGGATGGGAGCCAGTGGAGTCAGGAGAGTGGGAGTGATGGGATCGCGGAGCCTAGTGCGTGAGAGTACATGAGCTGCAACTTTATTGTGGTTCAGCCCACCAAGTGAATAGTGACTTAAATGACACTTGAGGCCAGATGAGTTTGAAACTCTTGTCCTAGACTTGTATATAAAGATGTGGTGCCTCTCGCTGAGCTTAAGATGATGCTGGACACGGTGGGTGTTGGGAGGAGGGAAGGTGACTAAGAATGGTTCAGGAAGTAGATTTGAATGGGAGTTCCGGTCACTGCAGTGTTGGACTAGATTGATTTTAATGTGGTACTTGAACCCATTGCTTTCAGACCCCAGAGGTGAGTATGCTACCAACTGGTTCAAGATGACATTTCTTCCCCAGAATATTATGATTTGGCAAGATTGCCAAGATGTAGTGATGATGATAATGAATAATAAATATTAATAATAATCCTTGCATTTGATATAACACATTATTACATTGTTGAGACATCTCAAAGTGCTTCACAGAATATGTTGTGAAGTGGATTGACTGTATTTTTGTGGGCAAAATGCCCAGTTGTACTGGCAAGTTGACAGGGAGCTGAGCATAACACTAGCTGATGCAGTAAATGTTTTGCTGGGAAATTTACCAAGCCCTAAATCTAGAACACCTGATGGGTTGAACGACCTCCTGTTTCCTATCTTCCTAAGCGAAGAAACTGGATGTTTTTAAAGTTGAGAGCCAAGGGGTGTGGAGGGAAGTTCAACTTTACATCCAACTATCTCTAATCTAACATGGGTGTGCATGCCAATGAGAACAAATGTTGGCAATTTTAGGTACTTTTTGGGAGGAGGGGAATTAGTTTTGCGTATGTAAGAATTTAGATGCTTGCAGTTGATGTACAATAATGCTTCTGCCCACCAACTTTTTTTTAAAAAAGTGAGTATTAGTCTAGTATCGTATGTAGTGACTTCACCCTACAAAAGTTGCATTTTGTTTTAGATGCAGGTGTCCTTATTGAATGAACTTTAGTGGCTTAATAAGCTTGGAGTACAGCTGCTAGTGTAATTCAAAGGGGATTGTAAGGATGGAAATCCCATCAAATGACTTCAAAAAGTCCAGTGTAAGAAGACTGTCTTTGATGGTTGTGTTCCTCATATTAAACTGATAGATTAAGATCACCTGCATGAATCTTAAAATATATTCTCCTGTTTACTCAGCTAAGACTACTTGCGGACCATCTGACTTTGTGTGCCACAATGGAAAATGCCTCCCTCTTAAGTGGGTGTGTGATGGTACATCGGACTGTGAAGATGGATCTGATGAAAGTCTGCAAGTGTGTCGTAAGTATTTTGGGGTAGAAATGAGACAACAACAAATTGCATTTATAGAGCAACTTTCACATCGGGAGACTAGTCCAAGGCCCTGAACAGTGAAGGTTTGCACCCTAGCTGGGGATTGGAATCTAGAGGGGTGGAGGGCAAAAGGGATGGAAAGGTGACTAAAGGCATAGTCAAAGAGGAAGGTCTTGAGATGGGCCTTGGATGGAGGCAGAGGGGCACTAGGATGGAGTTCCAGAGGGTAGGGGCAGAAAGGCTGAAGGCCTGACTGCCAATGGTGGAGTTGGCACAGTGGGAGATGTGGAGCAGACAAGTGTCTACCGAGGACAGGGAGCTGATGGGTTGGTAAAGAACATGTGTGTGTAACACATTTCTTGTGTCCTTTCCTTAGGTTTCCCACCTAGTCCTAGTACTTCTAATGGCATTTTTGCTTATTTTACATTTTTGGCCAACCTCCTCATGCTAGTTCACTTGTAGCATGGTTGACTCATGGTATCTCTGAAGTTCAGTTCACTTGTTACACTTCTAGCTTCTGTGTATTCTGTGCACAACCTGTGCTGAATAAGTATTTTTATTGCATGCTTCATTATAATGTGGGGTCTAAGTTTACTCCTTGGGTTAGCACCTGCCAGATAAGTTCCCCTGTTGCGATTCACTTGTGGTGCACTGACCACAGCCAAATCTCACTCATAATTTAGGGACTCTTAACGGAAGATTTGAGATCCTAGCAACAGCTATGCCTTCAGCCTGCTATTGCTTGGGATTGGTATTGCAGTACTTCTGATCTGAGGAGTTTCATCTGCCCTCACAAAGAGGAAGTGGAGATGTGCACAACCTGTGCTGAATAAGTATTTTTGTCAACTCAAGGGTTAAGGAAAGACATTGATTTTGTTTTCTTCTTCCCCAGACAGTAAAACTTGTCCAGCCAATGAAATGAGCTGTGGCCCAAGATCTCTTCATTGTATTCCCATTTTGTGGAAATGTGATGGAAGAAAGGACTGTGATGATGGCAGTGATGAGATTAATTGTGGTACGTTTTAGTTTGGCAACTATCCTAGACAATTTTCAAGGAAGGGAGTTAAAAATAAATTGTCAGTTCCCCTTAAGCCCCACAAAATATACAGTCAATTCACTTTACAGTATATTCTGTGAAGTGCTTTGAGACATCTTGAAGATGTAATAAGGTACTATATCAAATGCTGTTATTATTTTTAAAAATTATGTAATGCCGCATAAGCCATACAGACCTAAGGTTCAAGTTTTGGCCAGATTCTTTCTAAATCTTATAAATCTGATTACAAATTGAGTTAAAGAGAAAATGTGATTAAGTTGCACAAAAAAATGACTTAAACTATTTTAGGCTCCAGGCTTAATATTTTTCTCTGAGAAACTCCATACATTGCACCCATATTTACTGGTGAAGATCTTCACACCAAAGTACATAGTGTGGCATTTGTAATCCAGCTGTGCATTCAATGCAAATGTCAATACTATTGTACATGAGAAAAATCTATAAAAGCTCAATGTTAATTATCCTTGCATTTGATATAGCATCTTTACATAGAAACAGGAGTAGGCCAATCAGACCCCTGTTTTTCCCCCATTCTATAAGATCGTGGCTGATCTGTACCTCGAGTCTAATTACCCTCCCTAACCCGGTATCCCTTAATATCTCACTATCTAACCATCTAGGTCTTCAAAATATGAATGGATCCAGCATCTGCAGGCTTTTGGGAAAGAGAGTTCCAGATTTCCACTACGATTTGGGTGAAAAACTGCCTCCTAATTTCACTCCTAAATGGCCTAGCTCTAATTTTAAGATTATGCCCATTGTTCTGGATTCCCCTACCAGAGGAAATAGTTTCTCTGTATCTACACTTTCAAATCCCTTTTGATAAATTGTTTGTCATAATATCTCAAAGTACTTCACAGACTATACTTTAAAATTGTAACTATTTTGTACCTTGTATCTAACAAGATTCTACCATCTCTCAGGTCAGATAACTTGCAGTCCCCTGGAGTTCACGTGCTCCAGTGGCCGGTGTGTTTCCAAGACCTTTGTCTGCAATGGGGAGGACGACTGTGGTGATGGAAGTGATGAACAAACCTGTCATTCATCTTCCTGTGGTCCACATGAGTTTCAGTGCAAGAATTCTGAGTGTATCCCCTTGAGCTGGGTGTGTGATAACAATGCCGACTGCATGGACGAGTCTGATGAAACTGCAACAAGTTGTGGGCATACGCTGCCACCTCTCGTGGACTGTTCTTTTAATGAGATCCAGTGTGGTTCAGGCGAATGTATCCATCGCCAGTGGTACTGCGATGGAGATGTGGACTGCAAAGATGGAAGCGATGAGAAACACTGTCGTAAGTTGATCAACTCTTCTTCCATTGTGGAGATTAATGTATTTCCTTTCAGTTCCCACTGACGAGAAATAAGTTAACATTAACAACAAAATTACATTTGTAAGGCACCTTTCACATGCCTTACAAGGAGTACATCCCAAGGCTGAACAGTAAGGGATGCAGACCCGAGTGTGGGGGGGCAGGATTGGGATGAGGGAGGCCAGAAGGGGTAGGAGAGCAGCTGAAGGCACGGTTAAAAAGGAGGGTCTTGAGTCATGCCTTGAAGGAGGCAAGAGAGGGGGCAAGGCAAAGAGATTATGGGGTGGAGTTCCAAAGAGTGGGGACAGAGAAGCTGAAAGCTCGGCCGTGGATGGTAGGGTGGGTTAGGCTGGGGACCTGGACCAAGCCGGAATCTGCTGAGCGGAGGGTGTGGACAGGTTGTTTGAGGGTCAGTACATCAGATGTAGGACGGGCAAGACCATGGAAGGCCTTGAAAGTGACTGCTTGGAAATTAACTGGTTAATAAATAAACTTTCTTAATGTCTGTGAAAGCACACAAGTTCCTGACTTTATTTAGACTTGTGATAGGCTATCATGACCAAGCTGAGGCAAGAAAGTTTGTTTATGATACACATTCACCATCTATTGGGAATTCACACATATACACACAAACTATAACCTTTCGCATATTTGTAATACAAATATAATATTCCTACTCTTTAAAATTTCCATTTGAATTAATGGAAGAATGGAAATTCTGATATAAGCTAAAATGATTACAAAGCCTTCAACGAGAAGGTGAACCACTCCATTAAGAATAACTATTGCAATCAAATGACTCTGGTCCTCCTCTAGAAATATTATTGCACCCTAATTCGCCTAGCACATTACTTAGAATAGGTCCATGCCAATTTTAATCTTAATTGTGATGCATTTAACTTTTAGCTCAGACGTGTGGACCTGGTCACTTCAGGTGTAGTGATGGTAGCTGTATTCCTGAAAACAAGAAGTGCAATGGATATCAGGACTGCAGTGACGGCAGTGATGAGAACTGCAACAATGGTAATGGCATAAATCAACAACTTGTGTTCATATAGCGCTCTTCACACAGGTAGGATCTCGAAGTGCTTAACAGTAGCATATCTTGATGCCTAGCCGGGAGGGGACATGACCAAAGGCACAGCCAAAGAGGAAAGTATCCAGGTGTGACTTGAAGATGGGCAAGATTGAGGCAAGGAGTTTCCAAGATTCAGATAATCTTGGATAAGTGTACATATGGGAATGTTCAACTGGTATCTGGCATATGAACACTTCACCTCACAGCTAGGACAGAACCTCAGTGTCTTGTTTGACTCCATTGTCCTTTTAAACCCCACATCCATGCTCTGACCCATTTAGCCTTTCCCCCATCCTCTCCATTACTTCTCCCCTAAGGTCACCAATACCTTTATCCATGCTTTCAAATGTCCAGGCTAGACTAGGCCAACTCTCCGCTCACCGGACTTCCCAATTCTTACCTCCACAGGTTGCAGAGCATCCAGAAGTCTACAGCTCACCTCCTTTCCTGCACTAGGCTCACTGAGCCTAATCAATCATTTTCTCTTCAGCAGGCATAGAATGTACAGGACCAACTGACTTCAAATGTCAAAGTGGAGAATGTATACACTTTACCAAAGTGTGTAACCACCATCAGGACTGCAAAGATGGGAGTGATGAGCCCCTCAAAACCTGCGGTAATGCCTTTTTCTAACATTGTTTGACTGAGACTTAATCCAGATTAAAATGTACACTGTTCACATGATATGGTATTTGCACCTGAGATGTATATTGCTTTCTGTTAATGCTTGAAGGGCGAATTGTTGTTCTGTCACTTCTGCTGTATGATTTCATTTCACTCATCAAAATGCTTCCATTGGATTCTGTCTAAAATCATGTACTGGGTTCCAATATCCATCAACTAAATGTGATCGATGCCTTACTGTGTGAAACCCTATCCCACATCATTGAAGTTTCTTGCATCCAATTAGAGTAAAAAAAATGCTTCAAGGTAAAGGATGGTATATTTAAAGATCCAAGTCTTCTCTTTCAACTGACGCACAACTTTTACTTCATGAGTACATCAACTTCACGACTGACTTCAAAAAAGAAATATTTTTGGATGACTCTAAAATTAGTCTAAAAGGATGTCCTGATTCTGTAGTTCATGTTTCACAGCTGCCATCGGATAGCATTGTTCTGGTTCATATATGGAATGGAATTTTGCCTACAAAAGTCACTACATGAAATCACACAGCCAGAAGTGACAGAACAATAACTCACCCTTCAAGTAATAGACGCTTAAAAAATATAATAATTTGCTCATTTAATCCACAACTGCTTGTTGGACACTGTTGTGCGCAATTGGCTACTGGTTTAGCCCACAAAATATACAGTCAATTCACCTTACAGTATAATCTGTGAAGCGCTTTGAGATGTCTAGAGGACATGATAAGTTGCTATATCAAATGCTATTATTACACTTAATATAGTAAATCCTGTAAAGCTCTTTGAGACATCCTCCAAAGTAAAAGTTGGTATATCAGGTGTATCAAGTTTTTATGTAGCATTGGGGGTGGGGGGGTTCTGGGAGGGTTTGCTCCTTGTCATACATTTGCTGTTCTGCCAAGCTGCCAACTAATGTATCTTCTCTAACCATCCTTGATCTGATAACTATTTTGCTCCAAGTATTGTTGTAAGCCTTGACAAGGCATCAGATGTCTACCAAACAAACATTTCCATTTCACAATAGGCAGTTCATGTGTAAACACGATATTTGCTGCCATAAATGGCAGCCATGAAACTTCTAACTGCAGTGTTTCGTGATTCCACACACGCCTGTTTACCGAGCAGTAAGTAAGAACCCAGTTGTGAGTTGATTGATTGATGGATCACTTTCCAGGGGTAATAATCCCTCCAATAAAATGACGATAATTTGGTCACTCAATCCATGACTGTTAATGGGACACTGCTGTGCCCAATTGGCTGCTGTGTTTCGCGCACAAAGTATCTAGTCTTTATATTCTCTGAAGTGTTTTGAGACGCCTCAACAATGTGATAAGGCCCTATATCAAATGCAAGGATTATTATTTCAGAATATCCTTTAAATAATTTTATTGTCATTTCCTTACTCCATTCATGTTGAATGTTGATGTCTACCAGCAACAGACGGGGAATCAAGTTGACATCTCATCCAAATGATGGTACTTTCTGATAGTGTGTTCAGATAGCTTTCAATGAGTGTTTCCTTCACTTCACACTCCATCATGTACTGCCCTCTCCTCCCTACCTCGTCCTCAATTAAGCAGCTACTAAAGTAAGTGCTGAAATGTGGGATCTTCCTGTTTTCTAGATGTCAATGAATGTTTGATGAGCAATGGCGGCTGCTCTCATACCTGCCTCAATCTTATCATTGGACACAAGTGTGACTGCCCTGTTGGCTTTGAGTTGGTTGATGGGAAAACTTGTGGTGGTAAGTTGACTGACCTGTTAATAAGATGAAACATTCTGGTGAAAAGATTCTAATTCTATATTACTGACTCTTCAGATATTGATGAGTGCCAACAACCTGGAACCTGCAGTCAAATTTGCATCAACGTAAAGGGAAGTTATAAATGTGAATGTCGTGAGGGATATCACATGGATCCAGCTCATGGGGATTGCAAGGCAGTAGGTAAGAAATGAGAGCAGGAACTTTGGGAATAGATGAGAATGCCCTCTGTTAACTTCTATTGTGTCCCAATTGTTCAGAATACAATTAGCAAATGCACAGTGTGTAAATTGGCAATATGTTACTTTGTGACCAGGGAGTTTGAATTGAATGCAAATGTGTCAGTCTTATGGCTAGCTTTTATCCTGTACCTTCACCAGATATTTTGCCCTAGTTGACACAATATTCAAATTGTTTCATTTTCTTGAACGGAGAACACTAAACTTTAATATCTTGCATTCCCCACTGCTTTTTTGGGTGAGATTTGTCTTGAAGTGTAGTCGACCATTTAATTTCCTCTCGCCCCTTCCTGCCCCAATGTTCTGTTATCTTGGGTTAAGAGAATATATCTTGCACGCAGGGAAAGAAGCGCATTTGATCTTCACTAATCGCCATGACATCAGGAAAATAGGACTACTCCACAAAGAGTACACCCAGGTAGCTGTCCAGCTGAGAAATGCTGTGGCAGTAGATGCTGACATTGTTGCACAGAGAATCTTTTGGGCTGACTTGGGAGAGCGGGCAATATTCAGGCAAGTTAAATACTAACTTAAAATTCTCTAATAATAATCCTTGCATTTGATATAGCATCTTATCACATCTGCGAGATGTCTGAAAGCACTTCACAGAATATACTGCAAAGTGAATTGACGGTATATTTTGTGGGTGAAACGCAGCAGCCAATTGCACACAGCAGTGTCCCACAAGCAGTCATGGATTGAAGTGACCAATTTTTTTTAATATATAGTCAGCTTAGTGCCTCAAAGGGCAGTCAAACAGCCCACACAGAACTTACCTATCACTGCAATGTCCAAGCACAGTCAACACAACTAATTTGAGTTACAATTTGCTTATTTCAGCTATAATTGCACAGTGTAATACTATGAATTCCTCAATAATATAATATGGAATATAAGACCAGTGAGTGTTATACTTAGAACCAAGATTCATTTTAGATTAACTAAGCTCCGAGACACTATCCTGTGTGTGGATGGTGCTATATAAGTGCAAGTTGTTGTTTTATTTTTGCTCACCCTCCCTCAATAGTGATACAGGCCATTAATGTTCTATGCTCAGTCTCAAGTCTGTGATAAGTTAGTCAATTTCACCAGGCACAGAAGAGCAAGGTTAACAATTAACCTCAATATCCCTAGCTAGAGATGGGAAAACCCATCAATAGCCTATATTTCCCAGTCCTAATAATTGTCAATTTGAATGGTGTCAGCAGACTGGCTGAAGTGAGAAGATCCTAACATTTTTCACCGGTATATCTCACCAACAGGAAGACATAAAACTATCTTCCCCCAATAAAGCTAATATTGTTAAGAGTAATAATTGTAACTTAATATCACTTTACCAAACTAAAAAAATAATGGGTTTAAACTGAGGATGCAAAAAACCTGAATAATTTTTTTCAACAATTGTTGACTTGTTTTTTGGTCTGCAAGCAAATCTGCTTTAAACAAAATTCTTAGGCATTCAATTTGGATTTGCACTATTACACCATTATAGATGTACATGTGTATGCACAACACCAGAATAGGTCAATAAACCTCTTTCTAATGGATAACTATACAAACATTCCTGTAACTCATCTGTCAAAGTATAAGTTGCTTAAGAACAAAATTACAGGTCAGGAGGACGTTCCAAGGCCCTGGACAGTCAGTGTTTCAGACCCGAGCTGAGGGTCAGGATTGGGGAGGGTGGGAGGGAAACAGGTTGATCGAAAGCACGGTTGAAGAGAAGGGTCTTGAGTTGGGTCTTGAAGGAAGAGGGGGAGGACTAAGTGATGGAATTTCAGAGGGTAGGGGCAGAGTGCCAGAAGGCCCATCCACCAATTGTGGGGTGGGGGGCGTGAAGCAGGCCAGAGCCCACTAAGTGGAGGGAACAAGCAGGATGGTAGGGGGTTAGGAGGTCGCAGAGGGGGAGCAAGGCCATGGAGGACTTTGAAGGTGAGGACCAGGATTTTGAACTGTATCCTCTGTGTGATGGGAAGCCACTGAAGTCGGGTGAGAATGAGGATGATAGGATCACAGAGCCTGGTGAGGGAGAAGAACGGGAGAGCATCATTAGTAATGGTGTAAAAGTAGCTACGCTCTCGTACTAGCATTTCTGTGCTCTTCCATGATGCAATAAATCCTGAGGGAAATATGAGTGTATGATCTAATATGAGATGACTTAATTTCCCCCCCACACAAAAAAAACAACTCTCTGCTGCTTATGAGCAAATGTAGATCAGCCAGAGAAAAATTAGTCCTTCCCATTCTTTAGGTTTAAGTGCACAACTAGTGCTTAAACTCATTTTGATTTTCAATGTCTTTGTTCCTCAACATATCGACAAAGTTTTGTTGTACTGCAGTTGCTCGATGCTCTTACCATGGTTTCCTTCTGTTTATAGTCTGTCCATGGATAAATGGGACGGTATCTCCAAAATTGTTGATGTCCAAACACCTGTGGGAATTGCTGTGGACTGGGTCTACAAGCACATCTACTGGACCGATCAGAGCGCTAAAACAATATCTGTGGCTACCTTTGATGGAACTAAAAGGACGACTCTTTTTGACACTGAACTAAGGGAACCAGCTTCTGTAGCAGTTGATCCACTACTTGGGTAGTGCAATTTAATATTGGATCTTGCTGGGATTGCAGATGCGTGAGACTTGAAATTTACTCAAAGTGGGGGGTGGGGTGAATACATGTGCTGTCTCAATATTGAATTATATTGGCAATGACAGTGCTCATTCATAGAAAGAATGGTATCCTCTGCTCCTAAAATGTCCTAACGTGGCTCCATGACTTGTTTAGATTATTTTGTAGAATATTACTAAAGTGATTCTACAACTAAATTTGGTGAATTGCACAACAAAAATGAAGGGCATACAAACAGAGAATATAACTTTACAGTCTATACCTAAAATGAAAATCTTGCCTATAGAAGCCATATTAACAATAGCCCATCAATTCTTCATTCCACTTTTTTGGCTCATTACATCAGGCTAATAGAAAATGCATTACCATGTCGAAAATGCTGTTGGCTCTTAATGTTGATGCAATAGCTCCACTCATTCATCTGAATATATTAATTAATAGCAATTTAACAGACTTTTTTTGCTTTTTTTTTTTAAAGCTTCATTTACTGGTCAGACTTTGGTGAACCAGCAAAGATTGAGAAAGCTGGAATGAATGGTGTTAATCGCCATGTTCTAGTTACCACAGACATCCAGCGGCCAAATGGAATAGCACTTGGTGAGTGAATATAGTAAACCAACAGTAAGACCAGTGTTCAGCATAAGCTGCCTGCTAACAAAAATCACTATTTCTAGATCTTGTGAATGGTCGTCTCTATTGGGTTGACTCAAAGCTGCACACGCTGTCCAGCATAGAGCTAAATGGGTACAATCGCAGAACTCTGCTTCAGTCACACGAGTTCCTTGCTCACCCTTACGGAGTTGCAATATTTGAGGTAGGGCATTGATACTTCACTGTGACAAATTCTGCTGAAGTTGTGAGTAATGGCTCCTCCACAGAGTGTTGGAGGCATTCAATACTAGCTCTACATCTATGTCTTTAAGTGTGGGAAACTACAGGCCTTGTTAAAAATCTTTGGCTCAATGAATGGATAATTCTTTATTGTCCCGAGTAATGTAAAACAGCAAGGTTTAAAATTTTACTTGTAGTGTACACCAAACTAACTAAGGTTGTAATATTAAGAACAAATTGTGTCCTGTATCTACTCGATAGTGAATCTTCTCTGAAATTGCATAATTCTCGTAGATAAGAATGATGCTTGATTATATCACCTTGTGTCTTACCTCGGAGCATTTCACAGAATTTTACTGGGACATGTAATGACTATTTTGTAGATAAACTAATGATTCATTAGAGCAAAATTTAAATATTAAGGAATCTATATTGAATAGATTCAGTGCCTTTTGCCCGAAAACTAATATTAAATCATGACCATGCTATATTTGTATGTCATATATGAAGAAAAATGTTGTCTGGAGTACCTGGTTGTATATTGACTGCTGTGGAATAATAGCTGATTCTTGGCCTAAGTAACTTGAGCTTATAAATTTCTCTAGGATCACATTTTCTGGACTGATGGACAGAATAAAGCCATCTACAGTACCAATAAATTCACAGGAAATCTAAGGTCTTTAGCCTCCAAACTTGAGGAGCCTCAGGACCTTATTGTTTATCATGAGCTAATACAGCCATCTGGTAAGATATTAATTCTGTTCGACTTGAGTGACTTGTTTCTGGTCAACTTGCTCAGAGCTCGATTGTATTTACTGGGCAGTTGTATGTATTGGTCAATGAAGATCAAGTTAAAGATTAACTTAATTATACAGACGATATAGTTCTGCTGTAGTAATCAACTCCTTTTCCTTCCACCCACATCCCAGGAGTGGAGCGGTATTATGGCACTACATTATTGACCTTTAGTGTTTATCGCTGTTCACTCTTTTATTGTTAATTGGCTCCTAATGCTCTTACTGAAAGCCCAAATATTGATTGACATCAAATAAATGCTTCCAGCAGTGCACTTAATATTCAGTACCCTGTACTAATTTGGCAAAAATGGCATGATGGGTGAGGTGCTGCAAATTGTATACTGAGATTGTTCAAATTGCTTTACAGGCAGAAACTGGTGCAATGACTCCCTGGAGAATGGAGGCTGTGAATACCTATGCCTCCCTGCTCCTCAGATCAATATTCACACCCTCAAGTACACCTGTGCTTGTCCCCCTGGAGTGCAGTTGGAGCATGGAAAACAATGCAGAAAAGGTACCCATTTCTTACTTGCATTTCCCAGTTTGTATCCAGCATAACCAGGGTTTCATTGCAACTGAGCATCTTTGAACTTGTAGCCTCTTGGAGTTCTTCCTCTTATGTTGTGCTTTTCCTCTGTGTGTTGTGGATCTGAGTCCCCCATCTGTAGTCTACATTCAGTCTAGGCTGGTGTTCCAATGCAGTGCTGGTGGTGTAGTTCTTGAGATGAGGCCAAGGTTCTGTCTGCCTGTTCAGGTGGACAGTAAAGATCTCATTTCCCTATATGAGCAGGGAGACCATATTTCTGCTGGTGTCCTGGTCAACAATCTCCCAAACAGTCATTCCCTTCATAGCTGTATGTGGAACATTGCTGTATGCAAATAGGCTGCCACATTTTCCCACGATATAGTTGTTTTACTCTAAAGTATCATATGAAATGCTTTGAGACATCCTAACATGGACGCAATCAAATGTTATGTAGCATTTAGTGTTAGTCCTTAGTGCATTTGGTATACTGCCTGACTAAGTTTTTTTTATATTAAAAAAAAGCTGAACAGATTGGGTGGTCTTGTAAACTGTCTTGCCCTCTTACTATTGTTGTAACTAAAGGAACAGTAGCTTTTTTTGTGCCCTTTGGCTTGATTTGGTATAAAGGGTCTTTTCTAAACTATGTGCTGATCTTCTCTTTACTGGAAGAAATTACTTTCTGGATTGTACTTTTTGTCAGATGACCAAACTGGAACCTGCGGTCTCAATAAATTTGCCTGTGGCCTCGGATCTCTTCAGTGTATTCCAAACTCTTGGAGGTGTGATGGAGAAAAAGATTGTGATAATGGTGGTGATGAGGTGAACTGTGGTAGGTTGCCATCTGTCATTTAGATCAAGCTTTGCTGGACTAGGTATAGATGCTTTTGTTGAAAGCTCACCCAATTGTCTTTTCAGCACCACTTACTTGCAGTCCACTGGAGTTCACATGCTCCAGTGGCCGATGTGTTTCCAAGAACTTTGTCTGCAATGGAGAGGATGACTGTGGTGACGGAAGTGATGAACATGGGTGTCATCCACCTATCTGTGGACCTCATGAGTTTCAGTGTAATAATTCTGAGTGTATCCCAATGAATTGGCTGTGTGATGACAACAATGACTGTTCTGACCAATCTGATGAATCTGAAGAGAATTGTGGGGAGCCTTTTGTACTTGTTACGTGCACACCTGGGGAGATCCAGTGTATTTCGGGACAATGTATTCATGAACAGTGGTACTGTGATGGAGACGCAGACTGCAAAGATGGAAGCGATGAGACTGACTGTCGTAAGTAGACTAACATTGCTCATCTAGGGCTTAAGTTCTCTGTACAAGTAGATGATATACCCCTTCCCACCCCCAGAAAAAGACAGTGTGAACCAAAAAATTGCCAAGAAGCCAGCTATTTTAAAGGAAGACTAAAGAGCTGGCAGATGGGCTAAATGATGGTAGGGTGGATGGAATCAAGGCTATAACTCAAAAAATGCTTTTGTGATGGGCTAGACATTAAGAGTATCTTAAACAAAACTGAGCTTGAGCTGCTTTTTTTAAGAGATTCAAGGATAATATCAGAATACAAAAATTGCCTTAATAAAAATCATTGAGATGCTACTTTTCACGCCTTTAAATGAATGAAATTGAGGATGGATTATTTCAGTGGATAAAAATGTGCTTCTGCTTAACCAGTTCCTAGAACGTGTGGCCCAGATCACTTCAGATGTACCGATGGGAGCTGTATCCAGGAAATCAGGAAATGCAATGGCTTTATGGACTGCAGTGATGGTGGTGATGAGACTGAATGCAAGATGGGTGAGTGTCATTCATTTCCTGTGTGTGGTATTGGTTCTTATTATTGGTTCTTGTTTCAATTGTCTTCTCCTCCACATCAGATTGCACAGGGCCAACTGACTTCAAATGTCAAAGTGGAGAATGTATAGACATCACTCTAGTGTGTAACAGCCATCAGGACTGCAGGGATTCAAGTGATGAACCATTGAAAGAATGTAGTAAGTAGAATGTAAATGGAGCACCTATCGTTTTCAATCTGCCTGCTTCAATTAGAATTTTTCCATTGAGCTGTAAAATAGCTTTACTCACTACAGTAAAATTTGTATAATCACTTAAGTCATACATCTGTCCACATTCTATTCAAGAGCTTATATTCTATGCATGTTTGACATGACTCATTTTGCATAAATCATATTAAATGTATGGTTCCAACTGATACAACTTATGTGAGTTTTACTGTATTTAAACCTTAAAAGGTGCCAAAATGGGACATTGTTTCAAATGTCAACCCAAAAAGTCAGCTTACAAGCTGTAGGTTTTGCCTGGGTACCAGTTTACTCAATACTAGTTGACACAAAGATTCAAAGTAAAAGATCTTTATTCACTCAGCAACAGACTCTGCATTAACATTAATATTATCACATCAGCATACAGTTTTATCTAGCATAACAACTGAAACGTATGTTTCCCACGGTAACATCACACTTCAGTTGGAGAAAGCCTTGCTCCTTCCTCCTCTGCTCCTCTGGATCTTGTCCTATATACTCTTTCTTGATCATGTTCTATTACCGTGACAAAGGGACTGTTTCACATGCTTGACCTATGTGCCCCTTACTCATACCTTTCTGTAAATATAACTTCATACAGGGATCTATTATTCCTACTGTTTCACTTATTTATCTGTCTACTTCCTTATCTATGTCTCAAGCTGAGCTGCTGGCAGTTATTGTGGTTATGGCAAGCTTAGCTTTTCGTATGGCGCAAATAACTTTTACATTGAAATCTTTAACCCTTTCAAAGCTCTTCCCCACTGTACTATGTTAAACTCACAGGGGCTTAGCAATAGACCTACTGTCAGCTTTCTCTGTAACAAAGCTTGCATGCTGCTTTCTGTCAAACCATTTGTAGAATGTTGTTACAGTTGGATAGTTTTTGGTGTATTCATATACGATGTACAATCTTGCTATTGTACTTGCACGCAGAAGGATTGTCGTTATTGATGGTCAATAACAATCTTCTTCTCTAAAGACATCAACGAATGCCTGGTGTATAATGGTGGATGTTCTCACATCTGCAAGAATCTTGTGATTGGCTACAAATGTGACTGTCCTGCTGGCTTTGAGCTGGCTGGGAGGAAAACGTGTAAAGGTAAGTTGACTCCATTTATACAAATAAAAGTTGGCTGACCTCTTATATGCAAGGATGATTATTATATAATCAACCCACTTTCTTTCCATTGCCAGATATTGATGAGTGCCAAAATACTGAGACATGCAGTCAAATTTGCATCAATTCAAAAGGAAGCTATAAATGTGAATGTCGCACAGGATACATTATGGATTCAGCCAATGGTCACTGCAAAGCAGTAGGCAAGTACAATGTTGCACTCATTAACTCAGCTCAATGGATATTTGTCTTGGCATTGCTTGTAAGTTTCTTAAACTACCTCCACAAAATGCATATGTTTAGTGCCCGATATATGGTAAGGAGAAGTCTCATTTCATAAGTTATAGCACTTGATTTTTGGGACTTGGGTTTCCATGTGCATATAAACAACTTGCATTTATATAGTTGCTATTCACATGGGGTAGCATCTTGGATTGCTTAACCATGACAAAGTCTGGTGCCAATCCAGGGTAGAGAGATCACTGTAAAATGGTGTTAATCTAATCATGTTTTCCATATTGATACTATTTGGCCACCATACTACTTTTAAATTACGGAAAAGAGGAGTGAACTCCCTTTGTTTTGGTCTGTCTTGAATCCTGCTTAAAAAGCATTTGGTATATCAAGAGTAAACATGCTAGTGATGCTCTTGCAATCTGCTTTCAAAATATCAAAACATTTCAACTGATTTTCCTTTTATGCACTTCTAAAGGGATTTTCTTTCTGTACAGGTAAAGAGCCATACTTAATGTTCACTGATCACCATGATCTCAGAAAGCTAGGACTCCACCACAAAGAGTACACCCAGGTTGTTGTACAGTTGAGAAATGCAGTGGCACTGGATGCTGACATTGCAGCACAGAAGATCTTCTGGATTGACCTGGGACAGCAAGGAATCTTCTGGTAATGCAAGACTTTTCTGTAAATTAAAACAAGCTTTTATATTTCAAGTAAATTCCCTTCCACTCCCCTCTCGTGAACTGAACTTTAATGCAGATGCCTTTTATTTTCTCATTTAGTAAATGAAAACTGAGTGGTACTATTGCTGTCCAAATATTACTGATCAATGTGCCTCTTGAGATATGTTTTGGTTGGTGCTCATCACCTGCAAGCTCCACATTACCTCTGATCTCCTTCCAGTGCATCCATGGATCAACACGGCGAGTCAGCTGGTATCTACAGAGTTGTCCAAAATACCCAAATGCCTGTGGGAATTGCTGTGGACTGGATCTACAAGCACATCTACTGGACTGATCGTAGAGCTAAAACAATATCTGTGGCTACCTTTGATGGTACCAAAACAAAGATTCTTTTTGACACTGACCTAAGGGAACCAGCTTCTGTAGCTGTTGATCCTCTATCGGGGTATAGTATGAAATGTGTTTTATCATTGAAAGCTTGTACCATTGTACAAGACATTTGCTTGATTTCAAAAAGCAAACCAGTTGAATGCTTAGACTGAAATGTTTGGGTAGCAAAGTGCTTTCCTCCAATCTTGGACCATCATACATGCTAACTTGATATTTTGTTGTTGAATATTCAGATGCATGTTCAGTTATGAATGTCAACCCAGCTCATTTGGCATCAGTCTCATCTCTCAGTCAATGTTGTAGGTTTAGGCTCCATGGCTGACTTTGGCAAGAATTCTATCAAAATGATCTGCCATAAGTGAACAATATAATACTAGACCAGGCTTAGTGCTTGCAGTGCAAGTCAAATAATGGAATATAGGCCTAAGGTTAAAGTTATTTCAGTTGACTTATCTTAATTACAATACTCTGCATACTTGTATGAGCATGAAAGGAAATAATAATAATAATAATCCTTGCATTTGATATAGCGCTTTTCACGTCGGGATGTCGTCCCAAAGCGCTTCACAGAACACACTGTAAAGTGAATTGATTGTATATTTGTGGGCGAACGCGGCAGCCAATTGCACACAGCAATGTTCCACAAACAGTCGTAGATTGAAAAAGATAAATTTTTATTATTGTTTTTGGTTTTGGAGGGATTATTATTAGGCGTGTGGAGTAAGGAAACTTGCCCAAGGTTTCGCCCTGCCTGGAATTGAACTCGGGTCTCTCGCTTGCAAAGCGAGTGCTCTAACCACTGAGCTACAGGATTCCACAATACACAATAGTTCAATTATGCTTGGTCTAGTTGTAACAGTGCAGCTAAACTAAACACAAGATCTGCTGTATTGTGTACATAGCCAATCTGAATACAACCTCAAATAAAAATGATTTGTGAAACCTCTGGATTCTCTCCATTAGTTTATAAAATTGCACTGATGGATCAATATTTGTACTCATGTATTAGCAACTGGATGGCAAAAAATTCTGTTTCACAGGAATATTCATCACTTTTGTGCATTAGTGATTTTTTTTTCTCATTGGCTTTAAAGATTCATTTACTGGTCAGACTGGGGTGAACCTGCAAAGATTGAAAAAGCAGGAATGAATGGTGTTGCCCGCAGACTCCTAGTTACCAGAGAAATTCAGAGGCCAAATGGCATTACACTTGGTAAGCAGACACAGAAACATGAAGGCTAATTCCAGTATACTGTTTGGATTGTCAATACTAACGCTTCCCTACTTTTAATCCATAGATCTTGTGAAAAATCGTCTTTATTGGGTTGACTCAAAACTGCATTGCTTATCTAGTGTGGACCTAGGTGGAGAGGATAGAAGAACAATACTATTGTCACAGAAATTCCTTACTCAACCACTTGGGATTGCAATATTTGAGGTAAAGTAATTTCTTCATACCTCAATACAGTAGCAATTAACTTCTACAGAGCTATTAATTCTACTTCAGACTGCCACAGTACATTCAGGTAAATTGGAGAAATTATTTGACATGCTGTAATGGTCTAGTACTGTGAATTTGCTTGGTAAGCAAACTCTTCGACATTGGTTGTCAGTCTATTGAACAAAGTTCAGTGGAATAAATGGATTCATCTTCCACCAAAGTACAAGATGAAACTTGCAAGAACCATGTGATCTGAAAGGCATGGAATTCTTGATTTTTTACTTCAAATTCCTTGGTTAAAAGGAGCAATGTTAAGATTAGATTTTCCGGCATAGGTAGATTTGCTTCCCTCTCCACCCATTAGTGGCCATCTATAGGATGGAATATTCAAGTCTCTTGGCTGAGTTGGTATTCTCCAATATTAATAATCCTTGCATTTTATGCAGCACCTTATTACTTCTTCGAGGTGTCTCAGAGCACTTCAAATTTACTGTAAAGTGAATTGACTATATTTTGTGGGCAAAAAGCAAAATTGAGCTGTTTTGGGTTTGTTTCCCCCCCTTCCCTAAATGGCAAACCTAAATGGCTCCAGTAACATTTCAGACAATCCCTGCCTGTTTGTGTGCCCATGTGCTTTAGGAACCTTCAATTCCCAGCATTATTTAGGATAAATTTCTCCTACCCATCTGCCATTTTCCATGGTATGAAATTGGATGCTTCAAGACTATCAAACTTTTCAAAAACTTTCTACTAGGGGAAGCAGTTCTACATGGAAATATTAGAATAATTAGGGCTTCACAATTAAAGGTATTGCTAGGGTCAGTGACTTCTAGTGCATGAATTGAGCAACAAACTGGCTGAAGGTTTCTTTTTTTACTGTGCTGCTGAAGAGAATATTTTAGCACGTATTAACCTCTTGTTACCTTGGGCAAGGATCACCTGATGTGCATATTTCTGAATAGCTTTTTAATTCCTCTTAAATGTCTTGATAGGATCGCATCTTCTGGATTGATGGGGACAGTAAAGCCATCTATGGAGCCAATAAATTCACAGGAATGGATATAGCAACTTTCGCCTCCAACCTTAAGGATCCTCATGATATCATTGCTTACCATGAGTTAACACAGCCAACAGGTAAGAAACTGGTAAGCTAACATCACAAGGAAGGGCAATGCTAACTACAGTTTACAAACCAAAGGCAATGTCTGACCAAAAATCCTTTAGATTAAGTAGCTGTAATATTTCTCATTCTAAAAGGCCTTTCTAATCCTATCCCTAGCTGTGTATGTGCTGCCATCCTTTCAGTTCCCTAGCTATGCATATAATAACCCTTGCATTTGATATAGTGTTTTTCACGCCTTCTAGACATCACAATGCGCTTCACAGAATATACTGTAAAGTGAATTGACTGTATATTTGTGGGCAACACGCGGCAGCCAATTGTGCACAGCAGTTGTGGATTGAAGTGACCAATTTTATTTTTTATTCTTGAGGGATTATTATCAGGCGTGTGGAGTAAGGAAACTTGTCCAAGGTTTCGCCCTGCTGGGAATCAAACCCAGGTCCCTCGCTTGCAAGGCGAGTGCTCTAACCACTGAGCTACAGGACACATGGTGTAACACTTCTCTTTTTCTAATATACCTTACTTGACATCACTTTTTCATTTGTAATTTCATATTCGCTTCATATTTTAATTCTTCAAATTAATTTCATTTTTTTATTACATATTTCAATACCTCACATTTTAATGTCACATTTATTTCAGATTTTACAATGCCTCACAACAGGATATACTGTAAAGTGGATGACTGTATTTTGTAAGCAAAACGTGGCAGCCAGTTCTGCACAGCAATGTACCATGGATTGGGTGACCAATTTTTATTTGGGGGATTGTTGGCCAGGACACTGGGCGACATTCTCTTCGAATCCTTTACGATCACCTGGACAGGCAGACAGGACCTTGATTTAATATAANTTTTTTCTTTCTGTAAAGCATTTGGTATGATGGGCACTTGTTGAGTGCTTGGTAGCACTGGCTGCAACCAACAGACCTCTTTATTGACCAGATTACGCACATACAGTACTGTTGCCAAACTGCTTTCTAAGTGCTAGTATCTCGCCCCGTAAATGTTGCAGCTGCACCAATAGCCTGGAACTATGTTCCCATGAGTACTTTCTCTGTACAGTCACCTGTACAATAGCTACCCACCTTAAGGAATGTGGATAGAACAATAAAGTTGGTTGTGAGCAGAATGCTAGTCCCTCAAATTCCTTGTGGCTGATTTTATTCAACATATTAATGTGCTAGTCTAGAACCCAATGATCCCCATGAGCACTTCAATAAATACAACAAAATTACATTTCTATGGTGCCTTTCATGTTGGAAGTGCGTTCCAAGCGCTGGACAGTTAAGGGTTTGCACCCGAGCTCAGGGTTGCAATTGAAAGGGTTGGAGGGTAGTGGGGTGGGAATGTGATCAAAGAGGAAGGTCTTGAGTTGAGCCTTGGAGAGGCAAGGCAGAGGGATTCAAGTTAGAGGGTGGAGGCAGAAAAGCTGAAGGCCCGATTGCCAATGGTGGAGCAGACGGGGTGGGAAACGTGATGCAGGCTAATGCATGTCAAACAGATGGGTTGGTATGGTGTTAAGAGGTCACAGAGGTAGGGAGGAGCATGATCGTGGAAAAATCTTAAAAGAATACAATAATTTTGCAGATAGTTGCCAGGCCTGGTAATAAAATTACTTGACTGTAGGGATTTGTGTGCAAATCACCAAGTCCTGTTTATCTAAAATTAACTTTTGGAAACTTTTTTTGCAGGCAATAAGTTGTGCAATGAGGATTTACAGAATGGAGGCTGTGAATTCCTGTGCCTCCCAGCTCCTCAGCTCACTGTTCATTCCTCACAATATGTCTGTTTGTGTCCTACTGACATGGAACTTGAGCAGGATAGACATCGCTGTAAAATAGGTACATTTAGGCTTCTTGTTGCCCTTTATTTAAAAAATATATAGTGGACGCTTAACTCGCTTGTGACTCCACCTGGGTAGATGGATGGCTGGACAGCAATGCAGATTTTAAAATTACTCTTTTACTAATGGAAGTACAATACTATACAGTGCATTCAAATCTGAAACTAGTTATGTCAGCTAGACACTGAAATAGGACATAGCTGTTCTTTAGGAGTATTTTGTAATGCCATCAAAACTGATCTGGGCCTGAAGTAACCTGAATTTGTAAGCATCTGTACAGATTTATGTCACTGCACACATTCCAAATTTCTTGTGTTGGAGTGATGCCCTCAGTAAACAAATTGGTCCAAGATCCAGAGTTTTGGCTTTTCAATTGTTTTAAGCCAACATTCCATCAATCTCTCAAACTTGTTTTTAAGACTTACACTTAATGTGATTCCACTATGTTTGAGCAATGTGCAACAATTACAAGCCAGGCCCTTCTGTCTTGAATGTCTCAGAAGAGACCTTATAAAAATGAGTAACCTTTTTTTAAATGGGTCTGAAAGCAAGCCCAGAACAACTTTCAGATGTGCTGATAGAACAAAAGGGCATAATTTCTAGATTGCAAATGACCAAATTAAGGATGGACCTGTGGGTAAATGACAAACTGGTTCCCAAATAGGGTGGCTTGATGAACACTACCCTCAGTTTAAAATAACTTGCTGTGGAAGGACTGTAAGATGGGTATCTGAAATATCAAAAAACATTTTTCATCCAAATTTCTTGTGGAAAGTGACTCCCCATCTAGTGATGCTGAAACTGGGACTTAAATATTTGTGGAGGATAATTTGGATTAATGTACCCTGGTATAGTTACTTGAACCATATTTTTAGAATCTTCAGTGGCCTCCACTTTCAAACTTACAGCTGAATTTTAATATAGTAAATGCACTTAAACCTGCCCAATTTTTTGTATTGGTGGGGGGAAGGATTGGAAATGGAATTAAACTTGCATCCGAATACCACAATTTCCTCTCCTTCAAATTTTAGAACAGTATCAGTCCTTCCTCTTCACATTTCACTGTCAAACAGCTTTTTGCAGAATCCAAATATTGATCAGATATCATTATGTACTTTTTTTACATATACCAGCCTACTGCCTGTTCATGAATAATTCAATACAATAGCTTTTCAGTTTAACAGTCTGTCTTGCCAGCAGCAGTCTTGTTTACTTGCTATACACAAATGCAAACAATAACCCTGTACAACAGCTTGTGCAGGATGCTTAAAGTGCAGAATTCTAGATAATCTGTAATTAAGTTAATGTATTCAATCCATACCACTGCTTGTAGTGGTTATTTAAAAGGTTTAAATCTAGTTTTTCTTTGGGTAAATATGAGCGAGGTATGTTTTTTTTTAAAAAAAGGATTGGAAGAGTAAAGCCATGTGTAGGTGCCATACGTATGTGTAATTATGTGTAACTTGGATTCTAAGCATAGTGACGGGTTTCCACATGTCTGACACCTACCTGACTAAAAATTATTGCCTAGACTTGCAATAACTCCTGCATTATAATTCTTGGCTTCAACAAATTATTTGATTTCATTTAGTTAATGCTACTTGTGGAGCATTTGACTTCATGTGCAACAACGGACAATGTGTGCCTGCAAGGTGGCAGTGTGATGAGAACGATGACTGTGGAGATGGATCAGATGAAAGCCCAGAAGTCTGCCGTAAGTATTGCCTTCGATAATCAAAGCAACATCTCTTTACACATTTGTTTTAATATCTTGAAATGCTTTGGTACATGCACTTTGGGTTTCAGTATAGCTTAAATTGTCAGCGCATTTAATTTGTGTATAATGTCCAGCTCTGATTTCTTTTTCTAGGTTTAATCTTAAATTCCACCATCCAGGGATTTTTTCAATTTCACTTGCTCACAAAATGCAATTTCTACACTTTACAATAAATCCTGTACTTGGGCTTTGTGGCATGTGTGCTTTATCAAATGCTGTTACACTGAATGATCAGTGCTCTGTATAGTCCACTGAATTCTTGCATGTGTAGATTTGACTTGTACATCTTGTAATTTAGTCTGACCAGCTTGCACACTACCATCCTGAATGTTGCATTTAATACAATAGTTGAATAGCCCCTTAACTTTCTCAGAATAGCTTGTACAGCTAAGGTTGGCTCATGCTGAATCCACTTGACCATTGCAATGACTAATAGTAAAGGAGCCAATCCCATAGCATATTGGTTAGCGCACTGGCCCACAAGTGAGAAGACTCGGATTCAATTCCCAGTTGGGGCAAAACCTTAAGCAAGTTTCCTTATTCCACACGCCTCTGTTTACCCAGTAGTAAGTAGGAACCCAGTTGTTCAATTGGCGGATCACTTTTTGGGGATAATCCCTCTTTATATAAAAAAAATTTGGGTTACTCAATCCACAACTCTTTGTGGGACACCACTGTGCCCAATTATCTGCCACATTTGACCCACAACATAGTCAATTCACTTTATAATATATTCTACAAGTGCTTTCAAAAGCCTCAACGATGTGATAAGGCACATGTCAAATGCAAGGATTATTATTGGATGTAAAAGGCTAATCACGAGTATCCTGCCTCTGCTCAGTATGCATAAACTAAAGAGTGCTTGAAATGCTTGTTTCAGATATGAAAGGATGTGGCCTGAATGAGATCAGCTGTGGACCTGGATCGCTCCACTGTATTCCAGTCTCCTGGAAATGTGATGGACAGTCAGATTGTGACAATGGCCATGATGAAGAGGGCTGTGGTATGAACCATCAATAACCATTAACACTCAAAAGGGGGGTAGGGGAGATGGGAATTAACCTCAAGGGGGAAGAGGATGGAAGAAAAAGCAAGAAAACTCCATGGTCATAAAATGGCTAAGTGGGTGCAAGTCCCAAGCATCTAGGTTATGCCAAATAGTACAGCTATAGTATATTTCATGGACAGAACCTCTCAGTACCTCATCTGGGATTTCCAGTTCATCTGAGGCATGGGCACAATGTTCATCTCTGCAGCAGCTGTACTACTGCTTTGGGTGTTGCCTATGTAATTGTTTAAATGTAGGTTGTCAATCAATTGGCGAATTGCTTTCCTGGGTAATAATCCCTCCAAAACAGTCATTCAATCTGTGACTGTTTATGGGATATTGTTGTGTGCAATTGGCTGCCGCATTTCACCCACAAAATACACTGTCAATCTACTTTACAATATATTCTGCAAAGCTTTGAGATGTCTCAAAGGCATGATAAGGCGTTATAATCATGCAAGGATTATTTATCTGGGGGAAGAACACATTTTGCTTGCAACTTAAATCACTGAACATATCACAAACCAGCTCAAGTGCATAAGATATCCAGGCAAGAAGCTCATTTTTCGGGTTGCATGCTGAAAAACTTTTACAACAAAACAACTTTAGGGGCCATCAGTGTTTGGTTGTCTACTAGGATGAACTTTGTTTTAGGTATTAAGTACCAAATGGCATTTTTCAGGCATTCCTACTTGCAGTCCACTGGAGTTCGCTTGCATCACTGGTCAATGCGTCTCCAAGACCTTTGTCTGCAATGGAAAGGAAGACTGTGCTGATGGAAGTGATGAACACCACTGTGCTGCATATTCCTGTGGTCCACATGAGTTTCAGTGCAATAATGCAGAGTGCATCCCATCAAACTGGGTGTGTGACAACAATATTGACTGTTCAGACAAGTCTGATGAAACTCCAGACCGCTGTGGGCACACCCCTCCCTCTCCTGTAATTTGCTCCCCCAGTGAGTTCAGATGTGCTTCAGGAGAATGCATCCACTACCAAATGTATTGTGATGGAGATACTGACTGCAGTGATGCAAGTGATGAAACTAATTGTCGTAAGTATATCAACTTTTTGCATTCACTTCTTCACGCACAGGCTCTTACAACTTATGAGCCAGTTTGGTTCTATGTGTTCCTACTATTGAAATGTTGGTTATTTTGGTCAGCTGGGTGTCCATTGCCAAGTTACAAGTATCTAACTCGACTGGATACCACATACGCCAACTACGCATGGCAGTTTCCTGGAATAGAATATACAAATCTATCATCAAGACAACAGAGGATTCACTTATTTTGTAGCCAAGCCGATCACCTTGAAGCTCCAAGGAGACCATCCTTACCTTTTTCTTTACCCCCTTCCCCTGTAACAGTCATCTGAGCACTCCAGATTATGTAACTCAAATCTCTTGGGTGGGTCACCTTTATTTTAAACTAGTTTAAGGGCACCATTAAAATTCAAATACTGTATTAGTAACTTCTAGACATTGCCCAGTGGTGTTGTGCTGGAATTTGATTTAACCCAAATCTTTGGACAAGTGTCCCAAAATCAATGTCATGACCCTATGGCTCAATAATTGACAGTAGGGATGGTATGATGTCTGTTTACTTCTTGGTGGACAAATTGGCACTGGTGGAATAGCGGTTTCACTTTCACATGTTAAATATTTTTAGAGATCTGCACTATAGGATGCAAACTGCAGAAACTCTTCTCCTTTCCTAGCTAAAGTCTACTGACTGAAACTTCATCAAAATAACTTTATACACATGCTGTTGGAGTTTCTTTTGAAGCTGAAAATTTATCTATACACTGCACTTTTAATGCAATGGTCCAACTTCGAGTACCACGTCTCATGAAAATGGTAATTGAGCACCTAAATGAGTGGAGGTGGTTCACTTCAGGATCTAGTCAATTGTTTCCACCTTTGGACCAAATAGATCATAGATGTTGCATTTTTCATTCCTTGTTCGGTACAATACTGAATTCAAGCGAGGTTTGGGTGTATGAGCTATACTAAGGTATCAATCACCTGATTTAACTTTCAGCTCGTCGAAAATGCAGACTTGATGACTTCAAATGTGGTGATGGTAGCTGTATTGCTGCAAGCCAGAAATGCAATAAGTTTAGGGACTGTACCGATGGCAGTGATGAAATGAACTGTACAACTCGTAAGTGCACCATTTAACCTATTCTACTGTGTCATTAGATGTACTGCTGTTCAGAATTAGCTGCTACATTTCACCCACAAAATGCAGTCAATTCACTTTATAATATTCTGTGAAGCACTTTGAGACGTCTCAATGATGTGATGAGGCGCTATATCAAATGAAAGGATTATATTATACTTCAAGCTTAACTTTTTTTGCTTTTTCTTCTGCAGCTGCAGTCTGTGAAGGGATCCATGACTTCCAATGTCAAAGTGGAGAATGCATTGACTTGGCCAAAGTGTGTAACCGACTGCAGGACTGTGCAGACTGGAGTGATGAACTGCTTGCAGAGTGTGGTAAGTGGCTTCGAGTTGTGGATTACATTGTCCCATTTATTGGACCATAAATAAATAACTGGAGTTTCTGTTTAACTTCTTTTTGCAATTGATTTCCATATTGGTAACTTGTATGAATTGAAATACCTTGTATTTCTAGTATGAGACACAATGTGTGATGAGTAAGCTTCCCACTACATGAACTAGCTTTGACCTCCCTTGCTATATATAATTTGAGCATTCCCTGTACATTTACCCATTTTACCCCATTATGCTTGCCTCGTTTATATTAAAAAAAATTGAGATCTGCCAAGTTGTGAAGTTGATTTGGCCTTGCTGTTTCCAAGCATGTAACTAGAAAACGATACAAACTTGTATTTATATAGTGCCTTTTAAGTCAAGCACTCCCAAAGTGCTTAATAATTGCTTGGCACCTAAACTAGTAAGCGTAGGTCTTGAGACGGACCTTCATGCAGAGAGAGCAAAGAACTGGTGGCGAGAGCTATTTGAGCAAAGTAGCGGTGCACAAAATGAGTGTTGCCACTCTACAGACTATTAACTACACGCCCAACTATAACTTTATCAAAATAGCTTTCTCATGCACATACTGTTGGAGTTTCTTTTGTTGCGGCTGTACAGTAACAGATTAAGCTCACTGCTCTAATGTCTATTGTCCTGGGATATAAAATGCTCAACTAAAATTTTGTTCTCTGTGCAGATATCGATGAATGTCAAATGGACAATGGTGGCTGTTCTCACATCTGCCAGGATCTTCATATTGGTTATGAATGTGACTGCCCTGTTGGCTTTCAGTTACTTGATGAGCTAATGTGTGAAGGCAAGTCGACTGACTAGTTATTAACTGGAGAAATTGTCTTTCTTTACAGCTAAAGGATATTAACTTATCTCTGCAGATATCAATGAATGTAGGAATCCTGGGACCTGCAGTCACATCTGCATCAATCTGAAGGGAAGCTACAAATGTACATGTAATGAAGGCTACCATATGGACCCAGCTACAGGGAGTTGCAAGGCAGTAGGTAAGTAGACTTGCTCCACTTTGCACCTGTTCGGGTAAATAACCATTTTCAATCCCACTGCACTTCCTATGACACTCCAATAGTACAACAACAAAATTACATTTGTAAAGTGCCATTCACACGAGCCAATCAGGAGAGCCTCAGTCTTGCTGAAATTCAGCTGTAGAAAGTTGGCTCTCATCCAGGACTTGATGTCTGATAGACAGGATGTCAGTAAATTGAGTAGTTAGAATCCTTTAATGGGATCTTGAACAATACATAATTGCTTTTAACAAACCTATTGTGCAGAAACGTTGTAACTGCTCAATTTGTGCAATTGTCTTTGCACTCTTTCATGCCTCTAATAGCTGAAGAGCAATTTGTAGGAAGGATTGGCTGGACATGGGTCTAATTTTCAGGCCACTGATATTGTAATTGATGGTTGGAAGGCTTATTCTGGATGATATTTTCAGGATAAATGGAGACTTTCCCAATATCTCACTAACACCAGTGTAATGTTAAGGTTCTGTTGGAAACAATGTGGTAGCTCAAAGGTTTACTACAAGGTCCCAGTTGCCCCCCAGTGATTCCTATGTACAAACATTATCTATCTAAGACACCAGAGTTACAGGCAGCTAGGTTTGCAATCCTGCTCCCCTCTATGCCTCGCTCTGATTCCTGGCTATTAAGTGAGATGTCTCTCCACCATCCAATATAGCCAGACCACAGACTTGTTTGTCCTGTTCTGAGGGCATATGCTACAGAGCAGAGAACATTTGAACTAATCGTGCAAGGCTCGACAATCATCCAATGAAGAACACTTCATTGATGCCGGTAGGGACTGACTTAATTTATTTCCTACCTAGGAGGAAAAGAGCCCTACTTGATCTTCACTGATCACCATGACATCAGGAAAATAGGAGTCTACCACAAAGAATACATCACAATAGTTGAGCAGCAGAGAAGTGCTGTGGCACTAGATGCTGATGCTATAGAACAGAAAATCTTCTGGTCTGATGTGGGGAAGAAGGCAATTTTCAGGTAACTTAGAGGCATGAATTCAAAACTCGACTAAAGGCATGAAATCTCTCATGATCTTGAGGCTTAAGATTCTTTTCAAAATAATTTTCTATGATTCTGTAGTGATGGAAGTTTTGGAAGCTTTTCCAAACCAGAATAGATTAAGTTTAACATTCTACAGATCATAAGATTTTTGTCTTACAAAGTTTTTGTTGTCTTAAAACAAAGCAATAGACTTTTCATGTATTTGCAGGTTCAGTCAATTAAAAATTAGTTGTGCAAATCTGGCCACCCATTTGCCTTGCCAGAATTAGAATATGACCTGTACTACATGTCTTAATTTAGTCCTGATTGTTTGGATCTAAGTGGGTTATAGCTAAATTGTACTCATTAATTGTACTGTAACTTGTTCAGTTTTACTGTTTGTCTACAGCAAACCAAACATTAAAATAGTGAATGTTCATTATAACTGATCAACTTTTTGTCTTGCCACTAACCTTGCAGTTTGTCCATGGATAAAACGAAAGCTGCAACTAATATTTCCAGAATTATCAAGGATGTTCAAATGCCTGTGGGAATTGCTGTAGACTGGGTCTACAAGCACATCTACTGGACTGATCGTGGCACTAAAACCATATCTGTGGCTACCTTCGATGGAACCAAAAGGACCACTCTCTTTGACAAAGATCTGAGTGAACCTGATTCTATTGCAGTTGATCCAATAAATGGGTATTGTTAAATTAGCCTTACTGTGTTAAAAACAACAACTTGACCTGCATCTTCTAAATCATCCCAATGCTATATTTGGCATTTTTTAAAAATCTAATGCTATTAATTGGAAATCTCTAATCAGGTTAGCATCTTCTGCATACTAAGAGCCTAATACAATGTGCACATGGGCTGATTTCCAAACAAAGTACAATAAAATGAATGGAAGGCACTGCATATAGGAGGCAAATACTGTATTGATGTGATAGATCATGGGGGCAGAGGGAGAAACAAAGATCTCAAGGTGTTGGTCAACATTATTCACCATGTTGATGCAGAAAGTAAACCAGATGCTGAAGTATATTGCCAAATCAGTTAAAATTCCTAAATACTTGAGCTACAATTTTCTGATTAGGTTGTACCTAGAGTGCCAGATATAGTCTGGTTGACTGAAGGGGATTGCCCAGATTCTAAAGGTGATACAGAAAAGTATAGTAATGCGACTTTCATAGCAGCAAATGAGGAATAATGAGTGTAGAGCAAACAACAGATAAAAGGGTTAGAGGTGAGGATCCTCTATTTTAGAGCTAAGAGTAGATGTATATCCCACAGACATGTTCACAAATATTTTTGATCAGCCGGGTGTCTGACACGTGCAGAAATCCATCACCATACTTAAGAATATCCAAACCAAACTGACAATTCCATGCATCCCAAGCTACACATGGAAATCTCAGAGATAGATTGTTGGAATGCAATGCACTCTCTCTCCCTGGAGGGAAGCATCCTGTAAACTTTCAAACTGCTACACTTTTTAAAGTGCCTCAAGATGGTTTCATGCACAGATAATTGTGCTCTTCAGATCTGCTTTACTTGAGCATGTGTTCACGATTAAGCAGGATTTCTTAGTTGTGACTAGTGTTCTTTCCTTTTAAAGGTTCATGTACTGGTCAGATAAAGGTGAAGTGACAAAAATTGAAAAAGCAGGAATGAATGGTGTTGATCGCCAAATTCTAGTTAAAGGTACACCAAAGCCGAATGGTATTGCACTTGGTAAGTAATACTAATTCCGTGTGTACTAAAAAAGGGCACTTTGTCAGTCTGGTTTTATATCCATGCTATTCTTCTCAGATCTCGTAAAGAACCGCCTCTATTGGGTTGATGTAAAGCTCCACACGTTGTTTAGTATAGACCTAAATGGTAAGGACAGAAGAACTGTACTGGAGTCACAGAAGCTACTTGCTTATCCTTCTGCTGTTGTATTATTGGAGGTAATGTCTCAATTGTGTTCTGAAATATTAGCAGCAGGCTTGTCTGGTTGAAAATATAACCCAGTTCTTCTAATGAAGAATGTTTGCTTATAGTCCCAAATCTTTGTATACAATGGATTATTTGAATGTGCCAACTGATTTAAGGCACAGTCAAAACTATTATCTTAAATTTAAGATAATTGGCAAAAGAACCAGAGGAGATTTTTTTATATACGGAATTGTTTGGAGTCCTGCAGCTCAGTGGTTAGAGCACTCGCTTTGCAAGTGAGAGACCTGAGTTCAATTCCAGGCAGAGGGCGAAACCTTGGGCAAGTTTCCTTACTCCACACGCCTAATAATAATCCCTCCAAAAACCAAAAACAATAATAAATTGGTCATTTTCAATCTACGACTGTTTGTGGGACATTGCTGTGCGCAATTGGCTACTGCGTTCGCCCACAAATATACAGTCAATTCACTTTACAGTGTGTTCTGTGAAGCGCTTTGGGACGTCCTCCGGATGTGAAAAGCGCTATATCAAATGCAAGGAATATTATTATATTATTACACCCTGGCATGAACTAACTGAAATGGTGGTGGAAATGGATTCAATAACTTTCAAAAGGGAATTAGATAGGTACTTAAAGAAAAAAATTGCAAGCATTTGGGGAAAGAGCAGGGGAGTGGGGCTGATTGGGTAACTCTTCCAAAGAGCAGGCATGATGGGTCGAATGGCCTCCTTCTGTGCTGTATAATATTCTATGATCTATTAAATAGTTGTAGCTGATTTGTCAGATGAGGTATCACTTCTCCTTGCAAATAGGACAAGATATTCCATGAATTTGCCTCTTGTTCACAATGTCATGTCCAGTTTGGGTTCTCAATCCTGCCAAGTACAGTGGTGATGAAGTTGAAACTATTTACAATGTTTGGTGGAAAGGTTTGCCTGAAGCACTAGTGATTCATGGCTCTGCCTAGTGTAGTGCCCATCTTTTACAAGCTCAGGGCACTAGTTGAAGCACTTTTAGCCTCAGAACCCCTTGAATTAAGGACCCAATTCCTGATCACTGTAAAGATCCTTACAACACTGGAAGAGTTTTCTTCTTCAGCCAAGTGGCTTGTTGGTGCTCACTATTTAAGGGTAACCATGAAAAATGGTCACTTGGGTATAACCTGCTTAGTTCACCTCCAGACAAATTAAGTGCAATGAGTCGCTCCATACATCTATCTACTTGAATGAACTTTTAAAGCATGGGTGTTGAAGTTATGTAAACTGTTAGAGAATCTCTGTAAGAAACTATAGATGTAGTAGTAAAATTTGTATTTGCTCTAACAATTCTAGGATTATGTCTTCTGGGCTGATGGAATTAACAAAGCCATCTACAGAGCCAACAAATTCACAGGAGAATCTGTGGTCGTTTTGGCCTCTCATCTGAACAACCCTCAAGATATCATTGTTTATTCTGAGATTATTCAGCCAGCAGGTAAGCAATCTCTTGGCATGTAAATGGTGTTGCAGTAAAACTGTTCTGGTAATGTAGGTGAAAAGCTAAACATACAAGGTTAATGCTAACAAGGCTTATGTATGGCTGGTTACCAGAATCTGACTTTGATCTGTATGAATAAACATGATTTGAGATTTATCTTGTTATGAAGGCATTTTTATTCCATACTTTGAAATTGAATAATATTGCTAAAACGTATTAGAGTTGGAGGTGGGCTGCACACCACACAGATCAGGAAAGTGGTGCAGCCTAACTCCCTCACCAAATACTGCTGTGACACACAGCAGTCTGGTGATCCTTTGAGTGGGGCTAATAAAAGTTCTTCCCTCCAACTCAATACACTTGAAGTAGACATTGTGCCAAGTGGCTGTGCATTGAAGCCATGCCAATGTTGTAGTAGCTTTAAGTCCTGTAGCTCAGTGGTTAGAGCACTTGCCCCACAAGCAAGAAACCTGGTTTTGATTCCCGGCACGGTGAAACGTTGGGCAAGTTTCCTTACTCCACACGCCTCTGTTTACCGAGCAGTAAGTGGGAACCCAGTTGATAGTCGATTGGCAGATCGCTTTTCCGGGGGGTAATAATTCCTTGAAAATACATTTTAAAATAAATAAATAAAGTGTCACTCAATCAAAGGCTGTTTGTGGGATACTGCTGTGTGCAATTGGCTGCTGCTTTTGCCCACAAAATATTCACTTTACAGTATATTCTGTGAAGCACTTTGAGACAAATGCAAGGATTATTAACATAATAAAATGGGCAGGGGGAGGTCTCTAAAATGTATCTGGTATAAGTCATTAAGAGTTTTTAGGACACTTTGTTGACTTCTTCTAGGCAAAGACTGGTGCAACCAAAAGATCAAGGATGGAGGTTGTGAATACCTATGTCTTCCTGCTCCTCAAATTAACAGTCACTCGCCCAAATATATCTGTGCATGTCCATCAGAAATGGAACTCCAAGAGGATGAACAACACTGCAAAATAGGTACACAATCTTCTGAAACTATGATGCTCTAATACATGAGCCAGCATCAGCTTTTATCACACTAATACTTGATGGCTACAGTAGGAAGTCTCAAGAAATAGCTGGATAATTAAAGGTAGTCAATGGAGGATAGCTATAAACTCTTCAAAGTTTGAATCAAGCCCTCCAGGATCTATTTTAAGACCTTCGTAAGCTTAATGTGCAACAATATTAAACTTTTAACCGTGATGCCCAAATCAGAAGACTTCAATATCAGGGATTTAGACTGGTAAGTATCTATCTGACAGATTCAGTGTGCATAACTCTTGTGTAGGACCCAGAACTAATGGACTAAAAGGAATGTTAATCAGTGTCTGGACTCAGCCACTTTAACCTGCTCCAGCTGTCCTGCAACTTGTTCCCTTTCACTCTGGTGGGATCTTTCTCTTGTACCATTTTACCAGGTACTCTTTTGGGAAAAAAAAACCCGCTAATGTAGGGCTCCAGCAATTCTTCCTAAGCCTAAATCCATTTAACTGGGTTGTTGCCATGAGTCCATCTCTAGACTTTGAACATTGCTCCTCACAGCAGATCTTTAAGTCTCTCGTCTATCATTTTACTGAGATCTGAGGTAATGCGTTGTAGTTATACCCCTGTTTTGATGAATGCAGACCAATTGCCTATAAACTGCATTGATCAATTTTTGTCTTCATTTTTGGCTCAAAGCATGGTCAGAACCCTTCAGTCTTGCAAAGTAATGAGACAACCTGCTGTTAATGTAAAATGTTGTCTTCCCTTTTCTTTCCAGTAACTCAGTATAGAATAAGACCCTCTGCTTTACCTACACTTGCTTCTAATGACTCCACAAAAGGCATCCGTTCCAGTCTGCAAACAGTTTTGCCAAGTTCTAAAGGTAATTAAATTTTGATTTGAATTTGTGCTCGACATGGTGTGACTTGTATTTCAAGCTTCAACCAAACGTATAATTCTTATTGGATTTTGTTAGGTAAAATGTTACCTATATGAGCTAATAACTAGGATATGGAGAGAATCCTACTATAATAGCCTGCCAGGTTAAGAAATCTTGGAACCAACTTTGAATCTGCTGAGTTGTAGATGAGTTTCCCACATTGCGTTGGATAACTTTAGTAAATACCCAGTTTTCCAGACTAAGGTATGTGGAATTCAAGCCAAGCCGGCCTGGACCCAAAGCCTAAACTAAATTTCAGTGGCTGCATGTAGACTCCCACCAGCCCAGCGCTCCCTACGCACACCAATGCTCCACTAAGCAGCCTTTCAGATGGGGATATCGACTTAGACTCGGATTGTTTGAATCCCACAAACAGAAAACTGGCTTATTTGCTATTCTCTGCTTGTGGGACTCAAACAATTACAAGGCTGGTACCAGCATTTTTGACAAATGTCAATACCAGCATTGTAATTACACTTAATCAGAAATTCCAGCTTGCCAGATCTCCTCTTTATTCTATTTTCTTTCCCCTCCTACCACCATCAGTCTGGTGAGCCTGGATTGGACTCTTTTGAATTTCAAGCTAGATTGTAACCTTGATTCTTGACCCCATGATTCACTGAATGTTTTTGTGAACCTTTACTGTGTTTACTTTACTAAAACTTTACTATGAGATTCCTCCATGTTCAGAGCAGAACTGAAATAGGTCAATCAGGTGTTGGTACAAACAACAACAACAAACTTACATTTATAGAGCGCCTTTCACGTCGGAAGAACATCCCAAAGCGCTGAACAGTCAGGTGTCGGGGCCCGAGCATGGCGGGGGGGTGGTGTGAGGGAAGACAGAGAGGTGGGAGGGATACCAAAGGCACGGTCAAAGAAAAGGGTCTTGAGACCGGCCTTGAAGTGGAGTCCTGTAGCTCAGTGGTTAGAGCACTCACCTTGCAAGCGAGACACCTGGGTTCAATTCCAGGCAGGGCAAAACCTTGGGCAAGTTTCCTTACTCCACACGCCTAATAATAATCCCTCCAAAAAACCAATAATAAATTGGTCATTTTCAATCTGCGACTGTTTGTGGGACACTGCTGTGCGCAATTGGCTGCTGCGTTTCGCCCACAAATATACAGTCAATTCACTTTACAGCATATTCTGTGAAGCGCTTTGAGACGTCTAGAAGATGTGAAAAGCGCTATATCGAATGCAAGGATTATTATTATTGAAGGTTGCAAAGGAGGAAGTGAGGCGAAGGGACCGTGGGATGGAGTTCCAGAGTGTGGGGGCAGAGAGGCTGAAAGCCCGGCCACCAATGGTAAGGCATGTCGGGTGGGAGACATGGAGCTGACCAGAGCCTGATGAACAGAGGGAGTGGGCAGGTTGGTAGGGAGTCAGCAGGTTAGAGAGGTAGGAGGGGGCAAGGCCATGGATGGCCTTAAAGGTGAGGATGAGGATCTTGAACTCAATCCTCTGGGGGATGGGGAGCCAGTGGAGTCGGGGGAGGGTGGGAGTGATGGGGTCACGGAGCCTGGTGAGAGTACACGAGCTGCAGAGTTTTGGATGATCTGCATCGTGTGAAGGGAAGAGTTCGGAAGGCCGATGAGGAAGGAGTTCCTGTAATCAAGCCTTGAGGTGACAAACTGCTGTCAACAATTCACCAAGTCTGGTTTATTGTTATTATTTACTTGGTTTTGGCATTGGCTATCTTGACACTAGCTGCCCTTTAGAAATGTTTTTAATGAGGTTTTTCTTGCATAAGGTATTACTTTGTGGAAATGCTTTACGTTTCCCTTAACTTTCAGATGTAAATTCAGGTACCTCTTACAAAGATGAGAAGCCTGGCAAAGGAGCTGCAGTTGGCTGGTTTATCCTTGCTATCCGTAAGTTGATAACTACTTTTGACTGTCTTAAACCATCTACCAAAATAGCTTAATCTTGTGGACATGTTAGTTCAGTAAGTGCTCATTGTACTTTGTGTTCTACAAAGGTTCTTGACTTTGTTTAAGGGTGTTTCTAATATAGGGTAAAATATTAAGCCTCTCTGATTTTTCTTTCAGTGCTCTTGGCTGTAGCTTGTATAGCTGGTTACCTCAAATGGCAAGACTTGCAAAAGAAGAGCCTGCAGACAAATAGCTTTGAGAACCCATTGTTTCAGAATGAATAATTGTATGAAATAAAAATGATTTTACACTAAATTTGGTGCCTTGGTTAATGGTAATCATTATGTAGATAGGAGGGGAAGATCCTAGAAGATAGTTTATTTCAGGTTTTGAACCGTTTCTGCATCCCACTGGGGTGAGGGGAACGCATTTAAAGTAAATGTGCAAATATATTTCAGTTGATCTTAGTCTACTCATGGTCATGTATTTCATTTATTCAACATGCATGTTGCATGGTAGACTTTACAGGGGTGAAGTGGAGATCTAATACTTGATAAAGGATTTACAAAACCCCTTAAACTGGTTGCATTTTCAGGGTAGCTTTTTATGATGATAATCCTTGCATTTGGTATAGCGCCTTATCAAATCTTCAAGAAGTTTCAAAGTGCTTCACAATATACTGTAAAATGAATTGACTGTATATTTTGTGGGTGAAATGCAGCAGCCAATTGCACACAGCAGTGTCCCACAAACAGACGTGGATTAAATGACCATTTTTTTTGAAGGGATTGTTACCCCCGGAAAAGCCAATCGACTGACAACCGGGTTCCTATTTACTGCTCTCTTACTGTAATCAGGGGCAGATGGAGTAAGGAAACTTGCCAAATGTTTCACCCTGCCTGGAAATCAAACCCAGGTCCTCTCTTGCTTGCAAGGCAAGTGCTCTAACCAATCTTTTCAGCCACCTTTCAAAAAGGTGTCCTGTAGAATATTTGTCTACATATCCAACGTGTGGTTGGTTGCTCATCTGGTTCTTGAAATGAGTGAATTGTGTACAACTTCAAGACTTGTAAATGTGACCATACGATGCCACAATTCAACTGTAGTCTGTTGTACATCCTACAGCACATGCTCTCAACTGCAATTCACTTATTTTTTCCCCCTCAAGACTGCAATTCTGTCTTCTCACAGCAGGTGGTGCTGTTGCAAATGCTGATGCCTTTCAATTTACTATCACTGAACAAATGCTAATGTTGTTGTTGTAGTGAGGGCATTAGGAAGTTTTTCTTTCTTTATCCTTCTCCCTATATTAATCACTCCTTTTTTGACTGCAAAAGCATATTCAATTAAGAAGTACATTCCTTTTTAATTTTTTAGCTCCAGTAATCAAATGTTCCTGACAATAGACTCCACTCCTGAAACTAACATGCTAAAATGTAAAGCTTAATTATTATAAACTTTAATTCATCAAACTGCCATTTTGCAATACATTATGCCTACATCAACATGCCTGTGGCAAATTAGATTTGATTAACTTCTCCCTGATGTCCTCTGAACAGTAATCTTTCCAGTGAGCCTGTGGCATTGTGGAGATTAGACTCCATGGTAACCATCCTGGACAGTGCAGCTTTAATGCATATAATTCTGAGATGTCTGCTTTAAATGGATATAGCAAAAGATGGAATATGAACTTTAAGCTGTGGAGGATAGCGCCTGCCTAATGGCTTTGTCATTAGCTGTCCCTTCAATATTTATTTTCTTCCCCACGTAAGATGTCTTGAAACACATTCATGGATAAACATGTGATCTAAGTGTACATACACGACAGAAAATGTGAAAGTTCAGTGAATTGCTATCTAAACTGAATACCAAAACAAATGCAAATCTCTTTGACCTAAACTATCTGCAATAATCTCTCTAGGAATTTGGAAGTGCAGCTTTAAAAGTACATATTGATGTAATATTCAAGGATGTCACAATACTGTAATGGATAAGTTTAAAATTCAGGTCACATCTGTACTGTTTTGAGTAGGGCCGGTTTAAGGTGAAGGCGGTTCTCGGCAAAGGTTGAACTAGGGACTTCCGAATTAAATTTGATGCAGATTTCAGAGGCTCAACTAAGCCAAGAGCACAAAGAAGTCAATTTTATTGAAATTGGAAAGCTCCTCCATCAATAACTAACAGATTTGGTTTATCCATAATGGGTGGAACAGATTGTATATTTCAAGACAGCTTATTATTGTCTCAAAACATTCAGATTTGCAGCTGGATTGTTGGGATTGGGGAAATAATATAGCAAACCATTTCCAGTAGAAAATCATTAAAACTAAACAACACAGTTGTGGCTTTTACATAGTTTTTTTTTAAATATTTTCTAATCTTACAACTGTTCAGGGAGCCTATAACTACCTGACTCATGAGCTATTTTTTACAGAGGGAAATTTAGAGTTTGAGACCATAGTTCCTGATTGTTAAGAGTAACCACAGGTCCCTAAGCTCCATGAGCAGAGGCCGACACTTAAAGGTTCTGGTTTTCCAGGATATTATTGCTTAAGCAAAGGTATGGATGGCTGCTGGTTCTGCACTGTGCATAACTGCACAATTGAACCCACAAACTTCTTCCTCTAAGACCTTGCTACCAATTGAGCCAGACATGAGCCTTGTGTTAAGTAAGATGTGGGATGTGTTCTGTAATACTGCAAATTTTGCCTCAAAGTACAGTTCATAATTAAATTTAGTATACAATATTCACTTCAATGCCCATTTTGCTCATTCGGTGGATAGAGCATGTGATTAGTTTTCCGCAATATTTCATAATTGCAGGCAACTGAAATTAGCATTGTGGAGTATGCATAAATTTGAGAAGCTTTGCAATTTTCATTGATGGCAATACTCCATGGGGATCAGACTTGGAATTTGATTTTATCTAGCCACTGTACATTTTGCTGATGATCATACATTTCCCTCAAAATGCTGTGATATTTCAAAAAATATTACAATGTCCTCGTACTCAGGATCTCAGAATGGTTTGTTGATTAATTAATTGTGTAAATGCAAGTGATCTGATGCCTTGGGTTAACCACCTGTGGTCCTAAGTACAGCATGCTGGAGTTTAACCAACTAATAAAGCCATTATAAACACTGGCAAAATTCCTGTTGCTTGTCCAGCAAGAACTTCACTTATACTTTTGGGCTTTGGCTTGCAGATGGGAAGAATCCTAGCTCCAGCAAAATCCACTTTTTTGAGTTTTGCAAAAAAAGAAATCCAGCAAACAATTAGATGTTTCTGACCTGCTTGAATTTTACTCAGCTGGCAATCTCCATTTTAACTTTAAAAGGCAGATTACCATCAAAGAAGGTGCCTGACAGGAGAGCCAGAAGGAATTTGGGCTGAATTCCTGACAGGACCTGCAGGATTCACTATTTACAAATCGATTTCCAAATATCACAATTTACTCCTCATTAATTTCTATGTTCCTGGCACTTGCAGGAATATCTGTGGAGGGAACAAAAACAAGTTTGAATGTGGAGATGAATCAATATTCTAGAGATAGCAAGTACGCATGATGAGGTGAGTGTGGTGTGGGTGGAGTGAAGTCTGTGATAGGGTGAGTTTGATGTGGTTAGAGTGAGTGAGGTTCCATCTCATGAGACATTGAACTGAGATCCCCGTCTACCTGTTCATGTAGACGTTAAAGATCCTGTGGCACTAGACAAAAGGAGAAGGGAGTTTCTCCCAGTGTCATGGCCAACAATCCTCCAAAATAAATTGATCAATCACACTTTATGGCTGTTTCTCAGCGCTTTGGGACGTCCTCCCGACGTGAAAGGCGCTCTATAAATGTAATTTTGTTGTTTGTTGTTGAGGGACATTGTTGTGCACAAAATTAGCTGGCGCATTTCCCTATAAATACATAGTCACTGCACTTCTGCTGTAAATCCTGTGAAGCGCTTTCAGACATCATCCCGACATGAAAGATGCCACACCTAATGTAAGGATTGTAATTATTTGAGAAACGTCATGAAAAAGGTCTGAACAACCCTCTCTCTCCTTTCCCAATGACTGCTGAATGACAAGTGGCACCAAACCCAGCTGAAAAGCCTTGGGCGCTATCTTGGATTCCAACCTTGTGGGGATCATTTTCAGAGGTTACTGGCATAGCTCCATTAAGGTTGATCTGAATCCTGTGCATATACCCAGAGAGACCATTTGTAATCCTTAATTTTATTTTTAAAAATTAGGCCACTGTATGGCATTTTTCCTCTTTGGTTACTCAAATCCAAGCTTCCCACTCAACCTGTGTCCTGCAAGCAGCCTCAGATAATGACTTGCCCCTTTATTGTTTTACATAAACCAGATAAAATTCGTCATTCAATTTGTGGCTGTTTGTGGGATTCGACCATGTGCAAATTAGCTGCTGTTTTTGCCCACAAATAGACAGCCACTGCATTTTACAGTAAAATCCTATGAAGCAAGTAGGATTATTATTGCTGATTTTTTGAAAAAGGAAAGAAAGCTGCACATATTATACTGTAAATGGATTACAGAAGGATGTTGTATCTTATGGAGAATGCATAAGATGCCATCCTCCTGATGTGAAAAGTGCTATATAAATGTAATTTGTTGGTGGTGGTGTGTCCGCGTGCAAACCCGGTTTTGGAGTCTGAGCCACACAGTGCATTGACTAACTTTGACATTTCACATGACTGTTGTTAAAGGTCCAAAAAGGGAGGCCAAGGGGGACAAAGGCAGTCATGTTCCTCTAATCTAGAAATAGGCTTTATTCTTCAAAGGTTCTTTGCAACTTCTATTTAGCACCTCCACCATCCAAAAGGCAGATCGTAGGTATAAACTGTAACAGCTAATAAAGTGGGCAGGCTTTGTTAAAGACTTACAGGTTGTCCAAAGGAAAAAGATTTGAAATGGGTGGCAAAAGTCATAGATTTCACTGCTCAAAGGTCGAAGGGTCATTGTTGAGGTGCACTGCCAACAAACTCAAAATTACATTGGCAAGAGGACAAGGTTTGCAAAGCTCTGAAAATGATAACAGTGAGTGAAAGGTCAGGCCTAGAGTACCAGATGTTTTATCCACAAATATACAGTCAATTCACTTTATAGTAGATTCTTTGAAGCGCTTTGAGACGTCTAGAAGACATGAAAAGCGCTATATCAAATGCAAGTATTATAGATTTAATTTACATGTTCTCTGTTCATGAAGTCTGCTAAAATAGTAAAGGTTGTTTGCAAAGCATCATATTTTAAGCAATGTGCCTATGCACATCT